TCCTCCCACGTAGTTGGCGCCCCAAGGGATTGCCGAACTGACACACACTTAAGACTCGACTTCTGTCGAACTGTGAGCTCCAAAACCCTGGCAAGCTTATGGATGTGCAATGGAAATCTGTATTCATTTTGAAATGGCCAAGGATGCAGCAACGGCTTTGAGGGTGTTTTTGGGATGGCCTGCAGGTACACAGTTCAGCGTCCTGAACTGCTTCCCACTCCAAGGCATAGCTTCGTTGCACTGGGTTTGCCAAGGAGTGCCCAATGCCCCTGCGCCCCTGCAATGAAAAGCTGCAGAACTACAAAGCCCTTGGACACAGGGTTGGCCACACACACACACACACGCCCTTTAGTAGAAGGGCGCAACACGGTAGCTTGGTAAGCAGCACTTGCAACAGCCACTGAGCCTGAGGAGGAGGCGCCGAGAATGCTGGTAGCAGCTGTCTGATCGGCAATAGCGTGCGATGCCGGATCTGAGGCCCAAGCTGGTAAGGGCAGGGCAGATCTGAGCCCGGGGTTACGTTCGCCCGAAATCCCCTAAAACCCTCTTTGCGTCTCGGTCAGCCATCGGTCAAGGTTTTCTTTTGTCGACTGAGAGGGATACCTCAACATGGGGACACTAGAGCCTCGGAATGACGTGGACCTGGGGACACTAGAGCCTCGAAATTACAGGGACTGCCTACAGCGCTTCAACTTGGCTGGAGTCTTTGGGCGGACCCCTGGGGATCCATGGTGAAGTCAAGCAATCGTGGAGCTGATTACTTGAAGTCACGTGAACTGTATGCAAGCATACAGAACGAATGAGAAGCTGAATCGATTGAAAAATCATACGTCGGAAACTTCTTTCAGGTCCTGACGCCAAGCAAGACGATTCATGTCTCAGTTGAAAGACTCCTCCCATCGCTTGAGAGTCAAGGAAGTCAAAAGCTTCGGTTAAGTCTGCACTCATTTTGAAATGGCCAAGGAGCAACGGCTTTGAGGGTATTTTTGGGATGGCCTGCAGGTACACAGTTCAGCGTCCTGAACTGCTTCCCACTCCAAGGCATAGCTTCGCTGCGCTGGTTTTGCCAAGGAGTGCCCACGGCCGCTGCGCCCTGCAATGAAAAGCTGCAGAACTACAAAGCCCTTGGACATGGTTGGCCACACGCACACACACCCCCACCCCCACACCCGCCCCCACGCCCGCCCCCACACCCGCCCCCACACCCACCCTCCCCCACGCCCACCCCCGCACACCCACACCCACGCCCACACCCGCGCCCACACCCACACCCACGCCCACACCCACACCCACACCCACGCCCACACACACACACACACACACACACACACACACACGCACACACACGCGCGCACTGATGCCTTGGTGACTGTATGGATTTCAACCTTTCACCTGCGCCTGTCGTCCTGTTAATGAGATGAGATTTTTGTACCATGTGTGCCAGACCACAGGAATGGCATACAAACACAAGATGAGATGATCCGTAAGGGGGATGGTTTCGGCCCCTTGCTACGTCAGACACAAAGGAATAACGTAGCACGAAATGAGACGAAGATGAAAATGACACGATGCCGATGCCTCGCCAGCTGGCCGCGTCGGACCCCAGGTTCGAGCAAAGCAGGTAAGTTTTCCTGGGGTGCAGGGCAGAGCTTCATTGGACGGAGCTCCCCTGCACCCCCTCCGTCCCCCTGCTATGGCAGTGACGCCTTTCCAGGATGAACAACCTGTTTCCACACACACAAAGCCCTCAAAAAGAGGGCTGAGCTTTGGATCTACTGAGTACTGACAATCTAGTGAACACAGAAGTAGACAACGGTGCACATGCCCTGGCGCTCGCACTGCCTCAAACGAGACAACCTCCATGGCAACCGAGAAAAAAGGTTTAAGGTGAGTCACCACTTGGTTTTGAGTGGATGCGGGTCCTGTCCACAAAGTGGTGGTTAAGGGTCCAGTCCACCTTTTTTAAAACAAAAAATGTGGCAGGCAGTTTGAGGTGAGAGAGGGGAGGGGATGTGCGCCTGCCGAGCCCCCAACAACCTGACAAAACACGACCTCAGGCGGGAACATACATCAGCTCGACGCCCGTCTCTCAGAGACATCGGATCAAAACCAAGAAAGATTGAGGAAAACCCTTGGCTCGCACGGACCGTCACATCCTATAAGCTTCAGGTGATCGTACCTCCAACTGGAGGCTCGGCTACCTGCCGTTGGCGGGCGCCCAGGAGGGAAAGCCCAACCGAAGTCACACACACTGTATGGATTTCAACCTTTCACCTGCGCCTGTCGTGATAATGAGATGAGATTCTTGTACCGTGTGTGCCAGACCACAGGAATGGCATACAAACACAAGATGAGATGATCCGTAAGGGGGATGGTTTCGGCCCCTTGCTACGTCAGACACAAAGGAATAACGTAGCACGAAATGAGACGAAGATGAAAATGACACGATGCCGATGCCTCGCCAGCTGGCCGCGTCGGACCCCAGGTTCGGGCAAAGCAGGTAAGTTTTCCTGGGGTGCAGGGCAGAGCTTCATTGGACGGAGCTCCCCTGCACCCCCTCCGTCCCCCTGCTATGGCAGTGACGCCTTTCCAGGATGAACAACCTGTTTCCACACACACACATATATGCACCCACACACCCACACACCCACACACCCACACACCCACACACCCACACACCCACACACCCACACACCCACACACCCACACACCAACACACCCACACACCCACACACCCACACACCCACACACCCACACACCCACACACCCACACACCCACACACCCACACACCCACACACCACCCCCACACACCACCACCACACACCACCACCACCACACCACCACCACACCACCACCACACACCACCACCACACACCACCACCACACACCACCACCACACACCACCACCACATACCACCACCACATACCACCACCACATACCACCACCACATACCACCGCCACCGCCACCACCACCACCACCGCCGCGACCACGACGGAAGAAAAACAAGCTGAGGACAACGCCGAGGACGCCATGGAACCAGAAATGCAGGAAAGCATCGGCTGGCCCACCAGCAGTGAGGCTAGTGGAACAACTAGCCGCAACTCAACAAAGGGCTCCACCCACCCTTCGTGGGCCCAACCTTGCAACGGGTCCTTCACCTGGCAGGACAAGCTCAAGCCATCTCAAGCCCACACTGAAGGGAGCCAGAAGAAAGGGCAGGTCGCGAACCCACGGAAGAATACACGTCAGCCAACGCTCCCACACCGGGACACAACCCTGGCCCGAACATCGTCCATTACACGGAAAGGGAGGCCAACGACTACCAGATCACGACGACGTGCCACCTGGCATGCCCCCGCGGCGAACGTACGCGGAAGCCAATAGTGATTGTCCCTTTTTCACTTTCCTCAACATCACCAAAGCCATGGACGGACTACTCCCAACTAGGTTCGCCCAAAGGAATGCAAGCTGCCTGCACAATTACCCCGAAAACAAGGAACTAATCACCAGGCGCACTGTAGAGAGCAAAGGAGAGGGTGACCAATGAAGTTTGATGACATCCCCCCGAAGAACCAGGGAGCAGAAGGCACTAGCCTGGTCATGACACGACGGCCCGAAAGTATTGCCAGCTGTGGACGTCGTGATACCTTCAAAACGGAATCGCCCACACTTAGCGCGCCGCCCGCGGCACCAAGGTCGGTCCATAACCTTACTGGAGGAGGACCAGACCACAGCAAGTTTGCAGGGCCAAAGTGTCCACTCTCTAGCTGGATAAGCAACGAACGCAGGCAAATGACGGAGCTTCTGGTGCGGATAACGAGGCTCAAGTTTTTTGCCATTTTTGTCACTTGTTGATGGAGTGCAGAGTTATATGTTCTGTGGGATGTAAGGAGCTTGCAGAGATCCGACTTGAGTTGGCTGAAGCTGACAAGCTTTGTGCGGAGGCAGCTGCAGTGATGCTACTTTTGCTTTTGCCTCCTACTCTAGTTCTTGTGACATGAGGTGCGAGACCGTGCACGAAACACCTCAGACCAGGCTTGGCAGTGCTTCAGAGAGCTTGGTGCATGTTCCGGTTTGGGGATGCCGCGGAATTTTCTTGCAGACAAAACACATGTTTAAACAAAAGTTGACCCCCCGACATTCCAAAGCTGCTTTCTGCATGTGTCAACGTGCCAAAGCAGATTGGAGCCGCTATCCGACCTGCCAGGGCCCAGACAGACCCACCGACATACCAGATTCTCCGACATATCAAAGCACGATGACAAAGCCACAATGGCCCGCAGTAAGAGTGCGGGGCCATCCAGCTCGGAAAACATGGGCTGGGCTGACATCTCGTTTGACTTGTATGCCTTCACGTTGAAACATGGTTGAGCCGCGTTTGACGGTTTTGAACCTCCGTTGTACTTACGTCAGATTTGACCGGCCCCGTGGAGACTTTGGGTTCCATTTACAACCATGGAATCCTATCACTGAGAGAAAATCGAACTGGTATCTTGCCCAGCCCCGCTGGGTCTTAAGTGCATGGACATGCCACGAGCGAGGCTTCAAACGACCTACCTGAGAAGCTTTTATGGACTTTGACAAAGTGATTGGTGTGGAGACAGTGTTCTGACTTGCTACGATGCGTGACCTCAGGTGGTGATCAATGGTCGCGTTGTGGAGTCACACTTCTGGGAGTGCCGCCCGCCTGTTTGGTGCACGCATGTGGCTCATTTCCGTCTCCAGAAGCAGTTAGTGACAGGACCGCTCTGCGTGTCACCTACGACGGGGATGGCAGACCGACAACTCACTATCCCAGCCCTGCATCTGAGTGCGAGCAGTCTCCGTTCACACAACATGTCAAATCCCACCACATACTCGTAGCTGCTCGGCGTGAGCCCAGGTGAATGAGCGGCTTGATGCACGTCATCTGGTTTGCAGAAACAGTCGCTGCATGCCAAGTGCCAGTGCTGCCTGCAGTCATGTTGCAGTCTTGCTGCAGAGCTGTGAGCTGTCAGGAGCGACTGTTCGAGCGGGATGTTAAGTGCTTTGAAATCAGGATGAAGGACCCATCCATCATTCCATCTTCTGTGTAAAGCTTTGACCGCAGCTGCAGCGCTGCCGATGCTGTTGCGCTGTTCAGGAGCATCTGCGACAGAAAACGCACGAAGCCAAAGCCATCTTCGCAAGTTTCCCAGACACCATGCAGTGTATGACGACTGGGGTGGTTCCACATGCCGAGCTAAGGAACGGGTGGGCAGTGCAACACGCACTGGCCTTCTCGCTAGCATTGTCTGGGCTTGGCAGTGCTGCGCCACAGAGGCGCCCGCTGAGTCGCAAGTTACAGCAGAGAAACATAGAGAAGCTGTCGCAGAGGTGTTGCAGCATGTCGGCTAAGACCGCCATAGCACAGGAAAGAGATCGCGGGAACACGATATATGTGCGTGTGTGTGTGTGTGTGTGTGTGTGTGTGTGTGTGTGTGTGTGTGTGTGTGTGTGTGTGTGTGTGTGTGTGTGTGTGTGTGTGTGTGTGTGTATGTGTGTGTGTGTGTGTTATATCTCAGGGCCACCACTACAAAGGATGCGTTGAAGTGCCTATCCGTCTGGTAGACAATCTCACAGCTTGGGAAGTTAGCATTGCAGTCAGCATGTGCCCGAAGCGGATGTGAAAGTTATCAATTGGATGGATCGGGAGGGGAAAGTTGCCAGCCGACGGCAAAGCTATTGGGCCTTTGGAGTCAAAAGGGCCCTCCGCCATCCGAGTATGCAGGTGAAGCTGGAGGAGCATCTGCCGGATGCTGTGATCCGATAGATTGAATCGTGGTGATGTTGGCCTAAGCCAGAGGCGTGTAGCCTTGAGAGATGCGTGGCGAGCTACGGGGATGTGATGGTGGCCTCTGTGGTGGTCTGGTAGCACCCTGCGAGCTGCCAGTCAGCCACGGCTAAAGTTCGGGCAAAGCTGATCGTGATGGCCCATGCCCATGGCTACGCACACCAATGGGAGACATTGGGCATGATCATGACGTGTCGGAAGACGCAGAATGCGAACTGTGCAGGTGGAGGAAACGAAGAGGAAAAATCAGCAGGGGGAGGAGAAAGAGGAACCAGCGGGAGCGATGGGAAAATGTTTGTTGAAAAAGGAGCATGTGAAGAAGACAAGAAGATCTCTTGTGACAGTGTGCCATCAAGTCATTCTTAGACGATGCTTTTCCAGAAAATACGGGCACTTTCGCATACAGACCTCAGCAATCGTGTGCGGCTCGCCTTGCTGGCTGCATACAAGAGAAAGCAGTTGTTGTGTTGAGATGCACTTGCAAGCCGATAGCAAGCCGATACGAGTTTCTTTGTCCAGGGAAAGAAGCTGCAGAGCATGCAAACGCATGTCGATGCAGCAGATGAAGAGCCACCGGCTCGGGAGTTGGTGACTCTTTGTGCTCAGTGGCACCTTCAGATCCCTGCGGATCTTGACGAGGGCGGATGGCCTGAAGACACGGCAAAGCACTGCCATTTGCAATGCATCGGGCTTGGAGACATCTTTGTTGTGCAGTCGAATTCAGAGCTCTGAGATCTGAGGCGCAAAGTCGGGCAACAAAGCTAATGGATACCGGCCTGGTCGTTAGCGTGCTCAGTGCCTGGTGCAGAGAGACCAAGGCCATCAACAATGTGCTGTTTGCAATGGCAAGTACGGCCCCAAGTACTTGTGCTTGCAGGAGAACCGCCTTGAAAAGCTCTACACGAACAAAGTGGACAGCAAACGTCGCTTAGCTTCAGCTCTGGGGAACGCTTAGATGAAAGAGCTTTGAGCCTTGTTCATGGGAACTCTGGGCCCTGGCAATTGGACCTTTAGTACGAACAAAAAGCAGTTTTTCAAATGCGCCCGCCCACCAAGATAAGTTCTGCTGAGGTGCCGAGCAATCATGTTGCCAAGCAGTCGGTATGTGGTCTTGATGTTGTTTTTAAGGTCCTTCGGGGTGATATTGCCAGTAGACTCTTTTTCAGGTGGCTGCTGCTGGGAGTTGCACTTGCGTATACTTGCGTCGAACACACCATACACATATGCAAGTCATAGCTTTGGGTTACGTCATGCGGCGTGCTAACACAGCACCCTGAGCTTTCTTAGTCAAGCAAGAGAGCCCAGGCAAGCAGCTCACTGCCGTCAGAGTCCTGAGAGCATGTGTTGCATTTTGTTGTCAGCATTGGCCTGCAGTCCAGAAACCTCCAGAAGCCTTTGTGGAAGCAAAGCTGACCAGGTGCAAACTCTTTTCAAGAGTTTTGCTCGAGATCTTGAGGAGGCGGATGCAGTTCCTGCCTGTCCAACATCTCCTGACACTGGCACCTTCGAATGCGCATGGTGCTTCTCAAGGCTGCCTAAGGACCGCGTCGTGTTCGTGCTTTATGCATGACATGAAACCGTACATGATTGATGCACTGGCCTCAGGAAGTCAAGAAGTGTAAGGCAACAGCAGACGGACGCGCACATGGGAAGCCAAACGGAGCAAGCCACAATCACAAACAAGTCACTGTATGAAACAAATTGGAACACATTAACAACGCATTGAAACATGCAGAATGAGCCCGATGAACCGCCCTCCGTGCCAGAGCCCCCGGAGCTGGCCCTGGACTTGGAGTTTCTACTGTGCACCGGCCTAGCACAGTGTGAGCTCGTGTGCGCTCTCTTCCAACTCTGCCAATTTTGTGCTTTCAGCCGCCCCCTTCCTTTCGGTGCAGCATTGTGCTAACAGCAAGCGCTGCAACCAGCAAGTCTTAGCCGTCGGAAGCGAAGGCCGTGACGTATGCGGATGGTGACAAGGAGGTGCTAATACCATTCTGTGAAGGAATCCTGTGGGCATCACGTTTTCGACAAGCCCTTGGGTTGTGAGAAAATCCAACAGATTTGCCAGGACTGGCCTGTTCAGCCTTGTCTCTTGGCATCGGCCAGAGCTATGGCCCAGAGACGCTTGCAGGGAGAAGAGCAGTGCTGGCCAGTTTTGTAGCTGTTTTTTTTTGTTGTTTTTTGTTTTTTGCTATGTGTCGCTTGTTAAAGACCATGCAGCATGTCAGGCTTCAGCTTCAGCGTCCCAGCTTCCTGTTCACAGGCCTGCACCCTCTACTAACCTAGAAGCAACCAAGGACATATGGGGATTCAGCGGGGAGTGGTCAGATCGCTCGAGAGATTGCGAATTCTTGTGAAGCGACGCTGAGGTCTCCGAGCCAAACCGTTCTGGTCGCCCGAGGACTTTCCGAAGGCCCACGTCCTCACATGGCATTGGGAAGTCTTGTACCAATATTGTCTGAGTATACACGTTGTTTGTATAAACTACCTCAACAAAAAGTTCGTTTTGTGTGGATAGATAGCAAATGTTGACCGAAATTAGTGACATAACATCCCTGAGACTGCCAGAGTTGGAAAAACGATTTCTACTTGGAAGCAGATTCACGTGGCTTTGATTTCTCAGTGCAGAGCCCGAGGTGGTGCACCTGCTAGAGGCCGGGGGCAGTGCATTGGAAGTACTCCTTCGACATGCGACATGCGACATGCAAAGGCCTCTGCTCCAAGACTGTCTGAGGAGGTCGTCGTCCCAGTTTTGAGTCCAGTAGTCTGCAGGTTGCGACAGGTTATGCAAAATGCAACTGCACATGACTGTGCTCATTCAAGCTCATTGAGGTGCATTTTGCAGGGCTACTGAGGCTACTGATAGGGGGACATCAGTACGGAAAGGCCACCATAGTTATCTCTGAACAGCTTGCGGATGCTCAGGTATGCCGGGTGAGCCGAAACCTCCTACCGTAGCCCTTGACCCGAACTGGGTCCTTGTTGGTTATAATTTGACATTCTTGTCATAATAAATTAATTCCATATAAGGAATACGATTGATCATTTTATTATATCGCCAAGAAGTAAGCAGTGAAACCGGGTGAGCACCGAAGCTCTACACCGAAACTGCACCGTGAAACTGACCACCCCGAATGTGGAGCGCACAAGTTCCTGTGTTGCACTCGGGTTGTTGCAAGGTCTGCCAGCTTCTGGGTGATAGTGGTTGGAGCACGGACACCGAGGACCTCATGTCAGCTCTCTGAGACAGACAACCAGCATCATGATCATTATGTGGCCCCTGTAAGAAATAGGAGACACTTCAAGCTTGATGAAATTGAGAATCGGCGGCCCCGAGCAGTTTCAAAGCTGCAGCTACAGGACGACTCCCCACAACGCAGGACGGAGCCCTGAGTGTCTGGCTGCTTCCGCATTGCTTGAGCAATGCTCTTGACGACACCTTGCAACGGCGCCATGTTGGCTGTGGGCCATGACGGCTTGCAACAAGCTGGTAATCATCCGACACGTCTCGCTTGAGTAATATTGTGTTTCATGGGTGTTCCCATTTTATAACTAAGCCTGTCTCATTTCGGAGGGTACGAGTTTCACCAGCTTTAGGACAATAATCCTCTCAACTACAAGAGGACGCACACCATGAGCGAAGGCAAGCACAGCAACCGCAGCACACACAGACACACACACACACACACAACGCTTGTGCATCTTCCGAGCACTCGACAAGATGGCCTTTGGGATGCAGTGCGTGTCAAGTGTGGACTTGGCCTGTGGAAGACCAGTGCTGGCACCCTCAATGCGCCTGTACAGACCAAGAGGGGTGCGAGAGCCTAGTCGGTCACGATGCGTGCTTGAAGCAGACTCTCGGCTGAAGCAACATCGGCTATAGCGAAGTGTCTTTGTATGGGAGCTGTGGAATGTCGGCATGCACGTGATTGATCATGATTCGCTGATTAGCCTGAAAGGTCGGCGCCCGCTCGCGATGGGCATGGCTGGCGCTGGTACTTGGCGCTAAACTACCTCGACGAGCAGATGCTTGGCCTGATACTGCGGTGGTCTGCATTGCTTCACCCCCGAAGATCTGACCTGACGGTGTGTATTAGCCGGAGAGCGAAAGACATGACTCAAGCCATCTCAAGCAGCAAGCCTCAAGTCCTCCCACTCGGTGAGCCTGCTCCTTGTAGAGAGTCTGACCCTGAAATGGGGCTAGGGCTTTAGAACTGTTTTTGTTGACGCGACACTCAGCTACACTTCATTACGGTGGGAATCAAGGAGAGGACATGGAACGTGCTCCCAATAACCTGTCAGGTGGCATACGAAAGCTGCTCTCATCCGGCAGCTGTGGTGTTTCTGCATGGCAGTGGCGATTCCGGTCAAGGGTGACTGGACTACATTGGCAGCTTAGGGACCATGGCCGAACTATGAATGTCAAGGATAAATCTAAACTAATCCCGTTGCAGCCGTTCCTTCTATGTCGGCCAATTCTTCACGGTTGCTGGTCAGGTAAGGTTGGAAGAATATTTTCGCGCCGTTGATGGCGGCAACTTGCTGGACGAGCTGGCAGCACATGGTGTTAAGACCTATTGGCCTGACAGCGGGGTGCGCTCGCTCTTGGACTGAACAAGACAAGTCAATCGTTCGCTTTGTATGTGCGGTTCAGCGAGAGCTTACAGCTGCTGCCGCTGCTGCGGCCCCTGGTGTTGATGGATGGTGATGGATGGTGATGGACGATGATGGATGATGATGATGATGATGATGATGATGATGATGATGATGATGATGACGATGACGATGATGATGATGATGATGATGATGATGCATGCTGCATGCTGCATGATGCATGATGCATGATGCATGATGATTCATGATGAGGATGAGGGTTGAGGATGATGAGGGATGATGCTGGGTTATGATATGATGGTGATGGCGATGGTGGTGGTGATGGTGGTGAGGGTTGTGGTGATGGTGGTGGTGGTGGTGGTGGTGGTGGTAGTGACGATGACGGTGACAATGACGTGATGACGATGGTGATGATGATGGTGACGGTGATGCGGATGATGATGGCGATGGGGCCATTGCCATTGCGGTGGCCGCTCCTGTTGCTGCTCGCCTCTTCTGCTTCTTCTTCTTCTTCTTCGTCTGATGCTGCTGCTGCTGCTGCTGCTGCTGCTGCTGCTGCTGCTGCTGCTGCTGCTGCTGCTGCTGCTGTGGTTGTAGTTTGTGTCTGGTTGTGGTTGCGGTTGTGGTTTGTCTTGTGTCCACAGTTTTGTTAGTTGAGGTGTTGGTTATTGCTTGCCGTGCTGTGCTGGTGTCGTGTTGTTGTTTTGCGGTGGCGGCAGTGGTGGTGCGTGTTGTTGATGAGGTATACACTTGCGGGAGGTAGAGTCATGCCAATCTGGTATGAAGCCTGGCCTCCTGGAAAGAGCAAAATGTGAGCAGTTAGGGGGCAATGAAGTGCCTGAAGATGTTGAGCTCAGGACCGGAAGGGCCTTCCACCCACTGCTCCAGAAGACACTGCTTCTGTGGAGGAGTCTGTCCACAGTCTTGTCAAGTTGCTCGATCAGGCTAGTTCGCGGTGTCGCAGCATGTGGCAGCTCTTTCCTCTTGTATCGTCTTTTTTTGGGCGTCATGTGGGCCATTCTGTTGCTCCCTGGCCAGGTGAGGGCAGATGGTATTCCGGCAAATCGCACCGTGATTGGAGGTCCAGGTCAATTTACATCCTGTTCTTGCCAGTGCTGTGTCAGAGTCTAGCCAACCGCGTGCGTGACCCCATTCAGTTGTCTCCACTAGCGAGGTTTCTCCATGGGAGGTGGTATTGCTCTTCAACTGGCACTGAGACATCCAACAAAGATCGCTGCTGCTTTTGTGCTGTCGTCCTTCATGTGCGACAACGCAGCTGCCTACCAGTTGCTCGAGAATGCGCCTTCGTCCACAGCTCAGCTGCTCAGAATTGTTGATCAGCTTGCAGTAAATTTCGAAGGGAACTCTAGCAACCAGTTGCCAGAAGTGCGTCTCGTGTTTGTGCTGGGCAGGACGGTCCCCATCCTCATGATGCATGGTGAGGCTCTTCGGATCCTTCCCACGTGAGTATAAAAGGTGAAACATTTTGACTCTGAAGATTCAGTTTCTGGTAGTTTTGCCTGGTGATAGGCTGATGGCTTCATTCGTCCAGTCTGGGGCAGGGCCACAGCAAGGCGATTGAGCGATATGGGACTTAAGATCGAATTCATCTCCATCCCGGGTGTTCGCCATGAGATCAGCCGCCAGGACTGGGCGTGTGCGGTGGTTCGGGACGGGTGAGCATTCGTGGACGCTTAGCGAGGAGACCACACTTCTTCGAGACTGGCTGTGGAACTTGCTGAAACTGGAATGAGATCATCCATGGTTCCACTAATTGCAGAGCTGCTGAAAAGCGTTTTGCATCTCAAATTGCAATTGAGAAAATTGGAAGTTTGCAGATGGAGGCAAGATGCCTTAGATCCTCATGGTCGGCTTGAGCAAATTGTGCCATGTGGTCAGGACCTCGGCAAGCAAGCGCCGTCGACTTGAGGAAGCTTACCACGTCAAACCACCGTGAGTTGCGCATTGCAAAAACGTCTTGGCATCCCCTACCTTTTTTTGTATCCAGCCGCAGAATCGTAGGTACAAACTTGCGGATCGAAAAAGCAACACCCCAACACATGGCACTTTTTCTGGGGATTGAATCATCTGAATGTACTGGCATCGAAGAGGTGTGCAAGACTCTAGACATTGCTTTATTTGTGGTCCTTCCGTGAGAAGCTCGAGCGATGCCGACCAAGAGCATCAGCATGCAGGCAAGGTGTCCTTTGTCATCGTAAGTACAAATTCAGAAGACCATATTGGACCCGTGTATTCTCTGTTTCATCTCTGGCTGCAACTTGCGCAGGTGCTTAAGCGGGGGCAGCAAGTGAAAAAGACCGTGGACCTAGCAGAAGGTGCAACTGTCAAAGTGGCTTGTCTTCGAGTACTTCGATGACTGCTTTTGCTGTTTACTGTGGCTCGGAGACATGCGGCGCATCCCGAGGATGTGGTTTCCAAGCTGGCCCAGCTGCATCCTGGCCGCCCTGACATGGTAAAATGCGCGACCACAAGGTTAAGATAAGACCAAGTCGTGGCTTTCTAAGTCCTACATCCGAAAGTGTTCTCCTCATTGTAGCCAGGCTACGAGGTCAACCTTTGCAACCGAACGTCCGAGGGGAGCCAATGAGTTCTGTCTTAGCAGCAGTGCCCGCCTCTGGTGAGGACGGGGACCGCCAAATCATCTCTGTTTGTTGCCGAAGTTCGCAACCTCGACAAAGTGCGTCTCTTTAGTGGCGAGGCAGGGTCCATTAAGTTTGCATGTTGTTCTATGGCCCATTCAACTCCATACCTTGGAGTGCCCCTCTTCCAAGCACGAAGGCCACTAAGACCCCAAGAGCCCAAGATCCTAAAGTGAACTGGCTCACCATGGCCAAGATCAGGAATGCGTGAGGAAATTGAGGAAAGGCGTGCTAGGGCATCGAGCTGTGACATGCTGTGACTGTAGTGTCTTGCTTGTGCTTGTGTGGGTGCGGCAATTCGCACATTTGGGAAACCGGCAAGATAGCGGAGGAAGCCGGTCAGTCTTGTCTCGAGACTTGGTCCCTCTTTGTTGCAAGTGGCGTGCTGTCCTGAGTTTTGCATGTCTTGTCTCTTCGATAGCAACGAGCTCCATTGTGCAAGCATCGCCCGTGCACTGCGGGAAGCTTTGCTTTCAATGCCATGGACAGGTCGTTAGATTCAAGGAGACCGGTTCCTGGTCAGGTCTCCTCTCCCACTCCACTCAGGACACGGACACGCTTTCCCCCGTTTGAAAACGAGTTGTGGCGGAAGGGCAAAGGCTCTGAATCGAAGGCAACACGCAGCTTCTGTCAGAAGCTGGCATCTGATAGCAAGCGACAAATATCGAGCAGGTGTCGATGTCTGACTCTTTTTTGGAAGATTCTGCATGATTTTCGGAAGGCTCCTACGGGCACCTTTGAAGTTGGAGGGTTGGAGACCATCGAGGACTGGTGTTCATCTGCTGTCCGCGTCTACTGTCAATGAGTCAATCTTTTGCAGGGATGGAGAGTGTCAGATTGGTGGTGTTCCCCTGATGAGGATGTGCCTGAGGTCATCCCTGTAGAGCCGCTCGCTCATTCTTTTCAGCTGTGCAAAACATGTTCATTCCGTTTTGCAAGTGGCAGAAAGAATAGACTTGTGCATGGTTCATTGGGGTTTGATGGCAATAGTCACCCGAACGTCGCTTGAGGCACCAGGTGGATGCCCTCGGCGTCGAGAAGTCGCTGCAGAGCCCCGGCACGTGTTAGACAATCGTTGCTAAGTGATTGTTGGATTTGTTGGCGCGTGTTCAGACCCATGCAGTTTGAAAGAATGCCCAGGCTCTTGGATGAGCTGATTGCCGCTTACAAGACTGCCAGTCGGCTGCAATCAGTTCGGCAGGCGGCTTCAACGATGGCAAATGATGGTGGAGCATGTGAAAACCAGACTCCCGGCACCCAGGCCGAGTTTCAGGCAAGCCTGTCTGAATTCCAGCAATCCTTCATGGATGGACAAAGAGACATCCGCCAGTACAGCGTGCTCCTGGATCCTGCGCTGCAGATATCTTCAACTCCTCGGAAGAGCCTTGTTAATCAGTCGAGTAGATGGCGAGATGCTTCTCGCATGAGGCCGATGTGGCTGGGCATGCGCAGGAGCCGGTGTTTGCCAAATGGGGATACGAAGCGACCACGTCCGGGAGGATGGAACCAGAGAAGAAAATTATACCAGAGCAGTGTGCAGTCGCGTGAGTTTTACTCATGCAGAGCACGAGTATCTGCAATCCAAGGACATGTATGCTGCAATGCAAGACGTTGCATCCGATGAAGCCGTCAAAGCCAAGCAGCTGGAAGTTGCCAACCTGCTTCTAGGCATTCTCGGTCTTTGTAGGTTACTGTAGCTCCAGCGACTTGGCTGTCCTGAAGCTTTTTGCAGCTCTGTCGTCCACTCCAGAACCCTGGTAATTTCGCACCTTGAGGCTCGGGCAGACTTTCCAGTGGCTACCAGAATCGATGAGACCGGCTATTTCAGCCTGAGCCGGCTGTGCAGAACACGCTCCGTGCATCGCATCGCGTGTCATGCCATGATTGGCTTGCCGGATGGCTGTCTTGCCCTTGCGATTGCTGCTGCCCCTCACCGTCGATACATACTCTCATGAGGCTGCTGCAAATTCGGCCCTTCTGCTGAAGGTAATGATGCCTCCAAAGAGGGGGCCTTTTGATTTACGTTTGCTAGGCCTGTGTTCGAGTCCGACGCCGCGCAAAAGTGCTTTGCAGCTTTTAGTTTATGAGCTGGCAAGGTACGCCGCAGTCAGTTTCATTCCAGGGTTCATTGGCGCAGGACACAACTGAACGTGGTGAGACAAGGCAAAGCACCCCACTCATCACTGGTTGTAAACGCTTGCGCGCACCGCATCGGCAGCCAAGCCGGCCCAAGATGGTGTGTAGCGTGCGCGGACAGGCAAAGTCACCTGTCGCTGGTGGGCGGACACCTCGGTCCCAGGGGAGTGAAGGGGGTCGGGCTCGGGGGAGTCCCCAGGGAGGGGGGGGAAGTTCCAAAAATTTGAGGGGCCCCGAACAAGTTCCAAAATGGAAAAGGTGGGTACGGGGGGAAGGAGACCGGATCCTGGTCTGCTTGTTCTGCACGCCTCCTGGCCCGGGGCCGAGGCGAACTCAATGTGACAGCTCTCGAAGCTTCAGAGCTCGGTAATGTCTGTAGAGGGCAGTTGTGATTAGTCCACTAGCCTGTATCGCTTGGCGGTGAGGCCACCGAATTGGCAACCACAACGCGAAGGTCTACACTCAGGTCATCCGGCCCGCAGCGATTGTCATATCTTGCACGCCCAATTGCGTTGAAGGCGTTTGGTTAAAGCTTGAGATCTGGGCCAAAGGAGGACCGGTTCTGAGCGAATACGACAAGAGACGAGCAATGACAAGCGATTGGCTGTGATGGCTGTGGCTTCACATTCCGAGGCCTCTCCGAGCTCTCCTCCAGCAAGGCCTGGGTGCGGAGACCGGTTAGTGCAATCATTGTTGTTTGCACCCGTGCCGTGCGTTTTTCAATCCTTTTCTTTCTGTCTGTTTTTGAGTACACCATATGTGTGAGTGCAGTTTTTGGACATACATCTTCCATGTGTTGTTGTGGTCTGTTTGTGCCATTTGTGGCCGGGCTATGTCTGGACAGTCTTGTCAAAGCTGGGGAGGCTGTGCCCCAGACCGTGGCGGCCGTCTGTGCTGCTATGCGTGGCCGACCTACAAGAACGTACGGGATGCGCCAACACGATGGCCCATGACGGAAGACAAAAAACAGGACCGAGCATGTGTTGCAAGGTACGGGCGAAGCCATGACGCCGCCGCTGCTGCCTTAGATGAATGGAGCTCAGCTTAGAGGGTTAACAGAGCTCAGAAGAGGGTTTAAGGGAGCGAAAAAAGGAAGTTCAGGCTCAGACTTAACTTTAAGACTGTAAGAACTTGAAGACTCTTTGAGGTGGCTCAGTTTAAGACTTGCACCCCAATAACCTTGGCTTGACAGGTGCAAAGCCATCTAAGAGCAACTTGTCGCTATGCCTTCAGGCCGCCAGGGAACAACTAAAGGTCCCTGAAGCTTAAGACCTATGATGGGTCGGACAAGGCTCAAGGGCGTGACCCTATCGTAACCCCCGTGTGCCCATGAGCTAGAGAAGTACACTCGCAAGTCAGGATAGTTTCCGATAGCTTAGATTACTTGATTGAAGAGGATTGAGAGGGTGCAAACCCATCAGGGCTTGACATGAATGATGTTCCTGACATCTCATAACTCAGAACGAGCCAAAGCATTCTGAAGAATGGCAAATCCGCGTTTGACGCCTTTGCCTTTGCCAGTCCTGGGCGTGCTGCTTTGTCACTTCTGACGCTCGGGCCCCAGATCCAGGCTGGGAGGATACCTGGGGTGGCCATCCAGTCGTACAGATTCAAAATGTGTGTCAGTGGTTTGTTGTCCGCATTCATACTCAGTGTCGTCGTAGTACAGTATAAGCTGGGCCCGAAAAGCCACGTTGGAATTGTCGGGATTGTTGGAGAGTCGAAGTCGGTATCTTGTGGGTTCCTGTTGCTTGTTGCCATGTGAGACACTGCATGATGCGCGGTGCTTTGTTGTTCATCTGTATGCTCGCAAAGTAGTATGTGGCATCACAGAACGGGCATCGGTCGCAGCGATGGTTCTGCCTCCATGCAGTCGCGGAAAAATTTGAGACATGTAAGAACAAAAGTGTTTCTTCTTCTGCCTAAATGTCTTCCAAGGCGACATCAAAGATAGTCAATCAAGTGCAGCATCAGTTGGTGTCGCACTACAAATCCTTTTGGGAACCAGAAATTTCGTTATGGATGACAGCGGCATCTCGCTTCAACGGATCGTTGCTGAGCGCCCCGAAGCGCGAGATCTGCGCGGTCGATCCTGGATCCAAACACTCCAGTCATCACGAGCTATCTGCTGTCTCCGGTGGAAATGGATCGGGCTGCTTGATCCGACATAGGCTGCTGTAACCTCTTGCTGGGCTTGAGACTAGATTCACAGCTGCAAGTGAAGTCTCTTGGTAATGGCTTCGAGTGAAGTTTCTTGGCAATGACGTCTCGTTCAGGGCAAAGGGCTCACCGACCTTGTGACAGCTCAGGCTTGTGTTACTCTTGCTGGCTGCCGCTTGGGTGGCTGCCATTGCATACTTAAAAGCACCGGCGACGCTTGGACTTGTGCTTGTTCAGGCTTGTTTGGCCTTCGGAAAAAGACTTTCCACATAGCAACTGATGTGATGAGAAGCTTGCTACACAGCAACAGACAGCTCACTCACCAACAGAGCGGCGATCAGGAAAGTGCTGGCCAGCCTACACACAGCCATGCAGCCATGCCAAGCTCACAAGCTGCAAGCCAAACGAGCAACCAAACCTTGGACTTTGTTTGAAAGGTCAAGGCAAGCCTTTATGATCTCGGCATGGTCAGCACGGTCGAAGCATGTAGACAAGCTAACAGCCTGAATGCTTGACCATGCAGGTGTTAATAACCGGATGAGCCACATGTTTCTCGGCTCACCTCAAAGCTCAGGGCCATGCCTGTCAGTACTACCACTTCAGCGGCCAGCACTTCCACAAGCTCTGCGCGAATCATTCCATGGTGTGAAGGAGCCGCTGCCATGCGCATGTCCGTAGAATGAGAGGCAGAGGATTGTTTTTCCAATTCCCGTGCTAGCAGGCTCTTTCGCGTGGTGAAAGTTTTTCGAGGCCTGGATAGGGCATAGGTATCAACAAACTGATAGGGATCAAACAATTGACAGTATCAGAATAAAGTTTTTGAGGATCAAAAAAAGTTGCTAGGGTCAGCCAGGTTCCTCCGGCCTCTGGTCTGTTGGGTGCTTCCGGACCCGTGGTCTCCTGGTCTTCTGGTCTTCCGGGTTCTTCTGGTCCCGTGGTCCTCCGGTCCGGTGGTCCTCTGGTCGCGTCTTTGCATATCAGATTATGTATTTTGATATAGCATCTTGTTTAATGCTCGTACTTCGTGACTAGGCGAGCATTGTGTTTGCTAAATGAGGGGGGGGCTGCGCCCGCCAGCCCCTGCGTTTAGGTAGGAGTAGATTCATTCACACTTGACGTGCGGCTTTGCATCCAGGATTGGAAGCTACACCTTGCACTGCGAGTAGTGCGACTCGATGCAGTACACGTCTAAAATGCATCATGCGAGCATCCCCCCCGTTTCTTTGTGGAGGTCTTTGTTGAAAATGTTGTCCTTTTTTGAGTCTTTTGGTAGTACTACTCGTGCCACTAGTACTACTAGTATTACTAGTATTACTAGTATTACTAGTATTACTAGTATTACTAGTATTACTAGTATTACTAGTATTACTAGTATTACTAGTACTACGTACTACAAGTACTGCTAGTACTGCTAGTACTGCTAGTACTACTAGTACTGCTAGTACTACTAGTACTACTAGTACTACTAGTACTACTAGTACTACTAGTACTACTAGTACTACTAGTACTACTAGTACTACTAGTACTACTAGTACTACTAGTACTACTAGTACTAGTACTACTTGTACTACTAATACTACTAGTACTACTAGTACTTCTAGTACTACTAGTACTACTAGTACTACTAGTACTTCTAGTACTACTAGTACTACTAGTACTACTAGGACTAGTACGACGAGTACGACTAGTACTACTACCACTAGTACGACTAGTACGACTAGTACGATTAGTACGACTAGTACGACTAGTACGACAAGTACGACTAGTACGACTAGTACTACTAGTACGACTAGTACTACTAGTACTACTAGTACTACTAGTACTACGAGTGCTACGAGTACTGCTAGTACGTCTAGTACCACTAGTGTTCTAGTAATGAATCGTTTTAAAGTCTGTCACGCGAGCACTGTGTTTGCAAATGGCCCGGGGGAGGGGGGGGGTGCGGCTCCCCAAAACCCACCCCCTTTTTTAAGCCGTGCAAGCTTGCTTCCAAACATATGACTCGTTTTGAAGCCCATCACCCAAGCATTGTATTTGCAAATGGGGGGGGGGGGGGTTGCGCCCCAACCCCCCAGCGTTTTTCAAGCCGTGCAAGCTTGCTTCAAAACATATGAGTTTTTGCTGAAACCCATCATGCGAGCATTGTGTTTGCAAATCAGGAGTTCCAAGATAGTTGGCAGAATGTGCGTAGAACCGGGCACGCTTTACCCGAACATGTTTTACATGTTTGGCGGGGCTGCTATACGCTGATGCATGACGTCTTCCCTGATGCTTTTAGTTAGGGCGCATGGTTTGCCTCTCCATAGATTCCCCGACTTCTCGTGCTCTGAGTTTGTTCAGTTAGCCAACGCCGGTGCTGTTCTGCGACGTGTCGAGAGTACTACCAAATCCAGGGCCATGTTTAAGCATCCGAAGGAGCAAACGTGTCGGCTCTGTCTTTGCCCAAAACGGGCTGGTGCTTTTGCCTATATGGTGGCAGGCCATGAACGTGAGCATTGTTTTGGTTCTATTATGGATAGGGGTGCTCAATAAGGTGGCCAAGTGGATGCAAACGTGTTGACCGCCTGAAAGCACTTTCTACCTGTTGGGTCGTGAGCCCCACTGCTCAAGAGATGGAGGTGCGTCGACCACTTCAGCTGTGTGGACGTCCCACTTCGAGAATGCCAAGTGGCTTCTTGTGGCGAAGCCTCATTGGAAATCACTGCATCCACCGCCTCCTTTCGAAACATTCGGTGCGGAGTTGCCAAAACGGACACTCTTCGTGAATCTGAAATTTTCATGTGCGTGCTGCCCTGAGGCTGGACAGCGATATTCTCAGCGTTCCAGTGGAGTATTTTCGAGATGTCAAGAAGCTCGCCGACGAATGCCAGAGCCTAACACGTTTCCAAGAGCTCTGCATCTCAGGCTGCTTCGACAAGACCATCTTGCCATTAAACTTTACATGATCTTAACCTAAGGTCCTCAGCATGCTCCGCAACTCTTAGCTGCACTCCTGGCCGCAGGGCGGCGGGCCACTCGGCAGCTCTGGTGCAGAACTCTTGCGGCTGCAGAATTTTGAGATGCTTGGAGAGGGTTTTTTCGGTAGTAAAAGGTACTTTTCTGGATACATGTTCTTTAAAATAGTTCTTCTCACGTTCTCTTCTCAGAGGTCTTTGTGTCCACCGCCGCGGGCGGGCCAGGTGCTCCCCAGCCTCAGTTCCAGTGCGTGCACTTGCATCCTGGGTGTAAGCAAAGATGGAAGAGTATTCGTTCAGGTAAGTATAAGTAGAAGTCTCAGTGCGTCATACAATTCTGTTTTTGTTTTGCATCATCGTGCCCATGTCGCAGGCACTCAAAAGGGCACGTGGGCAAGAGAAATGGGACGGTTTTTGCTTAACACATGCTTGGAGTCGTTCAATGCGGCTAAGGTACCCGCACGTATCTGTACCTTGGCTTCACGTGCACACATTCATCGGGTCAGTGCCTGCTGAAGAACTGCCGGGCAGTCCGCCCTTTGCAGCCTGTGCTTCAGCAACGGCAGCATGGTACAAGTAGCAAAAGCCTCATCACTCTTACTCGTGATTACATATCGGTTTACACCGTTGCGTTGTGATTGTGACAGCATAGTGCCGGATGCAAGGTATCCGAGGCAGCTGCTGCGCAGCACATCCTCAAGCTTGCCCGCTGACCTCCAGAAGTTTGCAGAATGTAGAAAGAGCTCCTTCCAAATGATTTTCGTCATCATGTGTAAGCGCCAGCCGCCAGTGCAGACTACTCCGGGAGCTTGACTCAGAGGCTTGCCTGCTGCACGTTGCTGGACGCAACTTCATCTCCCTGCACACCCAACCTGTGCCCATCGCGAAGTTCTCTGAGAGAAGATGGCGAAAGTCAAGATCATGTGACGCTGTGACGCCGTGAGCCTTTCCCTTGGATGCCATCCATTCGTAACCCATTCGTAACTACCTACAACTCACGTTTCACACCGACGACGTTCAACACGTGCTATTTGCAAAACATGGGAAGTGAGACTCTTCGGTGGTGAGGGAAAGGAATGGAAAGCAAAGTGTGGGCAGATGCTGGGCAGAGCAGAGGCTTGGAGCTACAATCATGCCCCATTGCGGGCCAACCAACCATCGTTTGAGGCCTGTGGTGCCCGATGCAGCAAGCGCTGGCTAACGGCTAATCATTCATTAGTTATGAATACCTGCACAAGTTTTTATCTCACATGCCTGGAAGGCTGCATTTGCCCTTGTTGCTTCCTCGCGGAGCACAGCGGATGTCTGGCCTCAGCGTGGCCGGCGTAGCTCGCGATTGGGAGCTGCATAGGTGCCTTCAACGCCCACTTCGGCATGTGCTTGTGGAGGCTTGTAATCAGGAGACCCTACTAATCTCTAGTCCTGGTAACTGGTTGCGTACGCCTCAGAGTGTTTGCATTGTGCACTCTTGATCCGGGCTGTGCAAGAATTCCGAAAGACGAATGCGACACACGTGGGAAAGGGAAGGAAAGAACATATGTTTGAGGGGGAGGGAAGTGCAGGTGCCTCATCTTCGATGACAGCTTTGAGCACCAGATACAGCCGCGGACATACCGACAGAATGCGGGTTCTTGTCTTGTGCTTGGTTTGTGCCGACACTCTGAGCATTGGATGCCATGGCCAGGATGCCTTGTGCTCAGGCAACTCAGACGCAATCGAACTTGTAAGTCGGCAAATCTGAATCTAAGCCTGTAAGCCTGTAAGCCTGAAAGCCGTGAGGAGGACTCGCAAGAAGCCAGCCTGGCGCAAGAAGCCAGGGCCGGGTCCTACAGCCAGAGACAAGACAGAGTCATGACCAAGACACAGTCATGACAGCATCCCGACCATGTGAAGTTCACTCAAGGTGGTGTTGATCGTGGACTTGTGGCATCCTGATGCTGACGAGAACCTCAGGCTCTGCACATCTCTGCACTTTTCCACCTTTTGAGAAGCTCGCGAGCAGACTGCATCCGACTGCAGGACTGAAAAGCCCAACGCAGCGACCGTGTGAAACGCGAAAAGAGCTCTCTTTCAGTGCTTGCCTTGTGGAGGAGAGCTACTGCTAAAGGAGAGAGTGATTTGACATCATTTATTGTCTGGAGTCTAGAATGTAAGCAACTAATTTCAAGGCAGCTTTTTTCAAGGCCGCCGACCCTCCGAGACTCAGCGGGTAATGCAAGCGACGCTGCATACACAATCCTAGAGTCGAGAATTATCAGCGCCACAGCACTCGTGTCGCAGGGCCTGAAGCATGTTGACGGTGACTCCTCTGGCAGAGAGAGTACTCGAAGAAGGTCCAAGCAGGCTGGAGTCGTTTGAAACCAACCTTCGGCATTTGGATTGGAATCGAGCTGCGCTTGCTTTGGCAGTTTTTGGCATGTCTTGGCTGTTCGGCCATGAGGGCATCACTGCGACGAGCTGACCAGCTGGAGGTTGCCGCAAGACCTGAAGGTCTAGGCAGCTGCTGAAACGCTGAGGCCAGGCTTACGAGATAACTGCCATGGCAGCTGGTTTTCCTGTCATCAATGCCAGATCCCTTTGTGCGTTTCAGTTTCTCGTGTTGCCCAAAGAGGCAGTCTCACGATTCTTTCACTGCCCAAAGTGGCGGTCACAAGAGCCATCCACTGTGAGAGTGAGGATGGTACGAGAATTCCAAACCGGCAGCTTCAGAACTTGTCAGTGGCAGGCTCTCATCCTTGGGCTCCCTTCCTCCCTTCCTCCCTTCCTCCCTTCCTCCCCCTTCCTCCCCGTTCCTCCCCCTTCCTCCCCCTTCCTCCCCCTTCCTCCCCCTTCCTCCCCCTTCCTCCCCCTTCCTCCCCCTTCCTCCCCCTTCCTCCCCCTCCCTCCCCCTTCCTCCCCCTTCCTCCCCCTTCCTCCCCCTTCCTCCCCCTTCCTCCCCCTTCCTCCCCCTTCCTCCCCTTCCTCCCTCCCTCCCCCCTCCCAACCAATTCGACAATAACTGCAATGAAATTGACCCAGTGGATGCAGCCCTGTCGGCCCGATATACAAGAGTAGATGTCACCAGCTTCATTGCTTACAGGCAGCTTTATGTCAGATTCAGCCCAGAACAAGCCTCCGCGCAAGCAGAGGGTAAGGCATGCCTGGAATTGAGGGAAGGCAATCAAGGGAAGGTAGCACACCCCTTCTGACACCCTATAGTCGCAGCGTGAGCAATGGAAGCAGAACCGCCCACAAAGGTCAGGAAACAATTGTCAGGTTTTCGGCAAGCGAAGCGGCAAGACAGCAAAGCATTTGAGCTTGAGCCCGATGCCGAAGAACCAAATCAAAAATACACCCTGCAGAGAGCTCAGGCGGACACAGTGGATGCCCAGGCAGATGCAAGTCAGCGAGGTCAAGTTCACTCAGCGGACAAGAGGCATCAATTGAAGCGCCAGCCAACCGTTGAGGATGTAGTCCAGGAACCCGGCCTCTCATCTGCGGAGGACCTCTTGTCCGACCAGAATCTGCACAGCACGCTTAGGCTGGCAACAGGCACAATGTCCTGGAAATGGCTCCGACGCTTGCCCCCTGCTCTACAGTGCCAAAGGGACCTTGGTAAGCTTAGTGATCCTGTGCGTGCTTCAGCGCTCGAAATGTGTAAGGCCAGTCTCCAGTGCTTGCTAACCGACGAAGCCAAAGCAGTGGCATGGCTAACCAAAACCGCTGCAAGCCTCGGTTGGTACGAGCTTGAAGGGCCCACTCGGGGACCAGAGGAGGAAGAGAATGAGGTTCGGAAGGTTCGGGAGTGGAACGAAGCGTACCGAAGCTTATGGCTTTTGCTCCGGCAGGGTGCTTTACCGGCTTTCTGCATTGAAGCCGAGCGTTTCTCAGTGATGGTCTTCGGTGACGGTGGCGGGACGTGGACATCACCTGCAAACGGGCAGCAAGTGAAGCCTTCTCGCTCTGAGCCATGTGCCATTCTGTGGCCATCCAGCCGTGAACTGAGGAGCATGCTGCAGGAAAACCACGTATACTTTGACATGCCACACATGCCACCACGCACGTTGCAGCGGCAGACTTCGGCAGCGGACGCGCCCAAGTGTTCAGCGGGTGACGGCACAAGTACCGCTGCCACAAATGCCCTAGTGCCACTTGCCAAAGGCAGTAAAGGCATGGAGGTCGAAAACTCTGTGTCCCAGACGAGGCAGGACCTGCTAGAACTGCGCCGTGATGGCGAGAGAGCAAAGGCTCCTGGAGATGGAGACTACGACTTCGCGAAGACTAAATCAGCCCTTTGCTTTCAAGGCGCTTGGCGTGTTCACTTACTGGTCAACGTGCTGCGGCAGCACTTCTTGGGACACCCTATGTCTTCAGCTGTGAAGATGCGTGGTGCTAAGAAGTGCAAGGCAGTGTTAAACACTGTAGGATACTGTAGGTTGTATTGCTCGGAGGCTTCGTTGCGGTTCTCTGCGTGAGGCCTCCGAAGTTGCCGAAGTTGCTGGCGCCTGGGCCGTTTGCCAATTCAACGGCGCTTCCCCAAGCAAAGCTAAGCGCGGTTTGAATTTGACTTTAGCATATTGCGAAATCACAGGGCGAACGGCATCACTCCCTGCGCCAGTTTGACAGGTGAAGTCAGTACAAGTTGCTTGGCCCTAAGTATGGCTGCACATCTCGAGCCATGTATCGGGGCAACCTGTGGCCCGCTTGCAGTGCCATGTTGCTGAGTGCACTTTCCGGTCAGGTCAGAGTCGCCAGATGCCCGGGCAACGAGGGAGGCGAACGCATATGCTGTGAAAGGTTGCACAAGAATAGACAATCACAGTCGCAGAAAAAGCAGGGCCTTCTCATCTCGCAATGTCAGCAGTCGTGCACAGGTGCCGGCGACATGGAGTTCATTGCCGAGCTGCGAGGCTCGCCGGCCAAAAAGACCTGGACCAGTGAGATGCAGACCTGGGTTTGTGAGATGCAAGGAGACTGATCTCACAGGTGATGAAAAATCTGTTCATCACTTTCCCATGAAGGTTATACTGAGATTAATATTTGACTGCTTGCCAGCGCACGAAAGTGTGGAAAATTTGAATTGAGTCCGGCCGCCGTGGCCTTTGCTACTCAGCCATCCAAGGTCGACTGTTTCCCACTCAGATTCGGATGTTCCTGGAGCACAGTTCTTAGTTCACGTGCCTATCATGTGCTGTGCCCTGCAAGACATGGCTTCTGACAGCCTTGCCAAAGGCTTTTGCGTGTCATTCTGCCCAAATTCAGTGATGGCCCTGGTTGCACAAAAAGAACGGTTGGTGTCGCCGACATCATATCATATCGGCGAAGTCATGCACAGGTTGTGAGTTCACATCTCCGCCGCGAAATGGTCCTGGCTCGCGCCTGTGCCAAACTTTTGACAGCTCTGAGTGGTCATTTTGGGTGCTGGCTTCAGGCACGAATGCATTTACGCAGCTGGAGCAGAGGTCGGTTTGAATCTTGTATCCAGCTGAATCGACTACGCTCGAAACTTGCTGAGCAGGCGAATCGAGAAAGTCCACTGCGAAAAAGATGGTGTGGCACTTTTACCAATGTGCAGCAAGTGGAGTCCCGGTTTGAGCATAGCCAAGGCAGTGCTGCGTGGCCTGGTTCCAATTTTCCATGCTTGCATGTCGTGCAGTCGCGCCCTGAATCTGACCTCTGGTTGCGCCGAGGAAGTGGCAGTTCCGGGTGGGCTAGACTTCCCGGTGTTGACATTGTTCCTCTGACTCGCTCTTGAGCCTTTGCGGCCTTCGCGCTCGCGACGTGTTCATGGTAACTCGCGCATGATGCAAGCCTACTACTTAATACGGCATTGATGGTTTAATGGACCCCCACATCTAAAGTGTCGCATACTGTGTTGTCACGGGACTTGTGCGTGGAAGATCATCTTCATTCCTTCATCCGATGATAAGCCCACAAGTTTTTTGACGACGCTTTACTTAGGCTTTATGTACTCGCAGCCGCTCATTGTCATGGATGAATGACCATCATGGCTTAGGCTTTATGTACTCGCAGCCGCTCATTGTCATGGATGAATGACCATCATGGTAGTCCATCTCTGTGTGTGGACTAAACGAATAGATGCCAAGATCAGCACCCTTGTGGGGTTTGCGTTGTACACCAATGCAGTAGGGTGAACTGTCAGGCAAAAAGATCATGTCGAGTGCAGCGGTCCACTGCTTTGAGTTCTGTTGAGAAGTTGATGCAAGACGATCCGAGTTCTGCTTCTGGGGCTTGCCAGCTGCCTCAAGCAAGCACTGCTAGTTGAGAAGATTTTGGGTAGAGCTTGTCGATGTTGTCATGCCCCAGGCGGGATGCTCAGTGAATCACGAGTCACTTTGCTGTTGTCTTGGCACAGGCAGTCAAATGCCGTCGATTGCCACTGGGCTCAGACCCGGTGTAGCTCGGAGTCGGCCATTTCATTGGGCCACTTTCGGCCACTACAACTCAACAGCCTGTTTCGACAGAATCTGGGATCTCTCTCCAAGGACCGGGACCGTTCTCACCGGACACGTCCTTTTCCTCTTCGCCGTTCTTTCTGGATGCAGGTCGGCAAGTTGAGAGCTCAAATTCAACTGCACTCATTGGTGCTTGGCGCGGAGCTATGCAGAGTTATGCTCTGCATGGCCGAGCTCTGCACGGAACAACCGTCGTGATGTCTTTCTGGGTTGAGCTGTGCCGTGCGGCAGGCATCTTCCAGGCACGTTTACTGGAGTCTATCCAAGGCGTGCCTGGAAATGATGTCTTGGATGTTTTGTGCCTGCTAGTGACAGAGGCAGCGAAGCCTGAACGTGCGCGCTGCAGCAAGCCAGCCGACAGGCGCCTTGGGCATTCCGTGTCGGGTTGATACTCTTGCTGATGCCGTCGAACGCTGGCCGTGCGCATTTGCAGGTTCGAGCTCGGACGGAGAGGCTGAGCAGGCAGCACTTGAAGTGCAGGTGAAGTGCTGCGAAAACCTTTCAGCAAAATGCAGTGCAGGCCATGGTGCTGGAGGAGGAGTTCAAAAGGCCTGATGCACCGAGTGCCAGTCTCGCAAATGTGTGCTCTTCCAGTCCTTGGCCCTGGCCCGAAAGTATGTGATGGTCATGTCTAGCCATGCATGATTCAGGACACATTCAAAGATGTGAGATTTGTTTTTGAAGGACCTGCACGAAAAGGATGTCATGATGGTGGTTGCCTACCATGGCAAAAGCACGTACAAGACTAGCTGAATGTTGCGTGCCGTGGATTATCATGCAGCCTCTGATGCAAGCTATGATGCAGCAGAAGTTTGTGAAGCTGAGTGCCAAACATGATGTCCGTGTTACCAGCGTGCGCCATGCTGCCAAATTCATTGCAGCAATGTCGACCCGTCCCCGTCTCCACGCGTCCATGCTGACAAAGTGGGGTACGAAGTCCGGGTTACCACTTCATGCATGCTGGACGCGTGTGACGACGTACTTGTGACGACGTACGTGTTCGCAACGCATGCCCAACGTGTGTCTGTTGGGATTTGGGCTTCGCTGTGGCCATCCTTCAGCGGCCCAAGAGCAGCATGCCCGAGTGCTACAAGCCCACAGGCTACAAGCCTGAGGCACTGGAGGCACTGTACTCAAGACCGGGGAAGGTGCCGGCATGTTCAAGCAAGAGCTTGCGGAGACGCGGACGTCTACAGGGCTTCGATCTTGGACTCGTAGGGGCGAAGGAGCCTGGTTATGTGAGTTATGTGTACAAGGCCTACGAAGACCTATGTACTGCGTGGCTCGTCAAATCCATCGTTCGCATGACCTTGATGACGCCCATCGCGAGAATGGGGAGTTGAAGGGTGGCGTGGGCAAGTGGGGGGGCAAAGGTGGGGGAAGTGGGGTGTGTGTGCGGGGGGGGGGGGGTAGGTATGCTATCCGGACACCTACTGTACGGCCCGATGCCTCAGCGGATTAGGACAGTGGGTTCTTGCTTGCTTTGACTCTATCAGCATTCGTGGCGCAGGGGGGAGACCCTCGAGCACGCTTCTCGCCTGCAAATATGTAAAGCATTGTAAAGCCACATAACGCCAAGATGCTCAGATGCTTGCCAGCCTTGCTTGCATGCACTTTGTTGATTGCCTCAAATTCCTGGTTCTTGCAGCATCGAATGAGGAGTTTCAGCGAGTGCTGGAGGCGAGGGTGCCAATCTAAGTCATGGTTATGCTGGTTTCAGGCAGTGACCTCGACGAACCTCGGAAACCGTGACAAGACGTCCTCCAAGATTTGATAAGCTCAGACACCGGGCTACAGTTTTAAGCCTACCTTCTGAGAAGCCCCCTTGCTGGCCAACCCCGGGCACCGTGCAGGGTTTGTCACGGTTCCCTGGCACCGAGCCCTCAAGCACACATGACATGCCGCATCAGGCGCGCGCCAGTGGACGTGACATCAAGCGCGAGCCAGGCCAACCTCCAAAATGCTTCCAGTGCAAGTCCTGGAGAACCTCAAGCGGACACCTTGAAGTTCGCTTGAATGTGTTGCAATCCAACACTCGTAACTGTCGTAACTCTTAAACCTCCTAGCCCGCAAATCAAGGTGACACCTGTGTAAATGCTGAAGCTTGTCCACGAAAATTATATCTTTATCTATATATATATATATGAAAATACGCAGCAAGCCCACTAAAGCAAAAATGCAAGCGGATGCAGGCAAATGCCTTGAGGGACTTTGTTTACAGGGGCAAAATATCTTGACCTCATTTACTTTCTAGTGCTCTTTCCAATAGAAAGTGCTTCCCTGGCATCGGAGCGAGGTTGTTGACATATCGACACATTTCCGCAGCATGTCCACAACATGTTTGGCACATGCCCATCCAGGCATGGCACAGGACAGCAGCCACACAGGGAAGTCCAGCAGCGCACCAGAAATCATGTGGCTTCAACTGTTGGATTTGGAGTTTTGAGACCTTTGACGAGTCGACAGAAAGGTTCACGCACATTTCGCTTTAGCAGAGGTCATGAGGCCTACGCCTGCCAGGCCAAAATGACCCCCATCGTTGTCCAACAATACAAAAGGACGATGAGCACTTCACGCTTTTCCTGCCAGCTGTGAAAGGGGCCTTTTGACTTGCATTAGGATTCTGGGTCTTCTCCCGCCCCCTGTTGCTCTCACCAATGCTTCCGGGCTCAACTTGGACGTTTCCCACTTCTTTTGTGGCGTTTGTATTTTGGCTCACGACTCACACCATAGTTCTACGCCTTCTCCCGAGCTGGTCGTCCCGCTTCTGTGACGGAATTTCGGGTGGCTGCTGGGATGGGCCGCGGGGGCTGGAAATTGGCCCTCCTGGGCGGCTCCCTTGTGTCTCCTTGTGGGTGGCTGAGTTTTGCCATGTTTTGGCACTCTGGTGTCTCTGACGTGAACAACTTTCTTGTTGTTGTCGATGCCATGTCACAACCCGGCCCGTTTGCCACGAAAACCTTGCTGCAGCCTACCTTCAATTCTCACAGAAGCCGACAGAGCTGGCACAATACACTTGAATCTCCACAGCTTTTGGTCCTGGATGCTCACAATTTGCAAGTAAGCAATGATCCTTGATGTTTTCTTCACATACCTATGCATTGCATGTGGGCTCCTTTCAGGGCATTCTGGTTCCTGGGTCGGGTGGTGGTGGGCGCCGTTGTGGCTCCCTTTCTGGCTGCTTGGGGTTAGGTGGGCCGCAGGTCCTGAGCATGGCTCGTCGCATGCAGGACATTGGGCACATGCTCTCTTCACGGTTGCTGATGACCCTTTCTGACTACTGGATTGGACGGAAACTGTGCTCCCTTCATGGCCGCGGCTCCTTGTCTTTCTGGAAGGGTGGGCCATGAGGGCGGAAATTGGGCTGCTCCATTGCTGCATCTTGGGGCGGTGGCCATGGGTGGGTCGCAACGCCGAATTCGTTCTTTCACGGCTTCTCCTTGGGGTTGCGGTCAGATGGGCTGCAGCGCCGGATCCAAGGCTCGCATGTGGCTCCCGCTTGCCTCCTTCGGCTTGTCAGCCAAAGTTTGCACCTCTGGAAGCGTAGAACGCTGTCACGAAGCAGATGCGAACCTTTGGAATTTCATCATCATAAGGTTTTGATTGGATTCGAGGAGAAAGTGGGGATGACCGAAGGTGTACTGCAGCCACACGAGACCTTGATTTGCCTTTCTTCCTGCTCACAGACTTCCGCCCCCCCCGCCCACCTGACCAAAATAATACGCATTCGTTTGAGTGAAAGGCAGGCCTCGGGTGCAAAAGGTCTGTCAATCATGGGTTTTGTGCGCTCCGCGCAGGCCTGGAAGCCAGGAGCGATGTTGTCAAGCAGCGATACAGCATTAGACGTGTGATGCATTAGCATACGCTGGCTAGTGCGATCCAGGAGCGATTTCGAGGCGCAACGGGGAGTGCGGTGGGGGGATTGTTTTTGAAATGCAACGTTGGGTTGGTCCGATTCACGCAGGTCTTTGTTCGCAACAGCATTGGCTCGGCTGTGGACATCATCTCTGGCATCGACTTCAGCAATGGTGTCACTTGGGTACCTGCCCGCATCACTCCTGTGCAAGCATGGTGAGATTCCTAGAGTCCTAGAGCTTGTGATGGTTTCCTCCGCCTCTGTCTGATGGCCCTTCTGCTGTTTCCAGCAAAGGTAGCCCACATGACAGCTGTACAAGGTTAACCTTTCAATTGTGGTAGGGATATAAATACCCGAAAAGATAAAAGGTTACCTGCCCAGCTACTAAGCTGGGCCTCAGCACTTTGGGGTTCTTACCTTACATCCTACACCCTACACCCTAAACCCTAAACCCTAAACCCTAAACCCTAAACCCTAAACCCTAAACCCTAAACCCGAAACCCTAAACCCTAAACCCTAACCCTAAACCTGAACCCTGAACCCTAAACCCTAACCCTAAACCCTAAATGGAGTCGGGGCCTCTTGGCTTCCTCGGGCCCTGAAATGGGTCATCGCTCACCCTGCAGTCGCGAACACCGCGTAGCGAGGAGCCCTTCCATTGCCTGCTCCCATGCGGCAATGGAATGGTGCAATGCTCGGGACAGACGTATCAGGCGGCGGATGCGCAAGGCCGCCATAGGGATGCCAAGCCCCAGCTGCCTTCACATGTTTGGAAAGCGGGGCCGCAATTGCGGCACAAAGTCCAGGAGTTCCGACGAGATCGCAAGGAGTACAAGAAAAGCACAAGTTACCGTCACGTTGTTGCAGCACGTCTGCATACCACCATGCGGCGCTGGTCTGCGGCCAGCTGCTGCTTAACATCACTGCGTGGGATCGGGGAAGCCCGGTGTCATGATGTAAATTATGAGAAACATGCACAAAGCATCGTGGACATGGCAAGCCGCGCAAGTATTAGGGCGAGCAACTGGGAGAACACAGTGTTGCTCCTCGCTCATCTGAATCTACAGCAAGCACCTGATCGCCTGATACGTCAAGAAGTTGGCGTTGGCATAGGGGCAGAACAGCGCTGGAGGCAAGCTCTCGCCTACTTTGAATTTCTGGTGCAGTTTGGCATGCGCCCATATCAGTCCTACTACAGCACGACAATGCGCTCATGCGGCAAATCACTTCGCTGGGATTGGAGCCTTGAGCTCCTGTGGAACCTTTGCCGGGCTGGTATTGGCGTGGACGTCCACCTCGAGAGCATGCAAATTGATGGCCCGTTTGAACAAGCAGCACAGGCCTGTCGCCATGCAGGGTCCTGGTCCTGTGCTCTGAGTGCCCTGAAGATACTGCAACTTGCCCGTCGGGTTTCTGCAGCAACATCCGCTCTTTACGTGAAGGTTATGGGCGCATGTTGCTGCAGCAGGACTTGGACGGGCGCTCTGACCGTGCTGGAGCAGGTCAGTCAGGATGGCCTCCGGCCTTGTCTGAGGACTTGCACGGCTTCATTGGTTGCTTGTGAAATAGGATCGCGCTGGGAACGGTCTGGATTGTTATTGGGCTCTATGGAGAAGTGGCATCTGCACCCTGTTGAAGGAACGTTCAACCCGGTCTTGGAGGCATGCCATAGCGCCAGCAATTGGGCTTCAACGTTAGCATATCTGCGTCACATGAGCCAAAGCTATTTCGTGCCTGATGCGAGAAGGTATGCATCTACTGCCCGAGCACTGCTGAAGAACCGCATGATTGACGGAGCACTGGGAATCATTGGGGAAATGCAGCAATTTGACCTGGACGTGGGCGTTACTGGGCCCATTGTGTTCACGGCTAGCATGCGAAGCTTTGCGGAGTCGGTTGCTTGGAGACAGGCGATCCAAGCACTGGGCCATTACTTCGATTACGGCCTCCAAGCAGACATGCAACTGCTCTGTGCAGTTGCCACCGCGTGCAGAAGAGCGGACAGCTGGAGTCACGTTCTGCGTGTGCTCGGTCATGCTGGCATCGAAGTGGATATCACTGCTCAGAATCTGGCAATTAGTGCGTGTGCCTGTGTCTGGGCCACAGAGGGGCATGAGGCACGGTGGCAGTAGACAAAGGCAATCTGTTTGCCGCAATGTTGCCCGTGTTTGCACTCTGGTTTTTTCAGCTGAGGTCCTTCGGTGGCAGCAGGCCCACGGCCTGGTCGGCACGGAACCCAAGCTGGGGGCGGTTCTGGAAGGCTTTTACACATTGCTGTGTCTGTGCCTTGAGAGTTGTGTTAAAGTCCAAGGATGCTTGGGGCAAGCTGCTCTGCAGCTTGATCATATCACATTACCATCTTGTTTGGGAATGACATCAACGCAGGCCGCACAGGCCTTTCGGGTGTGTGTGTGTGTGTGTGTGTGTGTGGCCTGCGAGGTCTCCTACCCTGTCTTTGAGATGTGTGTCGCGAGTGTTGCATGCCTGAGTAGACCGGATAGAGATGAGATTAAGGCTCTGACAACCTCTTTCCTGAGTGTTCGGACTGTTTCCGGCATGCGGAATCCGACTCGTATGCAGGTGGGCAGACATTAGCAAGCCCACGCTCCTAAAGCAGGAATGGTAACCAGCAGATCCTAGCTCCTGAGCTGTACAAGAGTAATGAACGGCAAACCTTGATCCATTTCGATCCCCAAGAGTGTGGTTGAACCGGCTCCAAACCCAAACTTGCCACGTGGCAAAAGCCGCTGAAGTCCATCAAAAGGCCTTGTAGCAAGTTCTGAGCTTTGACAGCCACGACCCCATTGTACGAGTTTTTTCTGTCTCGGCTTTGTGGCTAAGCTCTCCGATATTGGCTCCCGTGCACTATGTCTGTTACAGGCTCCCAATCCCCCTTTAAAGTTTGTTTTGTGCCACCTTCAGAAGTAGGCGGGTCTAGCAGTGCTGCATGACTGTGAACAAGCTCCTGGACTGTAATTGCACAGGCCCTCGTAGCGCGAGGTCTTCTGAACTACTACTGCCATCTCCTTGCATCAGGTTCAAAGAGATCCTAGTCAGCCTGGTGGTCAGTGGCAGGCAAGCTTCAAGCAACCTCCTCGTGAACATGGACAGTCGGACAGCTGCCAGCAGCTTTGGAGCATGCTTATGTTGAAGGCTGCGTGGCCCAAAGCTGCCATGATGCTTGCAACACCAGGTTCGCTGCAAAGCTTGCTTATGCTTGCTTTGTGTGATTTTGTGTGCATAGGAGCGTGAACTGACAACACGGTGCCTGATTCGGTTTCTCATGTAGAGGAAGTCGGCTTCTGTGCTTTCGCGGTTCCCACCCACACCGACTCCTGTTTCGAAGGCCCCAATCAGAAAGCGACAAGCTCCAACTGATTCCAACTGCCACCAGTGCCGCTCCAATCCGCGCTCTTGTAAGAACATCGTACAGTCAAGAGGAACCGCCTTAAGCTTTAAGAGCTCTATGAAACCTTCCAAAGCCGTGATGCGTTTATTGGGCCCTGAGATAGGCCAGGGCGGGGACCCTTCCGGCTGCCCTGGACTGCTGTTGGGGGTCAGGGCGGGGCCCCTGGTGACAGGCCTGGGCGGTCGAGGCCAAGGGCGGGGCGCCAGAGAAGGGTGTTTGCAAATGGGGGGTCTGCACCCGCAACGCCCAAGCCCCCTGCCTGGCCGGGCAAGCGCGCTTTGAAGAGCATCATGCCGTCTAGAGCAAATGCTGAATCTTTTCAAAGCCGTTATAGTGTTTGCAAATGGGGGTTGCGCTTCCAAACCCGCGATACGAGCATTGTGTTCGTAAATGGGGGGGTTTCCTTGGTGCCCAAGTCCTTGATGGAGACTGCGACGTGCGTGATTCAAGAAGTGGTTCAACTTTTGGATAGTTTTTGTTGGGATCTGATGGATACCTCAGCCGGATGAAAAGTCATTCGATTGGTCATGCAGAAGGGATACAATGAGAAAGACGACTTTGAGTACTTCTACAGTCGTATAGTGCAATTTAGAGTATTCATGGCAATCGAAATCTTTGTCTTGTTGCACTGGCCGTAATACATTTTTTGAACAATTGATTCGCCCACACATGAAACGAGCAAAACACTCCGCCAGTGAAGAGCTCAAGACTTTGTTGTAGACAGGTTTCCGCACCGATGCGATGCTCTGCTACGCCGCTGCAAAGTTTTACGAGAAGGCTCTCGTTTGTTAGCAGGTGAAGCGCTCGCATGTCCCCTTTCGATGTGCACACTTTGATAGGCGCTTTGCTGGAAACAGGCGCTTGAGATCTTACATGTCACTTGGCTGCATCGCTAGAATCGGAAGAATGCGTGGTTCGCATTGGACGCTCCAGCCTCATGCGACTCTGATGCTGTGCTGGACATGGTAACGCTGGAAGCCGAGGTCCTGCCGACTGTCGGCCTTCGCCCAGACATCGCCACATTCAATTCGGTGCCGCAGGCTCAGGATCTCTTCGAGAAGTCCGAGGGAGGGTGTTTTCTTGCTGCGATTGACTGGTTTGATTCGAGGTTTCTCGCTTGCGGCCAGAGTCTCTTTTGGTCAAAAGCTTCAGATTTGCGAGCCCGGCCTTGTTGCATCATTTGCCTTGGCAAGGTGGCTCGTGTGAACCCAGCTCTTCGACATATAATGACATACAGTACCATGCCGGAAATGCAAAACCGGACACATATCAATTTTGCATCACTTGTCGGACTCCAGCAGCAGAAAAGCCACACACACACACACACGTAGGGCTCGGACGAACGGATACATCCGACTGCATGCAGTGTCGGTTAAACATTGTTAGGCGCGGCGTGTCGACACGATAATCGGCAGTTTGTACAGTTTGTTTACCGGTGCGGGCTCCAAGTCTGGAGGGGCTTTGGGAAGTTGAGAGTAGAGGGGCTTCTGAGCACATGCTTCTTTGGAGGGGGGGGGGTCTTCGGTCTTCGGACCCTTGGGTGCAAGGCTTCGAAGCCCAGGCCGCCAATTCAGGCCAACGGGTCGCCGGACACGTCAGGCAGAACTCAAAAGCGTCCATGGAGGTCTTCGCTGTGGAGAGGATTGGAGTGAGTAGAGGTGGGAATGAGGGGGGTGCTAATCTCTGAACGCTGGGCGAATCCTTTCATACTTCGATGGAGCAGGGAGGGGCGGCCGAACAGCATCCGATGGTACGGCAGCGAGTGCAGCAGGCAAGAAGGCTAGTGCGACTGGCCTTGCCAACATTGTAAGTAGACAGCAGATAACGTAGGGCAGAGCCGGGCAGAGACTCGGCAGACCAGCACAAAACAATGCTCCGGTGAGTCTGAACACGTCTTAGCGCGCCGGCTGCCAGGATGGAGCAGTCCACGACTTAGTTTCCATCGATGGCAGCACATGGCAGCCTGACTGAGCTGTCACTGAGTTGCCATTGGCATTAGAGTTTTGCAAGGATGTCTCGCCGCTTAGTCAAGAAGGACATGGTGTCTTTCGATGCCTTAGCGGCTGACTCAGATTGCAAGGTGTGCCAGTGACTGCTATGTTTGTTTGTCTCAGTGCTTTATAAGTCTCAAGTCAGGTCTCGGTGCAGGGGCAGCAGACCTTTTGGGCAGATGTGGTGCACCTCCTTCTGCACTCCAGGCACCGGCCTCATCCAGCCTTTCTTGCGCAGGTTGATTGCCATTTGGTTGCCATTGATTGCCGGATGCTGCAGGTCACAGCACATGCATCCTGACCGCGCATTGATTGGCCAATCCATCGCCGTGCTTTCTAGGGCGACGGCCTTGGCCGAAGCATGCCGACGTGCACCTCTGTCAGATCATTTCGCACCTTGTAGTCTTTGGACAAACGGTCACACGACTTGAAGCCTCTTCTGCTGAAGAACAACATGTCATGATAATCTGCTGAAGGAAGCCTAGGCCCTAGGCTTTTCTGGCTTTCGCAAAGTCTTGAGGCCAACAAGCCGGAGATAGCCGACATGGTGAAGCAGCATTCTTGGAGTCTTCGTTGTTTCGGCACGTACTTCCTTTCTTGAACGACCTTCTGCCAAGGTCGCGTTTTGCATCAAGCACAAGGGCCGCGCAAGTTGCGAGTTGAAAAGAACGACGTGTGCGTACACTAGCCAGTGCTCTGTACATAGATTTGTGATACATCGTGCTCCTCAAGTATTGCTCACAATGCCTCGCTCGCCAGTTCTGGACTTTGGTCATCGGCTTGATCGTCGTGGTTTGAACCTCGGCATGGGAAACCGAACCAGAGTCAGAGATGGGAAGAGATGCACAAAGACTGTCCACTGCCCGCAGTAGCGGTCTCAGGCCCAATGAAGATGTTATCTAAAGGCCTTGCGGCACGGGCCGGCCTGGCCGTCTGAAAGCTGAAACTCGAGTTTGGGTTTAGGGCCAGGGAGTCGGGACGTAATAAGTAAAGAAAGAAGAAGAACAAGAAGAAAGGGAAAAGGAATAAGAAGAAGAAGAAGAAGAGAAAGAAGAAGAAAAAGAATAAGAATCAGAAGAAAAGAAAGAAGAAGAAAAAGAAGAAGAAGAAAGGAAATAAGAAAAATAGTAAGAAGAAAAGAAAGAAGAAGAAACAGAAGCACAAGAAAAGAAAGAAGAAGAACAATAACAAGAAGAAGAAGAAGAAGCAGAAGAAGAAGAAGAAGAAAGAAAGAAAGGAAAGAATAACAAGAAGAAAGAGAAAAGGAATAAACAGAATAATAAGAAGAACAAGAGAAAGAAGAAGAACAATAAGAAGAAAACTAAGAAGAAGAAAAATAAGAAGAACAAACAAAAGAAGAAAAGCAATAACAAGAAAAATAGAAATAAAAGAAATAAGAAGAATCAGAAGAATAAGAAAAGAAAGAAGAATAAAAAGAAGAAGAATAAGAAGAAAATAACTAAAAGAAAAATAAAGAATAATAAAAACTAGAAAAAGAAACAGAAAGAAGAAGAAAAATAAGAAGAACAAGAAGAAAAAAGAGAAGAAGCCAAGGAGTCAAAAGAAAAAGAAGAAACATAAGAAGAAGAAAAAGAAGAATAAAAGAAATAATAAAAATATGAAAAGACAGAATAATGAAAGAAAGAGGAAGAAAAGACAGAGGAAGAAAAAAAAGAAAAGAAAGAAGAAAATAAAGAGGAAGAAAAAGAGGAAGAAAAGAATCCAGAAAAGAAAGAATAAGAAAAATAAGGAAAACGAATGAACAGGAAACAGAAGAGAAGAAAGAACAGGAAGCGACAGCCGAAACCCTGTATATAATCCTCTTCGTGCGCGCGCAACAGCATCATTGGCATCAGCGGCGTGGGGGCGGGGGCCGAAAGTCGCGAAACACACATCCGAAAGAACGACGAAACCCAGCTTTTCCCGACAAAAAAACACGTTTTCTCCGAGGTTGCGCTCCTTTTTCTGTTCCCGGCCCTCCCTCCCACGCCCAGGCGAGCATCATGAGCATCAGCGGCCTGGGCCCGCGGGCGAACAGGTGGCTAGACCCCTTGTTTTTGGATGCCTTGGCCGCTGTCGCCCGCCCCCAACCCCCCGGAGCTTCAGGGAGCTGCCCTTGGAGCAGCGCCAACCTACGCGACGTGCGCACGGTTGGCGCTGCGTTCATACACGGCAGCCATAACGAGGAGTTTTTGAACAGTTTTTCGCGCAACACGCAAAAAACACGGTATTTTTCCACCCGAGGGCCCTGGAGAAATGAAGGGCTCATGATGCTCACCCGTGGGTGCGCATCGTGAGCGTCGGCTGACCCCCCCGAAACCGTGGGTGTCAATGATGCTCACCGTGGAGGCGCGGCAGTGCCCCAAAACAAGGTGAAAAACACGGTATTTACGATGTTTTCTGGCTTTGTTGAGGCGCCCGGGCCCTCCTGTGGCCCCGGAGGCCTGTCGCTGATGCTCATGATGCTCGCCCCTGTTGAGGTGTCGGTACCCCAAACGTTGAGGTATATGTTTTTTTTTTGGGTCTTTTTTCGCATGTTCGCCCAATGTCAAAAAGCAGGGTTGCTGATGCGCGCCGGGTCACGCATCAAGCCCTCCAGGGCGTTTGGCGGCCCTCCAAAAACGCAGAAAAATATGGGTGGGTGTGGGTGTGGGTGGGTGTGGGGGTGGGTGTGGGGGTGTGGGTGTGGGTGGGTGTGGGGGTGGGTGGGGGTCGGTGTGGGGGTGGGTGGGGGGTGGGTGGGGGGTGGAACGAAGAAGAGGAGCAGAGGGTGGTGCGTGGAGGGGCAGTGGGGGTTGGCGCACCACTTGGCATTCCCCGGCACTCGACCCAACAGCGGGGTCGGCGGATTCAGAGGTATCCCCTAAGAGCTCCCGGAACCTCGAGCAGCCTGGCTGGTTTTTCCACGAGCTTTTCAGGCCTGCAAGGCCCCGAACGGCCCCGGCCACCCCGGTGTTTCTTTACCAGAGCCACTTGTTGCCTGTACCATCCTCTGGCCTCGGTGCTCCTCGGTGGTTCTGAGGCCTGGTTCATGACTCACTGAGAGCAACGACGACTCAGGCACAGACGCAAGGAAGAATAACTTCTAGTGTTCTGTCGGCAGCGTTGCGAGAAAACGCCAAATCAGCAACAGACTCCTGCACGTGAAAGCATGGTCACATGTTCCGTGCGCCCTTCTGCGTTGGCACACTGCAGAATGTCGAGCGCTTTTCGGAAGTGTCTGGCTTGGCTGTTTCTTTGCAGTGACTGCGGCAGGCCGAATTGGACACTTCGTACAAAGTTGGTCAGTCAGCACGCTGCGGCGCTGCATGGATGTCCGAAGCAGCAGTGTAGTAACATGTAGGAACATGTAGGAACATGTAGGAACATGTAGGAACTGTGCCGTGCTGGGACTGAGTGCCGCTCGGGCACCTGCCTCTGCATGCTGAGTCACTGTACATATTATAGTGTCTATATGTGCTGCATTTTGTCTTCGATGATCCGTTTGCCTGAGATCGGCCCCTTGCTGGGTGACATCATCCGGTGTAATTAAATAGAGGCAAAAGGTCCACGTATGCCAGAGAGCTTGCTGAATGTCCGTGCTGATGAATGCGTTCTCTCGCTGAACGGCTTGTGTCTTGTGCTAGAGAGGTGTGTAACTTGGAGATTTGCCAAGTCCAAGTTCAGTTTCAGATATAGTAGACGCTGGGTTTATGGAGCATTCGAGCATGACCTCACTGTAGGAGCTTGTATGATGGCAACAGCGAATATTACTGCAGAACCTCTTCTCATGCAGCTGGACATTTTTCCACGTTCCCAACAAAATCTGACCCAAATCTCGATTCGTTGAATCTGCTGGGCTCAAATTTCGCAGATTTCTGCAGTTCGACGGCAGATGCGGCGATGGGTGGCCACGACGGTGACCATGGACATGGCCACGACTTGGAGCGGCCCCTGATGGATGAACATCGTGGCCATGGCCATGGCGACGGCCATGGGCATGGCGGCGGGCATGAGCACGGCAACGGCCATGGGCACGGCGACGGCCATGGGCATGGCAACGGCGATGGGCATGGCAACCATGGCCACAGCCACGGTGATGGACACAGCCATAGTCATCACGCCTCTGAGATGTCGGAGTCGGACTATCTCGATGATGAGCAGCGCCTTCAGAAAGCCGTGCTGTGGGCTCTGCCCCTTGGCATTTTCTTCGAGCTGCAGGTTTCAAGAAACCATGCGATCATCTGTTCATGCGCCCGCTCCGTCCGCGTGTCTGTGCAGGTTCTTCATGCTGATTGAGATAGTCGGTGGCGTGCTCGCCAGCTGAAAGCACATAGTAGTTTGCTACCTTTGGATTGTAAAATGTAGCTTTAGCAGTCTGAGTGATGCCAGTGGCCCAGGCCAACTCATTGGCTGTCATTACAGATGCAGCTACTTGGAGAAAAACCGAGGAGCACAATGGATCACAGCAGAGCCAATTTGAGGAGTGACGCGGAGAGCGGACTGAATGAAGAAGCTTAGGGCGGCCGCTTAGGCGCACATGTTGTCCGATGTCGGCGGCTTCATTGTGTCCTTGGTTGCGCTGCAGCTATCCAAAATGGAAGCAACCAAAGAATACACGTATGGCTACAAGCAGGCTGCAGCTGATTCTTCACATTTCTTCATACTGTGATTCATACTATTTTCATACTCGCTGACAATGAGTCACAGATTGAGTCACAGATGAGTCACAGATGCCGTCATCCGTCAGCAGGCAGAAGTCCTTGGAGCGCTGTTGTCTGTGGCCATCGTCTGGGCACTGACGGCGGTGCTGCTCTGGGAGGCCTTGTAAAGATCTGTTTGTTGAATCCTGTTTACGCTTGCTCGGCATGGCGGGTCGTAAGCGTAAACTCTGCATGTCGACCGCTTAGTCCGGGCTCGGAGTGGAGGGTTCAGGGCCGTCGGGCTTTGGGTTGAGAGGTTAGCGCTTTTGGGCTTAGGGTTGTACTTAGTTATTAGGGGTTTTCAGGAGCTTGGGCTATTGGGGGTCCATGTCAGCGTCGGGTGTTGCGCGGAGGCAAACGTGTCCTTTTGTGCTCAGTGCCACTAGAAGGCACTACTGCAGATACTGCAGGGGGTTTGCGTGGTCTGTGAGAAAAGCCAAGAGTGCGAGTTTTGCCCTCAGGGAAAAGGGCAGCCTTGGGTTCCCCAGTGAGGGGGTGCATAGGTGTTGCAAGGGGACAGTCTGTCGCTAGTCTCTCCATTTCTGAAGGCGATCCCAAGATTTTTCAGGAGACTCGGCTCAACTGCCAGCCATGTGTTTTGTAGCATCTTGTAGATCCCAAGCTGATGCCGGTATTTGACAAATTCAGGCCACAGCCGGTGAATGGCCAGCTGATGCCACCACCCCAGACATGCGAGGGCTGCCTCGGGGTCCCAATGCAAGGTGAATTCGCGTTCGCACTTCGCTGCAGGTTTATCATTGCAGCCATTGGCTTCGGTGTGAATCTGATATTGATGAAGGCTACCCACATGCGTTTTCATGATGTCATGTGTTTTTAATCTCTTGCTATGCGCGAACGAGCCTGCATTTACCTTTTGTTCAAGCAGCGTGGTTGTCAGTGAGGTTCTCGGGCATGGGCACTCGCCGCTTAGCTGACCGAACTGACGCCAGCAAGAACCTGCCATACCAACTGTGCTCGGGAACATCGAAATAGCCGGCAGGCATGATGACGATCATGGACATTCGCATGAAGACGAAAGCGTTGCTGTGCAAGCTGCCCTAGCTCATGTCATAGGAGACATTGCCGCTTGGCGTGACAGCTCTTGTGTAACTGATAAGGCTGATAAGGTGTGGCCGAAGCATTGCAAGGTTGAAAGGCTCCACAAGAACTGAAAAAGTGCGAGATTGGTGTGAGAGAGCGAAGCTAGCACCGTCACGTGCTACGGGCCTTTGAGTGGGACTCAGGAAAATCAAGGGTTTGTCTCTTGATTGTGCGGATGGAACCCCGGAAAGAACAGAACCCATGGAATCCTCTTGGAATGGCGCGGCATGGCCTGAGCAGCACGGAGTGTTCAGCTTGCGAATGCCTCTGTGCCAGTCGGGATGCTCCAGGTACACGAGCAATCACAGGGATAGAGCTTCCAATGACTAGAAAATGCTATGCCCCGTCGAGGAACTCAGGGACATGACACCAATGATCACCAATGTTTGTCTTTTGCATCATGGTGGCCTTTGACCACAATCTTGGGGCCAATCGCTTCGAGTCTTCGAGTGATGCGGTACGGCTTGTGAAGCATAAGAGAAGCACAGAGCAGAACCTGAGCCTGGAGGCCGCTTTCCACCAGGATCTTCCAAAGGTTTCTCGCGGGTCCCGGCGAAAGTCCTGGGGTTTGGGAGGCCCACAAAAAGCCCCGATTGTTGGGTCAAGGGAAGGAAAAAGGGGTGGGAAGTACTACCGCGGCCAAAGTTAGACGGGTGCCAGACACACTTGGTGATGCTTCATAGACCCGAGGGCCTCTCAAGGGCTGAGCCGGTCCAAGGTTCAATCGCTGGGCGTTTGCGTGGCAGCCTTGTGCATTTGGTTTGAGCCGTTTGATATCGGATCGACCCCGATCCCAGATGGCGAGGCACCGCGCATGTTTACGTAGTCACTCACTTGATCTTAGTTTTGCTTGTCCTGGTCCCAGTGTCCAGAAGCCATGCATATGTGACAGGTCAGCAACTGGATATATGCCGTTTGGCTGCATCATGTTGTTAGTGCTTACTCTTCGAGTGCTTTCATGACTTCGACGCCTCTGTCCTTGCTGGGCCTAGACTTAGTAGGGCTTTAGTCACTTTGTTTTTGCCTTTGAAGTTGCGTGGCCGCAACCTGAAATCGCCTTTGTTGTGAGCTCTTGTGAGCTGGTGGCATGCAACGCCTTCGTGGGGCAAGCGAGACCAGAAAGACAAGGAATGCGAGTGCTCCTCGATACATTCCACGATGCGTACAGGTCCAACGAAGACTTGCGAAACGGAACAGCGGGGATGCACCACCTCGCCGGTCGGAATGCAATCAACACCGGGAGTGCAGTACGTGCCTCAAGGCGAAAAGCAAAGCCATTCAACAAATAGGCCAGGCTCTGCCTGTCCTTTTTTGTGAACCCAATGAAGACCCAAGAACTGACCGTTCGGACCGGAGCGTTGGGATGTTTGCAGGGCATCTTAAGCTTGGCATGGCTGTGCCGCGTGGCTCTGAAACCCATGACACGATTGGTCAGGCAGGCGGGCAGTGGCATTTCTGTTCCCATCGCTGAGGCCGACCCACTCTGCACGTGCCGCGCAGCTGCAAATCAGAGCATCAAAGTCCGGACAAGCGGCCCCCAGACTCTGAATGCGTTGACATACCCTGAAGCGGATACCACTCCCAAGAGTCTCCCAAGCTTGGCAGTGGCGAAGCCTGCAGTTGCGACGCGTCACCAGCGTGCGGGTGAGGGGGTAGTTGACACAGTCCCCACAAACCACTCCAATGCAAGGGGGCCTTTGGGGGGGGGGCTGGGAATTGGGGGGCCTTGGTGGGAGGGCTTGGAGGGGGGGCCACAAGTCAAAAAACGACCTGACAAAGGAGATCTGCATTAATGGAAGTTCGAATCGTCATCCACCGAGGCCTCGGGCTGTCTGTGTTGCAGAAAAGTAGGTTTCACTGGTGCCTCCCGACCCCCCCTTTCGGGCAGCCCCCCCCCCCTCCCCCCCCCCCCCCCCCCCCCCCCCCCCCCCCCCCCCCCCCCCCCCCAAAGTACGGAAAGTCCCGCTTTCACACCACAAGCAGTTACGACACCTTTGTTTTCCGATTACTGTTTCAGGAAGATCAGGAAGGGAACCGCATGGCATCGATCCAGGAGGATCCAGGAAGGCTGGTCAAGAAGCGCGGAAAGTGAAACTTTTCCATCGTTTGTTGCCCTCTACGCTTAAGGTACGCCGATCTGAAGCACTTTGAAACATACTGCTACCGTCAGAAATCCGATTGTGGATTGCACTTTCAGCAGGATATCCTGTGCTCATAGTTTTGTTCTGTACGCCGCTGCTCGGACGCTTTTGGGTAGCACAGTGGCGGGGTCCGGCAACCCTGGGCAATCAGCAGATTCATGTGATCGTTGGTGGAAGCTCAGGTATGTTTGGGGTCATTGTGCTACACACCACGCGATCAACCATGGCGGCTCAGCAGGTTTATACGCAAGTTTTTATTAGAACTTGCTAATGACGCTTGCAGTTGCAATTCTTTGACAGAGCATGAAAGGGCTAAATGCGGAGTTGGCTCAGAGCTATTGCCCAAGGTGCGCACCGTGGAGACATTGATGGGTAAAGCACCGAACAGCATCAACCAGATTCTCGTTTTGAGTGTTCTTCAGTATCTCGTTTTCGTTGCCTGACCGCCAAAGGCTGCTGGGGCTTCAGAGGCGTTGATGTCGGCACAACATCTAAGGGACTCGCTTTCGGAGGAGTTGGTTCGAATAAAAAACGCATCTTGGCAGCACGTCGAACATCATTCAGTCGCAATTCCTCGACATGCAGATTCGGGTGAGCCGGAGGTTAAATCCATTCACGACCTCCATGTCTGGAAGCTTGGATCCAGCCAAGTATGCTGCACTGCTCACCTAGTCGCACCTTGACTGCGTTTGCATTTCAGGGGGCTGTATTACGGGCTGTACGTGCGTGTCCTGGACCATCCTCAGGTTGATGCGCCTGACCATCAAGGACGGGCATTGCGCGAGGCTGGTGCCGACGCGGTAGGGAGCTTTATTGGCAGAAGTTTGCCAAGCACGTTTCTTGTAGGAAGAGTTTAGACCACATGAATTCGAACAGCTGCACGACGCGTGTTTTCATGCAGGCGATTGCGATAGTCAAGCGAGCAGGAATCGGACACAGCACTTTCCAGATGGAGGCAAGACACGTCTTCAGTCGCCAAGTCAAAGCTTTGAATACTTTCTTGGCACGACGCTGAGTGACGTGAGAACTGATTCAGACAACTGAACCCAGCTTTAGCACTTCATCTGTTCGACAATATCGTCGCAGCACCATGGTCCAATGATATCTGCTGAGTCGTGATTTATGTAAGTCGAGCGGAGTGGGTGGTCCTCCAGCAGGAGGCTAGTGGAAGAAGAGCAGGGATGGGGACTTTGCGCATGTTGAGCTAGCATGTTTGCCTTTTTGATTCTTTTTTCCCGAACGCGGTTCAGAAGTTCGTTCCTTTTCGTTGATTCAACAGGCGTGGACATTTTTCGGTCTCCATGTCTCTCCATGTCTTCATGTCTCGTACAAATGCATTCCTGCTCAGAACGTTTGCTTCGCTCAGAACGTACGAAACCCTCGTCACTTAGATGGTGTCGAAATGTTTGTGTGGAAAGTAAATGGAACGTACGAACACCTTGTAAATGACTTTCCATGCGTGGAACATACGCCAAGGGCTGAGACAGCCTTCGCCGGTCTGGCAATGGCCACAAGTCTACAGCTGGCCAGTAGCCAGTTCTTGCAGGATACGCAGCACTCGCTCTTGCCAGAAAGGGTCGTAGTAGGGTCTGGATGGGTACACGTGGTAGAGATGCACGTGCGCCCACAGAATGCAGTGAACAAGAGAATTCATGCAACAGACATTCCTGCGATTGTCCTCCATCGTCAATTGAGCCAATACAATTCATCCTCCATCGTATACTGAGACAATAAATACAATTGATCGCTTCTGCAATTTCTGAACCAAGTCCGACCTCTTCTGGACCTGTCGTCGAAGTTGTCCCTCGACCAAGGCGAGTATTTCGCATTGCTCGGCTCGAGACGTCCAAGACGAAGAGTCAGCGATCGATTTCTTGCTTGTGCTTGAGCCGGTCCATCGCACGATCCGCGAGAGGGTTGGGAGCCACTTTCTGAGCCCTACGTTCGAGTCCAAACTCGTCCATCCTTCTCTGTGGTGATTGCATTTTCCTGCTTATTCCTCTTGCCGCATTTGTCCCGGATCTGCAAGCGGGGTCGAACTAGCCTGAACTGTTAGGCAGTTTCACAAGGGCATTGTTTGACCAGTTGTATGCCTTAACATGCTGAAGCCCGCCCCATTTGTCCAGTCGCTGCCCGTACTGCATTTTCTCCGAGGTGGTGTAGGAATGATTTGGTTCGTGAACGGTTCGGTTCTTGCGCGGTTCGGTTCCTACGGTTCCTGAACCGTGCCCTTTGGCTGTAGCAATGGATCTGCCATGTTAACATAATGACATAATGCCATTGATTGTTTCCGAAAAGCTTGCCATACTGCTTGTAGAGAGCCCAGGTTTGCTTGGCCGAGACCTGAAGAGTAGCATCGGTGCTGATTTAGCAGCCCCGATAGTGGAAAGAGTTTAGAACATGCGTCCTTAGGTGTGCTGACACTTTCCGTTGGGTTGCGGCGTGGCAGGGAGATTCCGCCCGCAGGAGAAACCCAAATCACCAAATTGTTCTTGACTGCATGACTGGTTTTGAACGTCCGAAATCATTGTTGTTGAAATAGGGCGGTCTCGTTGTCGAATGTTCCACAACAACGTCGTCAAAACGCGCAGGGGTGCTATTGGCGAAAGCGACGGGGTCGTGCGGTTATCATGTTATGGCATGTGCGAAGCAGTCGAACTCACCGTGCGTTGAATTTTGTCGTGTTTTGGAGCGTTCGACAATCGTCACGAGTCACATGGGGTCGTAAGGCTTTCGTGTCTTGAAGCGTTCCTGTTCTGCTGCATCTTTGTTAAGTGACAAGGCCCCTTTGGCTTCTTCCTTGAAAGGTTTCGGGATATCTGCTGTCCGGCTAAATTTTTGTTTCTATGCAGGTGCTTGGCGAGATGGTCGTGGACGGCTGTGGAGGCACGACCGGGAACCCTGAGGAACCTTGTGGATCTTCACCTTCCGAAGGAAAGTTCCAAGCCCGCAAAACCAAGCGTAACACGACTTTACACAGCTACTAGGGTTTTGTGTGTGTAGTCGCGGATCCGCAGGGCGGCGAGGGTATTGTCCAAAAGAATGCTATGGACCGGCCTGTTGTCGAAGCAATTTGCAGGTACAGGGTGCATGCTACCCACGAAGTAGTGCTGCATCCCCACATCTGATGGACAGGTTGTGACGATACGAGCCCAAAGATGTCTCCGCATGGCCACTCGCACGACCACGAGCACGACCACGAGCACGGCCACGAGCACGACCACGAGCCTAAGCATGCACATGAAGCTCACGACGGTCATTCCCATGGCCATGGCCATCCTGGCCATGCCTAGTCACCAGTCTCCTAAATTCGAGACGTTGAAAGGATCTCATTCTGCTGTTGAGCTCCTCCCTCACCAGGGGGTCAAGTTCTGGCAGTTGCAGGCAGTGCGTAGAGGAGCCTTCTTTCTGATGATTCCCAAGACTCAAGTATGTCGTGTGGAACCTGACTCCTTACCGCATTGCCTGATTCGTCTCAGCACAGGACCGATTGTTATTGAAAACTGGGGCTTGGGCCCACGCGAACCTCTTCGGGGTTGTGTCGTGAGAATGAACCTGTGTTTAGTTGGGATGTGTATACCTGACTTTGAAGCCCGACAACTGCGAAGCACTAGCCCCACACACGCACACATACCATCAAACACAAAGAAGGGTGGCGCTTGCCCAGAGACTCGCAGAGATGATCGCTCGTACCATGTCTGCTATGTTGCCGCGATGTTGCTGCGTGGAGCGACTCTGGAAGCCACATCTGCAGAAAAAGAAAGCAAGATAAGTAAGCCACTGTTTGCTTCTTTGTATTTGGTAGATACGGCGGCTTTGAGTGTTGCCCATCACGGTGCTCGTCTCTCCCGGCGGCCATTTTGGATGTAGCCGCTGGCGTAGCCCCAACTGCCGCTCTGCAGCGGAGGGCTCAGGAGCTCCAAGGTGCTCGCTGCCGGTCAAGCCTCGTCTGCTCAGGGCAGTCATGGCCGTCATGCAGCCTCACCAACTCAATTGTGCTCAGTCCTCAGAAGTGTGCCCTCGTTGCTTTCGTGGCGGTCTGTAGCGCTTGCTTCTGAGGAAAGAAGACGGTTCGGATGGCTGGCTATGGCAGCTGTAGCTGCCTCAAGACATGATTTCCGCAGAAACAGCAGCGCATCAACTGATATCGCCCTAGCGACCCGTGTAATTCCAAGAATCAAGTACGCTCTTGTTGCTGGGTGCGCTTCCGTGGGCCAGTTTATGGCATGAATCCTGCAGTTTTCATCTTACAAGTTTGGGTGGGGTGGGGTCTGCTTGCGTGCATATGCTAAGCGGTTTCATCCGAGAGCTGCTTGGTCGTTTTAGGTCTTTTCTTTCTCTCTGTGGTTCGCCGTGTTGCACAAGGCTACCGTGGCCATGGTCACATGTTTCGGGCACAGCCGGCAATTTCTCTGGGAGCCTGAGAAAATCTGCGAAAGGAGGGAGATGTCATTGCCAGGCCGGGAAGCACGAAGAGCTTCGTGACAGGCTACACGGTGTCAGGTCGGAGCCTGGATGAATGTGCAGAACTAGCTTGACCGGTGCGGAGCAAATGTGATCAAGCAGAGCAATGCTTGCACATGGAAGAATGCAAGCAGACAGGAGCCGCGCCTGACTGCAGCCCTGTAGTTGCAGTCTCAGTGAATTGATTTCAGTTCCAATCTTTCCAGCTGCGCTGTGCCGCTCTGCAAGCTTGCAGATGCAACTACCAACTGCCGTAGAAGACTTCAGAGCCATCCTGATCCGGCGTTCACCTGCTGTGTTGCCTATGCTTAGGCCATGGAGGCCAAGCGACAGCGAACCTGGCCTATCAAATTCCGACAGCCCTGCCCTCATCCAGACAAGCAGACAGACAGCCCCAGACGGACTCAATCAGATCAGCGTTGTCTAAAGAACTTGCAGGGGAGAGTGATGTTCTGTATGCTGAGCATGCACGGTGGATCACGGTGGCTGTCTCCAGGAACGCGGAATATTTGGCGCGCCATCCTCCACCAGCCATGACAGAGAAGGCTTCTACCAGCGGATCGTTGCTAGTACCGCAAGTGTTTTAAGCTGTCTGGGGACGCCTTCGGAGACGCCACCGGGGACTACAATTTAGTGCTTTACATCGTGATTTACTTGAGAATGCGAACGTACAATCTTCAGTGACTTATATTAACTTGTGCTTCACTTTGTTCTTGAGCTTCCTGAGCGCTTGGTCTGGCGCAGAAGCGGAAGCGACGTTTGCTCTATATCAACCTCTTCAGGCGCCAGGTGCCAGATTTGGGGATTTTCGCATTGTTTGCTGCGAATCTTGCATACGAACGTGATCAAATGTGTACAGTACAGCTCAAGCATGAAAAACATCAGTTTTATAATTTCTACAGAGTCAGCAGACTGAAAGCCCAAGGGCCTGGACTATCTTCAAGCTTAGCATCCCAGTGCCCATGCATTCCACTACCGACACGACAACAGACTTCCAACGCACTGCCAAACACCAGGAAACAAAAATGAAGCCATCAAAGCACAACGATCCGCTAAACAACTCGACACCTTGCGAACATTGTGAAGTCCTAACTCAACCGCAGCAAATCCGCTTTTGCAGGGTCGCTTGTAGGTGCGCACAATCATACGTCCGACAATCAAAGCAGGCCCGGGAGGCCTGCAATTCTAAAGGCCTGGCATCATGTTTCTAGTTGGCAGAGTCAGGCATGAATGCTCCAAGTACGGGACTCCTAATGCGTGATGACGTACTTTGGTCGTGGCATAGGCTGGAAGGAAAATCGTGAGCACACGGCATGCTTTGTTGAGCGCAAGCTCTAAGTTTGGAACCAAGTATGGTCCCTTACCCTTGCCCGCTAATTATGTATAGCTTATACAAGGGTGCAATAACAAGGGACCCAAAATCAGGGCCCATACCTGGAACCCTAGATAAGCATGCCCAAGCTGTACGTCCAGCGAGCTTCCATGGGCACGCCGGAGCATTGTGTGGAAGGGAAAGAGCTGTTTGATGTGCTCTTCTTTGTTTAGGACATCATGACCACAGGCTTTCGGCAAATGTTGCAGTCAGTACATGTCCCCCATGCTTGTTTGCGGAGTCTGCAGTCAGCAATATTTCGCTGCACCTGAAACCATGGCAAACGGAGTGTCTGAGAGAGCCGCCGCTGTTCTGCTTGATTTCATGGAGAGTCAGTTCGAAGATATGACACTGCGGCTGATTCTTCTGAAAGTCTGGGGAGTCTACTGCATCTGCCATGCCACCTCAGGATGAGATGTTGTGCGAGAAGTATATTTTCAACGTCTTGCCGGCTCTGTTGTGCTTTTCTTCTATGCTCTAGAGAATTCAATTCAAGAGCGTGCGCAAGGCACCCTTTCCATTGCACCCAAACTATGCAACTTTGATGGAACCTTTCTGGGACATCACGATGCAAAGCCAGGACCCTCGAGACGACAGGTGGCAGTGGGACGTGGACAAGACTCGCCAGTTTCTTGATGAGGAGGTGTCCTCCAGCCATGCGTGGGCGATATGTTGATCTGCGCATTTTTGACGATCAGAAAACCATGGTGGACGACATCAAAAAGAAGAAGCTGACTAGCCGCGATGACTTGGGTGGCACACTTACTTTTGATTTGGTGCTGCCAGACAGCTTTTTGCTGTTGCCTCTGAGGACAGAAGTTTTTCACGAGTCCAGCATGGTCTAGGTGATCCGTCAGCTGTGCCAGGCCTGCCTCTGCCGCCCACGGATCTGAAGATAAAGGCGATTGCCAAAATCCAGCGGAGCACTGCAGCACAAGCCTCGAAGTTCGGGCCTTAAGATCTCTGCATTCTCCTTGCACTTGTAGCATCTGCAAGCTGCTTGTGGCGCTAGTACGAACGCCAACGAAGCTCTTACGTGTGAGCACTTGCCAAAGATCCGTCAATCCTGTTGCTGCTGAACTGGGATTTTGCGAGTGTGACTAGATGCCACGACCGCGTGTTGATCAGGCAAGAAGCTGACAAGGCCAATAAGGAAGAAGGGAAGCCTCGAGCTAAGAAGAAAAGCCAAATGAATCAGCCGCTGCCTTGGCTGTCGCCACACTTCGGCAATATGAGTCCCAATATGTCCCAATAGTCTATGTAATTCCCGTTTCAGGGAAGTGGACCTTGGGAACGTGGACGTTGAGTTCATGAACTACAAGGCCTGAAATCGGGGCAAGGAGATGGAAGGAGCTGAGAGCTAATTCCTCACTGCAATGCACAGCCTGGCGTAAAGTATTCACCTGTACACAACAGATCTGAGAAGTGCGCTTGCGTGCCATAGTGCAAGAAAAGTTTGGTTTGAATCCTGTCTGATCTTTTTGTCTGATCTTTTGTCTGACCTCTTCTGCTGCAGGGCCTGGTCATGACAAGGAAGCAGAAAGCAGCGTTTGCTGCTCGTGCAGCGAAGAACAAGAAGCAAGGCCGCCGCTAGAGAGAGAGGCGTGCTCTGCTTCATTATCCTCTGAGCGGTGGGCTTGGCTCTGCAAAAAATCTGTGACAAATTTGTATGATATGTGTAGCTTCCATACGTAGAAGTCAAGCGAAGCTGCAGCAAGGGTGGCATATTGGAGCGAGAGAGGCGGCATGCAAGAGTGGTGTCGTCGAGCGATTTCTTGAACATATGTACGCACATGTGTCATGAACTGTCTCACAACATAGGTGGCCTGTGTCACATACAGTTTTACTGTTGCTTCTTCGAGCAAAGCAGATAAAAGAGTGATAAAAGGGCGTGCTGGGAAGCAGCTTGTGCTTTGAACAAAAGGGCCCAAGATTTGCGGAGCACTTCAACCACCATGCGAGTTGCTGCTGTTGGCAGATGGTTCGAAGCTTCACGGGAATGCTGCTAGCGTTCGCAGACTACACACTGCACTACGCCATCTGACCTAGATTATGGAGCCGGCATTTGGACGGATCTGCCCTTCAAGTCAGATTGTCGGATTTAAACGGCTTCTTTGGCCGAAGCAGCTCATGGCGAAGCAAGCAGGATTGCGCTCGAATCCATCGAAAGAGGCTCCGATCAAGAAGGAGGCCACGAAAAAACCAGGGTCTGCTGCGCGTGCTGATACTGATGCCAAGCAACAGACTTCAAAAGTCCAGGGATTAGCCTCGATCAAGAAGGAGCCCGCAATGAAGCAGGCGTCCGCGCAGGCCGCTGCTGGTGGCAAGGACGCATCACAAGTCTTGGCTTCAGCCCCGATTAAGAAAGAGGCTGCGACGAAGCCGGGATCCACCGCGCGTGCTGATCCCGCTCAGCAACACACGTCAAAAGTCCAGGGACCAGCCTCCATCAAGAAGGAGCCCGCAATGAAGCAGGCGTCCTCCAAACCGGCCACGCAGGCTGCTGCTGGTGGCAAGGACGCATCACAAGTCTTGGCTTCAGCCCCGACTAAGAAGGAGGCTGCGACGAAGCCGGGACCCACCGCGCGTGCTGATCCCGCTGCTCAGCAACAGACTTCAAAAGTCCAGGGATCAGCCTTGATCAAGAAGGAGCCCGCAATGAAGCAGGCGTCCTCCAACCCTGGCGCGCAGGCCGCTGCTGGTGGCAAGGACGCATCACAAGTCTTGGCTTCAGCCCCGATTAAGAAGGAGGCTGCGACGAAGCCAGGATCCACCGTGCGTGCTGATACTGCTGCAAAGCAACAGACTTCAAAAGTCCAGGGATCAGCCTCGATCAAGAAGGAGCCCGCAATGAAGCAGGCGTCCTCCACCCCTGGCACGCAGGCAGCTGCTGGTGGCAAGGACGCATCGCAAGTCTTGGCTTCAGCCCCGACTAAGAAGGAGGCTGCGACGAAGCCGGGGTCCACCGCGCGTGCTGATCCCGCTCAGCAACAGACTTCAAAAGTCCAGGGATTAGCCTCGATCAAGAAGGAGCCCGCAACGAAGCAGGCGTCCGCCAACCCTGCCACGCATGGCCGTGCTGGTGGCAAGGGCGCTTCACAAGCCCTGGCTGATGGTGGTGCCGAGAAGAGCATTCAGAGCATTCCTACCCAAGTCAAGTGTAAAGGGGTGAAGACAGAGATGCCATCAAAAGGCCAGGCATCAGCCGCAGCGAAGGCGCTGGCCAGTCAAGGTGCCGCAGTCTCCATCCCAAGTGCCGCGGCAAGGAAGACATCGGCAAAGCCAATTGCCTCTGAAAGCGGAGAGGGTGCCTCAGGCAAGAAGAAGGGTGTAGACTGTTCAACAGTCACCACACAGGACACCCCTGTTCCATCCACGGACGGCAAACCAGGCAAGGCTAGCAAGAGACAAGTGACGGAGGTTGAGCTCAGTGCAGATTCTGCAACCCATGTGAAGCCAGCAGTGACAGCCAGCAATGAATTCGTCAAAAAGATCAAAGAGGGTGGAAGCGACTCTGCGACGTTGGTGGCCTCAGCTGCTAGCAAGGAGGAAAAGCGAGGAGTGCAAGAACAGGCGGACGCACATGGAAGCGATCATGTCTGCCCTTGCTGTTCGGTCCTCGTTAACCATCATGACAAGTCTGGACGGACAGGCACGAGAAGATCGCAAGAGGCTTCGGAAGTCTGCGCTTTGCCTGCATGCCGGCACAGGACTTCTTGGGACTTATTGAAGAATTTTCTGCATGTCAAGTTGTGCCACTGCATCGACAAGCTTGAAGCTAACATGCTGTCCGCACGAACGCCGGTAATGCATTGAGGCCAAAAGCGCTGCAGAAAAGACTCTTGACAAATTTAGAAAGTGCACGTATGTGCTGAAGTATGCTGGTTGGGCACAAAAAATCAAAAAAAGCCAGCATTGCGGAACGCTGGGCTTCACAAACGTCCTCAGGTCCTCCACGGATCTCGCGGTGCCATGCGCAGCTGCTGGTGAAGTGGTTTCTCAGCCAGAAGTTAAAGCTGCTATCGAGGGCTACACGTGTGACAACACTATACAACACTGCAGGCTCCCGTTTCAAAGCGACGACGTGTGACAAGACAATCAGGCCTGACACCACCAGCGTGGCCGTGCATGTTCGCATACTTCAAAAGTCTGTTCTGTACTTACTTGGTAAACATTGGTAATCATTGGCGTCCGGACCTGGATGTGCGATCAGCGAGCATTTCAATGGGGCAGACAAGTAAGTGCACAAGAGTCAGAAAATTGTGAAGCGTTTTTTGCACCAGGAATGGGCAGGTGAGTTTTTTTTGGGCAGTCCATTGCTCGTCGGTGCTCGTCGGTGCTCGTCGGTTTGAGGCCTGAACTGCCTAAACTTTCCTCAGCCCTGGAGTTTTGGCGTCTTGGCGCACTTTAGGAGTCTTTGTCCGTATGAACGCCCTCCGCATGAGTAGCCCGGCAATAAGACGAATAAAGACCCGAGTGTTGATTCATTCCTGAGGTTTGGCAGGCCTTCTGGTCAGAACAGAATTTGTTGCCACATGTTGGGGGGACGGACAAGGGAGCCAAGATGAAGTTTGATCTCGAAAGCATGCAGCCAAGCTAACATTTCCACCATTGCCCCGGAAGGTGGCGATCGGCTGAGTAAGTGGCCTTGCAGGGAGTCTCGCAACACCCTCGTAAGATTACAGCCTCACAAGCAGATGATCATGGTGCAGACCTGTCTCGCGGGCTTGAAGACCTGTAATCGTCGCAGCATTGACGTGTTTCTGTAAGATCTTTGCGCCAATCAGCACAAAGCCGATGCCGTGGAAAACAAAGTCGCAGTGAGTCCTTACAAGACCTCCCAAAAGAAGGCGTCGAACCACACACGCAAAATGAATCCGAAACCAAGAAATGTAAAGTACGTCTGCACATCCAAACCCATATGCAGTGAAAGGAAGCATGAGCGTTGATCTAAAGGTCCTTGCGGGGCATTTAGTAGGCAGTGACCCACACGGCACTACCTCTGCGAAAGATCCGCGTTGGGATTGCGAAAGAGTTTTTGCGCAACAGTTCTTATGTCGCCCAGGTTTTGCTCCATGTTGCCAGCAGCTTCCAAGCTTTCAGTTTCCTGCTAGACTGCCCGGATGGCTCCGAAATACTCGCGATCCGGAAGCAGTTCTCAGGGCTGGATATTTGGCGAAAGTTCCGTGTAAGTTCAGCGTTGCCTGCGTAAGTCGAGGTAGCCAGCATCTGAGGTGCGTGTTGGCTGTTATTGGAGTTCATATCTCTGAAATAGTGAAACCAATCCATAGCCGAAAGAACTGCAAGGCCTTGTATGGTTCTGGACTTGAACCCTAAGCCTGGAACCCTGGACCCTAAACCCTAAGCCCCAACCCTTTACGCACAAATTTGGCTTGTTGAAGCTCAGGGATCTAGACCTTGATCTGGGCTAACAGGATAAAGCTGCGCCGCGATGGGTCCGCGAAAGTTTTGCGAAAGTATGTTTTCACGAAGAAAGAAATTCGAAAACAGCTCACATAGACAGACGCGAAGCAAGCTTGCTGAGCGATCTTGTCAGCAGATATTTACCCCTTCATAGGTGGCAAAGTTCTGCCTCCGCCGACTTCTGTGACGACTAACATGCGAAAAAATGGGCTCGTTGTGCCTCCTTCTCCAGTTTCGCATGCTTCAAGCGAAAGACGCGAAGCACTGCCTCAATAGGTTCGTCGGCAAGCAGACCGTTAAGACATTCAAGATTTCGACGATTCGGTGAGCGAATACCCTGCGTTGCAGGAGTGTGCTGGGGCTGTGATCAACAGCTTCCCGAGGCTCGAGTTCTTTTCGGGTTGATGTCCATTTTTGCCTTTCGTGACTCGGCAGTTACGACCACAACCTGGCAGGGGTGCGGCATCCCTTACCAGAGCTCGGACCGAGAGAAAGGCCGGGAATCTGATGTTCCGAGAGGCTGAACACATGTCAGGCACAGAAACGGTCTGCGCATCCTTTTAAGCGGTGACGATCTCACAATATGAGACACGGTCAAAATCACCACTTGCTTATTTTAGTAGAGGGGGTAGATTCAAGAGACTCAGGTCTAGTATTTCTATGTAAACAAACATGTATTTAAAAGGTGAGAAAAAGGTAACATCATAGGCCGACCCAAAAGGAACCTGGCACACCCAGCTCCTGCGGCCAAGCAAGTTCGCTCCTGCGAAGGGGTCTCTTGGTTAAAAAAACTCGCTAGCTTGCATGCATGACATGGCTTCATAAACATGATACCACATGATGCTCTTGCCCATGCAGATTTTTAAACGCAACTTGAAGAAGTAGACATTCTGTTTATGTCATTCGTGACACAATCAGTCACCATCTTGCGCTGCTTCCCTTAAATCCAGCCTACTTTTGTTGCAAACAGTAGCAAAGTTTCTCTTTGATAAAGCCCCTGATAAGCGACGCGAGCGCGCATTGTGGCAAAGCGTTTCTGGACCTACCCGGCAGATGTTGCAGCAAAAAGCGGAGGATCGATAGGGGACGCGTCGGACGCGCTAAAATCATAGGGTTATTTGATACGGTAGGATAAAAGTGCGGTATGTGAAAAACATGGAAAACGACAGGGGACGCGCTAATTCGAAAACAAGCAAGGCGCCGGCTCATATAATGGGATGTTGCAGACACATCAACTGAAGAGGAATGAAGAGGTGCTGTCGCAAGCGCCGGAGTTGAAGTCTCTGAGTCACTGACAGACCCTGCCAGGCTCTGCATTTTGTGGCTTGACGGCATCCTTGCGTCAGCTCGAATGTAAGTACCACCATATGTACCACCATGTACCGCCTATCGGCATTCGTCGCTTAAGGCGAAAGCTGCTCTGAGCAGCTCCGGAGCCAAAGGAATTTGGTGAGAATTGGCTCTTTGGACTTTTTGGACTCTTTGGATCTACGAGTATCTACGGTCGTTTCGCTGTGAAGAGGTCCAACAGGAATGCGGTTTTCTGTGAGACGCGAACACGAGGTGACTTTGCGTGGTGCAAGGATCCGCATGCTCGTGGTAGAGATGTGAGGGCCTAAGAGGTGAGGTGGGATGCAATTCTGAAGGTCGTCGTGCGCGTTTCGCATCCTAAGCTGCTGGCACAACCAGTGGTGATTCTGGCGATCCTAGAACAGGCCGAGACTACTGTCATTCAGGCTGTCATGCAAGACACGCTTGCGAGAGGTGTAGGCATCTAAGCAGGGGATAGATTGCGGGGTCTGTCCTGATCTCTTAAGGTGCTTAGAGTGCAATTTTGCAGGCCATGCATAGCAATGCCATCTGAGCTTAGGCCTCGGTTCACTGGCCAGCGGTTTGCTTGCAGCTTGTCTTCTCCTCGAAAGACGAGATGGCACCTCAGTTTTCCGATACCAGCTTCCGTTTGACATGTCAACTGGGAGGGCCAGCAGCTTTGGCCAGGAAGAAGCCTTATGTGCTTCAACTGGTCCGGCCAAATGGGCCAAATCCTTCCGAACCAGAAGCCGCTGTGCAACGTGTGGCGCACTCAGATGCCAGTGCTGCATGCCAAGCGGTGAAGCAAGTTGCTGAGACAAGGTGAGGCAGCGAGACGTCGTGCCTTGGGAGGTTCCCGCACTGGCATGCTGATAAGCAACGTGCAGAGAGTCTGTGAGATGCAGCAGCATGTGCGAGAGATGGCAAGTTGACGGTGAGGATGCTGTGCTTAATGCCAGCTTTGAAAAGATTGCCAAAGGACCTAAGCGTGCCGCCCTGAGCTTAGCATCGCCGAAGGAGCCCCAGGCACAGTTGCGCTTTTTCAGGCAAGCGGGCCATTGACTTGGCAGCTGCTTTGCGACTGGCAGGTGCGGGGCTGATCATTTTTGCACATTTTTGCATTTTAGTTTAAGTTTGGCGGTCTAGCGCAACAAGTACAGCCAACTTGCAGCCGACGTCATGCAAATGACAGCTTAAAGACACTGAAAGGTTTATTTAGCAAGAGACTCTGCCTCGCGTAGGCGCGGCTGGGGCCCAGCTAACAGCCGCGCACACCTAAGATGGGCAACTGGCTAGACCTCTCTTGCCGGGGTGCACGGGGATTTATGTGCGATAGTTCAAGTGATGCTTTGGCTCGAGGCCATGACAGCTCTGAGCACTACGAGGAAAGCCAGCCACCAACTGAGCCAATTGTGGGAAAGTGTTGGCTTCCTTTCTACCATTTGTGGATTTGTGGATAGCTGAGTTCGTGGGGCATGCGCTGTAAATGTCAAGTGTTGTCTTTTACTTGTTCCGTGGATTGCGGCCACCGAGGACCCAGACTCGCGAAAGGTTTGGACTCGGCAGAAGGTGCACCAATCCTCATTAAGACTGCTTTTGGCATGTTAGCGCGATGTCTCGATGACTATGCAGGTGCCAAACCCATCTGGTGGATGTCCCCGCCGCGCTCATGTCGCTCTCCCTTTCGCGCACGTAGGCCCTACAACTTTCGACGTGCTGTAGCCCGTGTCCAGTTGCACGAGCGCTGAGATCGTGTATGGAGATTCAGATGATTCGGTGTTGAGATTTCTCACTTGAAGGCACGCGCCACGCAAAGCGAAGCCTCGATCTGACGGCCCCGGCGTTGTCTTCAAACGCCGAAGACTCAGAGATGGTCGGAGATGTTTTTTCTGCTGCTTTTCTCATCCTTTCTCTATGTCTCTCTAGATCCATTTAGATTCCACGTTCATATTCCTTGTGGGGGTATGTCTCATCATCTCTCCAATCTCCAATCCGTGCAGAACATGTGAGAGGCGAGAACATGTGAGAGCACGTGAGCCATCGTTAGCCGAGTGCCAGGCCGACTGAGAGCCGGTTCAGCAGGTCTGGAAGCATTGTCTTCGCCCTGGGTGGTGAAGCTGAGTGCTCATCCAACTTTTTCGGTGTGCCCAAGCAGTGCTACTCGAGGCGGCGTGAGCTTGATGCAGCTAGCGAGTATGAGAAGCAGCTGCAAGCAAGGCGTTCTGTTCGAGATTCTAGCAGACTCCATGAACATCCAAGCATTCGATGATGTTCGATTGCGTTGAGGCTGCTGGAGCTGAAGGCCGCTTGAGCCGAGGATCTGACTTGACGGTTGGCTGAGCTTTGTATCGCCCATTTTCATTGAAGCCGGGAGGTATTTGCCGTGTTGCGGAATGTTGGGACACCGCCTGGCGTACAGTTATCCCGACAAGAGTGCTCAGCTGCTTACTTGCGCAAACGGCTTGCAGCATTTCACAGCAAGCGAGCCCTGGGATTTGCACTCCTTAGTGCATGGTGAGTTTCCTCGAATTCGAAAGTCCGTACCGCGCTTTTGCAGCATCCATCTCCTTCGCCCGCGTGGACAGCTGAAGGACCTGGCATCCCCGTTAGTAGCTAGCGCTGAAGACGCGTGATAGTCGCACCTTAGGGACCCTGTGCGTCCTTGCTTGTGCTGCGAAAGCATTTCTTGGCTTGAAGCCTTGGTACATCTTGGTACATCTTGGTACGGTGCAGGTACGTGAGCATCGAGACTGCTCGGGAGTCATTGGGAAAACATGTTGCGCAAAACTTGAAGTTTGTGCTCAGCTCGGCACCACAACTTAGAAGGCCTGCCATGATCGATGCCTCAAGCGGTCAGAAAGGACTTTCAGGTGAACTGCAAGAGCAATGTTGCAAACAGACAGGCTTCAACCTCCAAACGTTTAACGTTTTAAGGACAAGGCATGGCAAGGCTATGCTGAAACCGTTTAGTCTCCAAGCGCAGAGTTGTTTTGATGGAGTGATGGCTTGCGGAGGTGATGAACAACTCAACAGATGCCCTGGTGCAGTTGTGGAGGATGTGTGTCATCTCGCAAGGAAACTGCCCCGAGCAAGGCCTTCAGTGGGATACCCTGCGGCGAGTCATGGAAGGCTTGCCCGTGGCCCGCTGCGATGCCCTGAGGACCAGCAGCGTCGACGAGATATTAAACTATCACTTCGGCCCGTATGCCACCGGGGGGTTTCTGAACTACGTGAACTTCACACTTTTCTGGCATGGCATGGAAGCCATCTTGCAGACTGCAGGGTCGGTGCCCAAGTCATCGGGCGGTACAAAAATTTAAAAGAGACGGGACAAGTTTAGCTAAGGTACAGTATTAATAACTTCAATACCCCTGACATAAACTCCGCTGTGTGGGGTCGACTCTGTTAGATATGTCAGAATCCCGGCATGCAGCCTTCACGAGCTAGTCCGTCTGTGCTCGAAAGAGTGAAACCTCAGTTGATGCATTTGCAGTTGTTCGCTGCGCCAAGGGTCTTCAACCATCGCGGCTTCGATGACGGCACCCTGCAGGTCATGGCGAGTCTGCGGCAGTTCCGGGATGCAGTGCTGGAACTTCCAGGTGCTTTCGGGGGGTCGCAGCAAAGTGAGCAGCCGGCGGAGTGCTCCGTACGAGAGCTGCGAGTCCTCTACGACCGGCTCCATGGCCAGGGCTGTGTTTCAGGTTCTGGGGCGGTGGCCGACTACTGGGCTGACAAGCTGCGGCAGCTGCCCAAAGACGACGAAATGGTTTCGGCCGATGAGATCTCGGCTGCTTTGCTGCAGTGGCTGGAAGACCTCCTCGGATACGGCGAGGGATCCGAGGACAGGGACAACAACCTCATGATACTCGTAGGCTTGTATGCGAAGCCATCGGTGTTGCGAACACGAAGGAAGCCAAAGTCGCCTGGCTCCAGCGTTTTCAGGGTTTAAGGTGGTCCCAAGCAAGGGTCCGGAAGCGGGGTCCCAGGAATTCCATAGCATCCCAGAAGTCTTTTTTCCTGAGGAAGATGTCAGGACGGGTTCAAGGGGTGTTCCAGACGACCCAGCAGGTCCGTTTCAATGTTTTGGTTGCATCGGATTGCTGCTCCTCCGAGCGGGATCGGAAGGTGCAAATTGCGGGTTGGGGGAAGGGTTGGGAGAGTCCTGGTCCGCTTGTTCCAGACGCCTTTCGACCGAAGGCCGAGGCGAATTCAAGTGCTTCCAGCCTTCCAGCCTTCCAGCCTTCCAGCCTTCCAGCCTTCCAGCTGTCTCCACATGATTTGGGATTTAGAGTGCGTGGCATTACCGGCCGCGGCACAGACGTTGCACGCCCACAGGGCTGAGCTGCATGCGCTACTGTCGGTAAGCCATTGAGCCAAACATTTGTCCAGGGGCTATTGGGTCTTCCCGAAAGGACGCCAACGGCCCTTGAAACCTCACCAAAGCAACTGCGTGGAAACGCATTTAACTGCATCGTCCATCAGAGGCGGAAGCGAAACGCATTGATGATTCATGCGAGGGTTCCACACGCCTTTAAGCCCTGGCTGAGCAGAGGCTGGGCCGTCCAAAGCGAACGATTACATTATTGGCTTGCCTGGTGATTCTGGACAATGACAGCATATGACAGCCATGAAGGTGTTAATTATCTGCCACCAGCAGCCAATGGCCATCATTGGCCACCACCCATGCAGCATGCATAGTCCCTTTTTGGCGGGCGCATCTGAAAGCTACATCAGGCTACAATAGACAGCATTGGCTCCCGAGCTCAACCATCCATGCAGAGCGGGTTGGGGAAGCTTTGCGTTATTGCCGTTATTGTTGTCGGCCTGCTTAGTAAGTAGTTGTAATGATGAGCCGGGGCTCAGCACTGGATTAATCACTGCCCCCTGTCAGGATGCCTCACATGCTTCGCAGTCAGAGGACGAGCCTGAGCAAGAGCGTACTCCAGAGGCAGAGATCAACCTGAGACAACCAACACTGCTCAAGAGTCTAAACACATGTCAGGGCCAAATGCAAGGGACCCGTCCAAAGGGCAATCACCATGTGAACCTTGGCCAAAGTTCGCTTAAGCCCGCCGGCCTTCGTCGATCCCTCGCGCATTCGTCGAAGCTTCCCCCCCTTCACCGAGGCTTGTTCGGGTTCAGGGTTCGTCGACCGCGCTGGGGGCAAGTTGAGAGGTGGGAAGTGAAGAACATCAGGCTCGGCAAGCGCAGCTTCGTAAACCCTTCTCTTGCCTTCGTCGAAGTCGCCTGACTTCGCCAAGGTTCGTTTTGGAGGTTTTGGGGCTGGGGGTTCGCCTTTGGGGGGTCCTTTCTGTTCGGCCCCTGACATCACAGAAATCGGCCCAACCCTCTCTAGCAAGCGCTGTCAAATCACGATAACTCGGCCACGGCTTGAGTTTCGCAGGGCTCACGCTTCCCACAGCATTTGCTTTTCGTGGCGCCAGGTGGTCCAGGTGTTCGCGGCGCGGGGCTTGATAAACAAGAGGATGTCAGAGGCTTGTTTCGAATTGTCACGCCTTGTTTCGCTCCTTTTGGCTCACCTTCCAGCGTGTTGGAATTGTAGATCTTGTTCGCTGCTTCGCCAGGCAGAACCTGCAGAGCGCTTGACAGGCGCATGAAGTCAGTCTTTGAAAGTAGCTTCTTATTGGCTGTCGAAAGCAACATTGTGGCACTACCCAAGACGCCAAAGATGTCTGGGTGATGGCGCTCTGTGCATGCTTGCGACAATGATGGCAATGCAAACCCCCTCTGCAGGCCGCCTCTCCTGGCTGTCAAAGCCAGATGTCATGGAGACTTCTGAGGCGAAAGGATAGAGACCAATAGAGAGATGGGTGAGAACTTGGCAGCACCAGAGCGTGACCAAATGGCTAGCGGCTAACTACACAGGCTATACAGATACACAATGATACACGTTTCTGGCAGCCGGCTTGACATTTCGGAGCTGCTAGCATTCCTGATGTCGGGAAGGTGAGCAAGTTTCGCAACACTCTTTGCCAGTGCTTGACTCAAGATGTCTGTGCCTCAAAAGCAGAGATGCCGTGAGTTGCCCACAATCCTCTGGCAACCTCTTGTCTTGCTCTTACCCTTTGGACCTAAGGACATCTCCTTGGGTGACTTCTACCGCGGCGTACGCGCTCGGGGCCTCGGAGCATTCCACTTGCTTCAAGAAGACTTCCATCAACTCTTTTTGGCTTCGCAGATTTTAGCATAGAGTTTTTAGACATGTGTAGCTATGTTGCAAGTGGCATGCTTCGTCAACATGATGCATGCTTCAGCATCGTGCAACAATCGGCCGGTTGAAGATGTCGAAGTCGAGTCGAACTCCAGATGTCCCAGGATTCCATTCCAGGCTCTGCAGCAGGCCAAAATTTGCCAAAATCATGAAATCAGTACTGATTCCAGGCCTTGGGCGCCTCTGCATGTGTGCCTGTGCGAGGTAGCCGGGAAAGCCGATCACGGGCCCAGGCCTGGGCAAGAGTTTCGGAATCGTCATGAACCTTCTGCAGCAGCCGAACTGGACAGGCGCTGACAGCTTTCAGGGCCGGCGTGGCCCTTCTGCAGAACTTGGTTCGCCGGAAGGCAGGGAAGATGCCGGAAGGTTTTTTCCGCTTTTTGCGCTAATGCCAAAATGAAGCACGCGGCAACTGCTGTTGCGCGCTGTCGGCCAGGTTCGTCTGGCAGTGTCACAAATGCGCCGGCGGATGAGGCAAGCGGCAGATTGCACCCAAGGTTTGAGAGGCTGTGCCGAACCCGATCAGCAATTTGCTTTGGAGTGTCGACTGTGACAGGCTGGCTCCAGCTACCTGGAAGCCCAGGCAGGTTAGCACACGCTGAGACCGGTAGCAAGTTGTCACAAGTGCACGGACTGCAGGTACTCACGTTTGGACTCTGGACTGCGGGCAGCTCGTCCGGGGACTCCCAAATCAGAGGCAATCTTTCTTCTTCTTCTTCTTACTCTGTCTTACCCTTCGACCTCACCATGACAGGCCTGTGGTATCGTTGCCGGCCTTGTTTGCAGTCAGGCGGGCTGGATGTTGAGTTTGAGTTCTCACATCGTTTTTGCACTCTTTTTGGATGTTTGTACTGAGCTTCTGAGCTGCGGGCAGGCTGTGGCCGCCAAGGCGCGTCCGCGGATGTGTGCATCTCCGTTTTCATTGTTTCGGCAGGATTTGAATTGTAGAGCATCATGGCTGAGAGGTATCCCGGAGGGTTACTCAGCCGTCACATGGGGATTTGACATGCTTTGACCTTGGGTGAAAGGCAACAGTTGTAAACGGGTAACATTCTGACAACAAAGGTCTAAGGAAAGCCAGAGCACAAGAAACGAAACAGATCTGCTGTGACGGAGGACAACAGCAAGACAGAGCAAGGTCAAAGGCTTTCTGTCCTGCGTGAAGCTGGATGAGCAAGATTCAGAACTGCCATCCAATCATGTGCAGAAGGTGTTGGACAGACGAGCGCATCTGGCACCCAGAGCCTTCTGTGCCGCCTGGATATTGGAGAGGGCCAGCAACCCAGCTTCCAGTTCCAGACAAGGTGTGCACATGTGTGCAAACAATGACGCGAGCTTAAGCAGAACACAGTTTCTCAGGCACGACGACGCTGGCTTTTCAACGTTGTCACGGTGTGGCGATCACGTCTCAAGGACATTGGTGTAGCTTTGCTCATGGTCATCGATGTGCTTTTGAAGTTCACAAGTTCCTGCGACATGTCAGAACTGACTCAGAACACTTTGATGCCACACGAGCCATAGTAAGTTGTGTGTTGATATGCGTTGGGGTTGCTTGAGGAGCAATCTGTGGCAGGCCTTCCTTGAGTCTGTGTCTTCGTGGGCTGCAAAACATGTCGCTACTTACTCTATGCAGTCTGGTCCAGTATTGGTCCATGGAGACACCCTTGCGTAGAAGCTGCTGGATGCGATAGCGAGATTCTTGAGGGGAAGGGCCCGAGGCAGGCCCAGGCAAAACGCGTTTAACCTATCTTCGATGATGGAGTGATCGTAAGTCAGGCTTAAACTTGGTGTAAATGTTTGCAGTTCTTCTTTGTTTTTGCACTGTCTGAAGGCACCTCCCAGCCCCGCACTGCCCGCAGGCGACGAACTGCAAGACGATCCGGTCAAGCCCTTGGTTTTGACAGGATGTGACGGACAGACTGCAGAAACTACATGTGACTAATGTGACTGCAGTGATTACAGGACTCGGCTGACCCACAAAGGTGGCAAGCCCGAGTCGGAGTCGAACGCGAGGCGCCCGGAGTGGCAGGCCATGGCCCCAAGTGCCGTTCCCGGAAAATCCAGGGCAGCCTTAAGCGATGTCACGCCAAGGTCAAACACACCGATACGGTCGGGTAGATTTCCCCTGTGATCCAGCTCAAACCTGCGCCTGTTGCCGTGGCCCTGGTGAATCGCTTTGCCAGTGCCGCACAGACACGTCTAAATTCCAGTAAAGATCCGTGAAGCATGAAAGCATCATGAATCCATCGTCATCCTATTTCTACCGCAACTCCAACCCATAGTTCCTTCATTGCTTTCGACGGCAAAGTCTAGTTTTGCACGCACTGAGGCCCCCTCGACGAGAACGGGGACCTTTGCTGACCGATGGTAGAACAAGCAGTGCAGGTTAGCGCAGGTTGGCCTAGGTTAGTGAGCCTCAAGGTGGACGAGCAGCTCGCGCGGAGTCAAACACTAGGAACTTGTGTTGACAAACAACTCCTGCAGAGTGGCCGAGATATGTTCCAGTCGAGAGGGTTATGATTCTTTGTGCGCCGACTCAAGGATCATCTGATGAACATATGAACATATGGTCCTGCACAGGAAAATTCTTGGGGCAAGGTGCAGTGTCAAAGCTAGCTGCTAGCGGCGGGCCAGTACAGACCACTAAGCAAGAACACAGGTCGCCGCAACCTGCTAGCTACACATCCATGGAGACTTCTCTGCAGCTGTGGCAGGTCCTTGGTTTTGAGGCTAGCTGCCTGACTTTCCTGTCGGAGGAGCGTTGTGCATTTGCAGCGGGCAGACTGGTGGTAGAGATCTCACTGGGGTCGAAGCAGCAGCGATTTATTCAGCACGGCTCCGCAGTCACATGCCTAGCCTTTTCATTTCAGCAAAGGCTAGGGGCATCCGGACAGAAGCACCAGGCAAGATCAAAGTGGGCAGAAGTATTGCTTTGGGACTCAGAAACGCTGGAGATCTTAGCAACTTTCTCGTTCCACCAACATGATGTCGAGACCATCGGCTTCATCCAAGATGGAGAGGTGCTCGTAACCATTGGATCAGACCGTGACAGGACGATGGCACTTTGGCCAGCTGCGCGGGCCGGAGTCTTCCGTATGGGTCGCAGGGATGGGGCTCCCTTGGTGGTCTGTTCCGCCTTCAAGGGCGGTGGCATCAGCGGCGTGGCCAGTGCGCCGGGAGGCAGTGAACTTCCACTCCTGTTTGCAACCTATGGCTCACAGCATGTGAAGTTTTGGCAGTCTGCCCGGTCAGCACGCCTCAGTGCTGCAATCGACGGCCGCCGAGGAGCTTTCGGATGTGATGGAGTGCCAAAAACGGTTGTTTGTGCATCCTGGGTAGCACGGGACCGGGCCGTCGTTGGAGGCAGCGCGGGAGAAATCTTTTTCTTTCATGGCAGTCGAGCGGTGCGGAAGATGGCTTTTCAGCCATCCCCGATAGCACATATCCTGCCGCTTCGGGACTCTCTCGCTGCAGTCCACGCAAATGGAGTCTGTACCATCTTAAGTTCTGGTGAAGCCGTCGAGAAGGATCTTTCAGCCTTGGACTGCTGGCCTGAATCTCGCTTCAGGACTCACCTTGTTTCAGGGGCAAGTTGGAAATACGACAAACTTCTTCTGGCCTCGAAAACGCACCTGATTTGCATGGACTTACTGGATGGTGTCAAGGGCATCCAAAGATGCGAGGTGCTTGCATCTCAGCCAAGCCTGCAGTTGACGTCAGTTGCTGCTCATCCGGCCGAGAACTGCATTTACACCGGTGCTTTGGATGGGGTGGTCCGCTGCTACAGCGGCTCTGATCTGGAGTGCATTGAAAGTCGCAGCTTGCGGGCGTCCGCTGGTGTGACCTGTCTGGCTATTTCTGGGTCTGCTGCTGAAGAGTCTTCAGCATGGCTGGCTGTCGGATGCAGTGATGCCACTTTATCCATAATGAGCGAGAAGACGAGGCACTATGTCCTTCGGAGAACCCTTTCTGCCAACAAGGCCAAGCTGACTTGTGCAAAGTTTTCTGCTGTGGACATGTCTGGGGCTCATCCCCTGTGGCTAGCAGTCGGGACAGAGGACGGCTGCATCCATACATTCCGATTCAAAGAGGCTACTTGCAGGGCTTGTGTGTATACCGGAGTCCACACCGGAGAAGAGATTGTCACCAAAGTGGCCACTTTGCGTGGACATGAGGCGCCAATCTTCGACATTTGCTTTGCAGACACGCTGCCATGCAATTTTCTGCTAAGTACCGACCTCTCTGGCAAGCAGCTGGCATTTGACGTGCCTATGGCACGCCGGCTGCCGACCCTGGCTCTTGTGAAAGAGGTCCCCTTTTGCCCATGGACCGCGCCACTTGGCGCGCAGATCCACGGCTGCTGGGCCAATCGCGAGCCGATGAAGGCCCTTTCACATTGAAGCAGGTGACATGCGCTCGGCGATGGTGTGTCGTCTGTGTCGTGCTTGATGCAGGCTAGTCTTCTAGAGCGCCGTTTCCATGAAATTGTCGGCAGGCAGGAGGTCTGTTGATTTGGCGCCGGGTGGCACGATTCATCGTGTGGTTGAGTTCCGTTTTGAGGAACTCAGTTGCCGTGACGGATGGCTGCAGCCTTGAGATCTTCCCCTTCCCGCTGCAAGCCCAGCCAGTGAGATTCAAAAATCGCAAGGCGCATGCTGAGTACGAATTAAGTAAGAACACGTTTTCCAGGTGTCTGGAGCCACCATCCGTGGCGCCTCAACGGTTTGCGGGTCCGGGGGCGGGGCCGACAGGTTATAGGATTGGCAGCCACAAGCGTCTACCAACCCAGAGACTTCGGAATCACGGCTTTCTGCTTGACCGCCAGGCAACAATCTCCTGTTTGCACTTTGACGCTGCCAGTGACAGCTTGCTAGCAGCCTCGAACACCGTGGGAGCCTCAAAAGCAGATCTTTAGTCGGTGACGCCTCATGTGCAGCACTTGTGCAACATGTGTGCAGCCTTGGCACTTGAAGCCACTCACAGAATCGTAATGGCAACTGGTAATAGGTAGACAGTACTGAGTTGCGCAGCAATCATGGTGAGCAGCCGCTCCCGGGCACTCAGTACTGGGATCTTCTGCACGCGCTCCCGCTCAACTTTTTTCTCAAGATCCCCACACATTCCCAAACCTGCGGACCCTTTTGTTTTGGCAGCCCAAGGCCCTCTTGTCCGAAAAGAACCCACAAGCAACTGGGGTTTCGGTAATGTTCATGTGGATTAAAAATGCCGCAAGATCACAAGCCAACCCGGTTTTAGGTTTAAGGATCTAGGATGTAGGATGCGGTGAAGAGGTAAGGGCAGCGATTAAGAACTATTCACATATTAAGAGAGGAACCTCTATCATGGTTTGTCAGGTGGAGGTGCTCTTCAGTCTCGTCATGACTCGTCATGTCTAGATGCCAAGCGATGCCAAATGCAAAATGCGCTTTCTGCACAGGGTTTAAGGCGCAGTAGACCCTGTCGAAGGGCCAACACGTTGCATTGCGAAGTATTGTGATTCAATTGGTTGTTCAGGTTGTTAGTTAAAACAGAATGTGCATCGTGATGCTGTGGAGGTGCTCTTCATCTGGAGGTCAAGCGGGTCCGCCGAGGCATGGTTAGTGCTACTGATTGATGAGCAATTTTGAGTTGTGAATTTGAGACTCCCTTCTACTGTGCATTCTAGAGCGCTAGCAGCCAATGTGGCTGGAGTATTGTAACATGTCTTTGTGTCTTGGCAAGAATAAGAATAGCCACCTCACGATTCCTAAAAGCTCTGCGAAATGGGCTTCTGCATCAGCTCAACGGCTGAAGCTGGGCCCGACATGCATTGGACACGGAGACCAGACCATCAGATTCAAATTGCCTGGCCGAAGGTGCAGAAGTTTCAAAGAGCTCCATTTCGACCTGCAACCAACTCAGAAAGCTCAGAAGACCAAGATGCGGCCACTACAAACTGACACTGAAGCTGCTGCCATCTGCCGGTGAGGTTCAGAGGCACATTCCACAAACTCCAGATAGCCGCAAATCATCTTCGCCAGCTGGGGCCTTTGTCTCTGTGAAGTATAGTCACGCTGTGTCACCGCTTAATTATGAGTGACTGGGTCAACAGGCCTTCACGCCACCACCCAGGGTGCGTAGCGAGGTGGCGATCAAGGACCTTGCGGCATGACCCGTGGCTGAGAAGTCATAGTGTCATAGTTGCGACCTGAGCAGGCCAGACCCGAGGTTGCTGACAAAGCCTGAGACGGGCACATGTAAATCATGTAATGTCACAGAGCGAACTATCGATCTGCCGTCGCTGTCGATCCCAGAGGTGAAACGTTGGCGATGCCAGGATTCTTACTACAGGTAGCACTTCCGACCTCTCGGATTGGCAGGTCGGCAAGCGTGTAATTTAAACGTAAGTCTGGGCAGAGTCATCTTTGGCCACTGGACCAATTAGGGACTGGGCAAGAGCTCTATTTTGATGCTCTCGTGGTGTTGAGCACACAGAGTATACGCAATGCGCCGTATTATGGCCCAATATGGCCCACCATTTTTATTTGGGTGTTCATCAACCTGAGCTCTGTGCAGGAAGGGGGCTGCGCATTGCCGCGCAAGCGCATTGGGGATTTGAGAAAATGTCCGCAGGATGTTTGCTCCAGAGTCGTCTCGCGGCCATGCTGCACCCAACTCACTACTGGCTTCAGCCCTTGCGCACGTCCTGGCTCTAGCATCTCTAGCCTGCTTCTGGTACAAAAGGCAGCGCAGACATCAGCTCGCAGGGTTCGGCAGGATATTGTTTCACAGGAAATAGTCGGGTTTCCATCATCCTTCCGTGGCAACATGGTCTATCGATTGAGACAAGGGTGACGCTATTGTAGCCGGTGGCTCATGACACTTGCAGCTGCTGGAGCAACCAGGGTGACGAGAGCCCTTGGTGCGGACGCTGCCTCATTATTCATATTCCTCCGGCAATATCCTGCGTGGGGTTCCAGTCGCTTCAGGTGCACACTCGCAGATGCCAGCCCTGGACAAGCTTGTGGTGGAGGAGGCAGGTAGGATAGCACATGATTTCACTCGGCCGCTCATGCCATGAACGAACTGGCAGCTACTGGCACGCCTCATCTGGGCAGTGAGAATGCCCGACGACTCAGTTCTGCAGGCGCTTGGCTTTGGCTGGTATCGTTTGCGTGTCTTCTAGAGGCCGCCACCTCGGTTTTTCCACAGACAACGCGGGTAGCACAATTTTGCAGCCTCATATTGCCTGTGAATTCCACGCAAGCGATGTTGAGGGAAGCTTTGGGACACTGGGCTTTCCATGTGTAATATGTTTTGAATGAGTGACTGAATTTCGATCAGAACTGTAAACGCCTGCACTCGCCGCCTTTCGGCAGCCGGGCCGTCCCTCGGCAGTGGTCCAAGTGGTGAGCCGGAGGAGTTTCCGCGGCCTGCGCGGGCACAACAACCACGGTTGTCGAGGGAAGAGATGCAAAGGAGAGCAGCCGACCCGAAACACATCCCGAAACACATCCGAAACAAGCTGAAGCACATACTGAATCCTGCAGCATCCTGCAGCATAAGCACTCTTCAGGGACGTGAAGGCTTGCTGGAGGGCTCGTGAAGCCCTGTTGGCCTGTTTAAAGGCTTGCAGGATGCCGCGAAGGGTTCGTTTAGGGTTTCCAGATCGCGAGGCTGCCACGGGGCCTAAGGGATCCCAGGAGGTTCCGGGTTTGCCACACTGGAATACACTGGAGGCTTCCCGCAGACTTTGTTGCGAAATTTCTGCAGCCTAGAGTGCTGACCCTCCTGTGCAGAAGCTCTGCTCAGATTTCACATTCCTCCATCAGTTTCCGGAAGCATCATGCAGTTCATGTAGTGCAACACAACGAAAAGCCATGCCGCGTTGATCGTCTGACATCTGCGGCCCCATGAAACATAGCATCGTAGTGAACGTTTGAGGTCATTGAGTCATTGAGGTCTTTCGCATGGATTTCACATGGCAATGGAAAGCGAGCCGGACAAAGTGTGGCGTTGGCGCAGGCAGCGAAAGCAACCCGTGCCGACCATGCCTTCGATGTTCGAGGAGGCTGCGGCCCTGAGATGCTACGTGTTGAAATCCATTGAGCGCCACCGCAACGAAACTTTGGAAGTTGTGTTGCAGCTGCCGCCCGAACAGCGTGCCCAAGCGATGGCTGAACTTCGTGCGACTTCTCTGGAAGTGGAGATGCAGGCGGAAGGAAAATGCCCGAAATGCATGATGCAGGTCGAATTCTGTATTTGTGCCGCCGTGCAGAATGCGAGGCAAACCATGCTGAATGAACAGAAATGTGCGCACTTGCACTGCTTGCACTTCGTGATCTGGATTCATCACAAAGAGCGCCGACGGGCCTCCAACACAGGCAAAATTCTGCAGCTGTTGCTTCCAGAGTCTTCCGACATTTTAATACAAGGTGTGTCTAAGGACGAAGCTCGATTGGAGGAGTTGTTGCGTGAACGCCATGCCTTTGTTGTCTACCCATCTGAAGACGCCAAGCCCGTGCGCGACGTTTGTGTGAGCTTTCCGCAAGCGGCGCAAGCAGCAAGCATGGCAAGTACGGCAAGCCCAACAAGCCCATCAATGCAGGCGGAGACTCCCGTATCTCCCGTTGCTATTCTAATCGATGGTACTTGGAACCAAGCACAGCGAATGCACAAACGATTTCAGTCGTTGAAGCACGTGAAGCTCATCCCCAATGGCAAGTCCAATTTTCATTGGAGACGGCAATCTCAGGAGGGCCGAATTTCAACGATAGAAGCTGCTGCGCTTTTGCTGGAGAACTTCGGGGAGCCATCAGATGGCTTGCCGGCAGCACTGCAAAAGGCGCTTAACATTCTAATGGACGCACTCGGTCGTCAATGCCATCACGACACCCTTTTTGCACATGAGTTGCCGGAGCCAACTGGGAAGAAGAAGCATGCCCTCGGGGCGAAGAAGATCCAGAAGGAGCTCCCTGGTCAACGTGGATCGCAGGCTGAGCAGAAAGTGGGATGCTCATGGGGTCGCACGGGCTTGCTTGCATTCATCTGTTGAAGTACTCTACAGCTGTTGTCTCTTTTGTATTCTCTTGTCGCTCTTGCATAGCTTTTTCCGAACTCAAGATTTTCAAGCCATGGTGCTACAAGTGCTGCACAGAGGGGCCAAGAGGCCACAAGGAAGGGTTAGCGCAGCACATCCAGTGACCATAGTTGCATAGACTCGTAGACTGCTTCCAGCAGGACATGTACTTCGCGGAACTGCCCTTATTCTTGTGGCAGTATCCACGCTCCTTCGCTGAATGTAGCCACCAATTGACAAAGAAATGCGAACCAGCCAACAGCCGAGGTTGCTGGGCGCAACAGCATTCCTACAAGCCTTTGGCACAGGTGTGGCATTTGCAGTCCAGGCCTGAGGCCATGTGATCCCAATCTTGGTCATCGGTGTGAAGGTGCTGTGGGCCGCCGGCAGCTAGCATTAGGCCTCGCGACGGCGCCCCTGCTTTCCCTGGGACAGCTCGTGTGCATACAATCTCTCTGCACGCTGCACTCTGTGCCCTCTGCATCACAAGTCAGCTCAAGTCTGTCTCGTCAAGCCCTCATTGAGCACAGTAAGCCCTCATTGAGCTGTTGAACACGTAGTGGGGCTGTCGCCCACAGCTGGCCCCGCCCCAAGCCTCATCCCAGCGAACTCCGAGCCGGAGCTTGCCCACGCCATTGCAGCTGCCATCGTGTGCACGTGTGCGATCGTGTGCGTGCGCGCGTTGGGCGTGGTGGAAAACATTATTGGAAAACGCAAGGCAGTCGACGTAGCGGTTGACCAATGGCCATTCTCCTTTCACCCTTGGCCGAGCTGATGCTGCTAGTGCTCGCCCGAGTTGGCAAAGGGGAAACCCACGCTTTTCCGGATTGGAACCGCTGATGCTTACGATGCTCACTCTTAGTTTTGTGTGCTGAAATGTATATCCGACCTCTTCGAAAAGAAACTTAAAGTTGCCTGTTGTGTGTGTGTGTGTGTGTGTGTGTTTTTGTTTGTCTGGCCAGGTCGAAGGGATTAAACATTACTGTAGGTACTTGACTCATGACAGCAGCCAAAGTTCACCCGTGTCGGCAGTGGGTCAGTGTCAAAGCCTTGGGACCGAGGGAACCTGGGGCCCCAGTCAAGCAGTAGTGCGTCAAGAGATACAATTTCGACCCGCTCTCCCCCAGCGGTCGAGGTCGGCGGATCATTGATGAAGTGTCCTGAAAGCCTCCGCAACAGGTTTTGTTGTATCCGATGAAGCCAAGTCCGAATTGTCCTGCAACCGTCCTGTAACCCTCTAGCCTCGTGAGTCTGCACATCAGGACAACCAGAGGCTGCCTTTGCTGCCGTCCAGTGGGGAGGGAGTTACGACGACGCCTGTCTGAAGAACTTGCGCTTAGAATGCTTCGACTTGTGGCAATGCATGAGACGCTAAGAGAGGAGAACTTGCTGAGGACCCAGAGTATCCTGGTTGCAAGAGGCGAATCTTGGACCTGGGCTCGGGCAACATCCAAGTCAACATCAAGGCTGACACTGTGATCACGAGTGGCTGGTGGTGAGACTTGCTGTATGCTTTGCGCATTCGGTCGTAGTCCTTATGCAGACATGTGCATATTTGGGCCGAGTGTGCTTCGATGTGTTTTGATCTGGCTTGCTTTGCTGCAGCAACAGGACCCTGAGAAGGGCAGAACTTGCAAGCAGAACAAGAACCTGGAGAAATTCCTGCTTCCAGGCACCCGCATCATGACAGGTGCAGTGGCCAGTGTCTTGACCTCCGAGCCATCGCCCGGTGCTTGCCTGAGGCAAAGTTGAGGGCGACCAAATCACAGTGGATTTCTCTCCAAAGGGTGGGCCCAGCAAGGTCGCCAAGTCCTTACCTTGACACGGCTTGACCATGTTTGACTGCCATGACTAGAGTTCAAGAATCAAGTCGGCACAGGCGGACGCCGCAAGCAGAGGCACAGTCTAAGTCTGAGGTCGGCAAATGGGACGGAAGTGCCATCGTCTTCCAAGACGGGCAGAAGTGGACCAAGCTGGCAGTGAAGGAGAAGCCGCAGAAGGGTGTAATGAATACCCGACCCATGGCACTGAACATCTCAAAAGACATTCTATAGGGTGTTGGTGGAAAGCTTCGCGTCGAGTTGCGACGGTTGAATCATTGAGTTTCGAGTTGCCTGTTTTGGGGTTGCGCTCCCGATCAGCATCTCCGACCTCTCAGTGGGAAGTATGAAATGTCATATCTAGCATGGCGCAGCGCGCGTTCCAAGGAATGGGTGGCATACAGTTCACCGAGCCGGATGATTAGAGGCTGCTTCAATCAGGGCAGAGCCAGCGCTGGCTTGCTGACCCTGAGACAAGTCTGCAAGCGAGAAAAGTCAGCGAATGCGGAATGCACCACTCATGTTTTCCCGCGAATGGGGTCTCATGCACCAGCCTCCATGCTACTGGTAGCGAGCATGCCTCATGACAGTACATCGCATGGAATAACATGCTGTTCTGGCTGCTCGCGTTCGTCCACATCGTCTGCAGCACTAATTCGTGATGTAAAGTGGCGTTCTGACCTCTAGTGCGAGTTCCTTGCGGCTGAGGCTTGATCCGTTGCCTCTCAAGCACTGGAGGCGCACAGCATGTTTCAATGTATTCGAAGGGACGTCAGTGTCCTGACCAACGCCTTTTTCAATAGCACCTTTGCTCTGCCAGCAGGGGAGGTATCCATGCCAAGACGTGCCTCCAGACCTCCGCAGGCCTTGAGAGAGCTCGTTGATCCACACATATCCACACATTCCACATGTTTTGAAATTTAAACATTCGTTTAGTTTATGCCGTGTTTTGTCATGGCCTGTGTCTTCGGATGGATGGCCAAAAGCAAGACAACTACAAGAACAGATACGACACAAAGTGTGCCAATTCTGGACTTCAGGTTCACACAGATGCGTTTCCCACACCTATGGAGGCGACTTTGTCAAGTATGCTGTTTCTTGCCTTCGCTTCTAGCACGGTGCCGCAGAATTCTGCAGCAGTGTCACGTCGTTTGCGCGTGGCAGGTCAACATGCAAACCATTGCAATTGCGCGCTCTCCTTACAAGGAGAAGCTTCAATCATTCTTAGATGCGAGTCGATGCGGCGTCGCTCGATGCAGAAACACGAGAGGAACGATTTGGCTGTCCCCGACAGCCGACCGTCACAGCTGGAGTGTGGGACCCTGCAGGTGCTTCCTTGTTCCATCTTGTTCCTATCGCCAATCTGTAATCTGGAGCTTCAGGTTGCAGGAGGAGAAGCTGCCACTGGCTTGCTGGAGCTCGTGCCCAGTGAGCGAAATCCAGAGGACGGTCCATGTCTTCACAAGCTTCAGTGGCATCGCGGCATCCCAGTGCCACCTGAAGGCGAAACTTCGAGCGGCCTTGCAAGACCTTGCTGGCTTCGAGTTCATCTGGGTCCAGCACCAACCGTGTTGCTGCGCTGTTGGTGGTGACGTGGCATGAATTGTTGCGTGCCAGGTTATCAGCTACCTGCACATGAATGAAGGCAACAGACACATTAAGAGACAGTACAGTCTACAGAATCCAGATTCTGGTGGGCCCGCTTGAACGAAGACGGCAGGTTGGTCAGCGCGCGTGACTCCACCAAGAGGCCAGTGAAGCGTCATGAAGTGCCAAAAGAATGGGGACAGAGAGCATCAGAGGACTAGATGGACTAGATGGGCTACCGGATATGTGGACCCCGTCGCTCAGGGCCACGCCAGAAGCGCGGTCTTTTTGCTACGCGAGCTCCACATCGACCGAGACACGAATTTAATTCATTTATTCCTTTCAGTTGAGCATGTCATCACTGTCCAAGAAAGAATGTGTGCCTATGTGTGCCTGTGTACTTCTCTGCGCAGTCTACCTTGTACTCTCCTGTGCTTAGTTTTTGTATCATGGCTTGTGTTTCTCGGGTGAGATGCGCCTACTAATAGACCTACACCACAGCAGACAGCCAAGGAACCACATCGGGCTTTCGGCGTGCCGCCGCAGACTAAGCTAAGATTCGTGCAATTCAGGCGTCCATAGGCACCACCGATCATGCAGAGCATTGCATCTCAGGTTTGATGGATGTGGACACTGCCACTCTGCGAGGCCTGTCATGAACCATAGGGCCCTGGTCATCTCTGTGCGTACGCATGTCATTTTCGGATTGGATGGGACAGCATTCGCCTTTGTTGTGTGTTCTGGCGCAGAGCATCGGCTTCTTGTATGAGGAATTGACTGGGCTTCCATGTAACAGAGATGCAGGGTACGCACATGTAATGCTACTTTGAGAGAAGCCGCAAGCTCAGGTGGTTCCAGGACCGAACGAGCCTTCTTTTCCTTGGTACTCGTATCGGGCAGCGAATTTGAGGGGATGTGGGCCCCATCCAGGCCCAAGACCCCGAAGCCACAAAGCCAAAGGACTAAACTATCGCACGAGCTTCTGCAAAGCCCTTCGCTAGACACAAGACCCACGCTGTTCAAACAGGAGATCCCATGGAAAATCGGAACCCCCGTTTTTCCAGAGGGCCGAGTATCCTAAGCAGCTAGACTACAGCGGATCTTGCAATGAGTCCGAAGCTTGTTAACTTTACTTCAACCATCCAGACTTGGCCCACAACAAACCAAGGCTCTGCGATCTCGTTCGGAGAACTTTTAGACGGTGTTTTGAATCTCCTTTTGGAGTCAATCATCGGCCTTCAATAACAAATTCCGCCACCGGGACTCAAACTCCTGACCGGAAATACCACCGAAGTGATTGTGTTCACGTGATCGGACTGTCCTGGCAAGTTTCCTGGAGTGTGGTTTAGTGTGGTGAACTACTGAAGCAGATGCCTGTTTGGCTGTGAATTCCATTGACATATTGTGACTGCAATACTGACAAACAAACAGTGAACAGACGGATAGCGGCAGAGTGTCCTCAAATGAGTCGAGCGTAGACAGAATGTAGATGCTTCAACATCTCCTTTAACCCCGTTTTGCACACCAATTCTGCTGCCCAGCTTTTGTCCATGGCTTGGATTTACTCGACGGCACACCGGTCCTCGACATCAAGCCTTACGTCCCGTATTGCGACAGTTTTGCAGGCCAGTTCCTGCATGCTATGTCCCAGCATTAGCTCACTGTGGCAGGGCTCTACGCTGCCAGTTGCTCCCGATGATGTGCCGCATGTGACAGGTGCCCGAGCGGGATGGTTGGAAGACGTCAAGGAGGCCAATGAGCGCGATCACCTTGCCTACTGGCCGCCGCCTCCGCCAGCCTGCCAAAATTTGCTGTTCATGCTCGTTCTGCATATGCCACGCCAGATTCGCGCCTTTGTTCACATAAGTTCACATGTGCACAGCCAGTTGGTTTTTGAAGGTCCACCTTAAGTTTGCATAGATGCGTTGCTTGGAGCCACGCTGCTGCATGCCGGCGGATGTCGTCAGACAGGTTCTGGTTGTTTCCTCTCTCATTCTCTGCCAGGCATTTGGATCTTCCAGAGCAGTCAGCTGCAAAAAGGGGCATGCATTGCATGCATGCCCTACAGATTCCAGGGTTCCTTTACTGTACCGAGTTGATCCAGCACCTGCCGTCTGCCACTCTTCGCATGTCTCCTCTGTTTTCTTGCGTTTATCCGCTTATGGCTTAGAGAAGAAATGTAGTCAGTTCTTCGCCAGTGCCGCCGTGCCGCCTGAGCCCAACCGCCTGCAAGCAAAACATGCCTATGAAGCTTGCTCTTCGAATGCTGACGTACGCTAGCCGCTAGCACTATCTGAGCCTATCTTGCACTAAGGCTGTCAGCGGCCAGCTGCACGCAGCGATGTTTAATGGTGATCCGCCTACGCTCTGCAACAAGACCCTGCACCCTGCCAAGTGAGTGGAGCTCAGGAGGCTGCTGCGCCGCACCGGTGGTCGAGGCAGAGCCTCTGCTCCAGGCAGCTTTGTGCTGGATTCTGCTGCATCAAGCAGAGATTCTGGGAGCAGTCTGCGAGGCGGCCCGACTGCCTCCTGCAACTGGGGTCACCCGGCTTGTAAATGGATGTAGATGGTTGCTTGTGTGTTGGGATTTTGCCACCTTGTGCTTGTGCTTGCAGCAAGGAGATGCCCAACGCAACTCTTTCGGTGCACACAGCTTTCGGGCTGTCCCCGATTGTAGCTTTTGTGGCCCTTTGCTTAGTTTCATTTTGTGACGGAGTATGTTGGGTACGGCACCAGCCGGCCGGGGCACATGTATTTTTGTTAACGTGTCGAGATGTTCCTAGGATCCCACCGAGGTGACCCTTTTCTTGGGCTCGGCTTGGCAGGCGCATCGCCTAGAGAAAGTCGATGTGTGTTTGCGCTTTTGTTTGTTTGTGCAAGCGGGGCCGTTTAGTGTTGTCTTTTTTGTTGAAGGGTGGGGGTTGGTTACGACGATGTTATGCTAACCGTGCCCCAAAACGCTGCGTTCGTGCATGGTCATACAAGATGTTGCTGCAACAAGATCCGCTGTCACAAGCCCTTTGCGAACATGCCCACAACACTGGAATGTTCGGCGTTTTTGCTTTTCATGAGAACATACTGAAGAAGACTGTTTGGTGCTTCTGCCACTAAGACGCACTGTCACAAGTGTTCATGCCTATTACGAACATGCCCCAAATACTGCCATTTACAGCTGTTTTGCCTCTTTCTACAACATGCGAAACCTTCATCGAGTTTCTGCTTTCAGCCCTAAACCGTCTAAACGCTGACCATGCGCGACAGACGTGTCAAATAAAACGTTTCCAAACATTCAGGAAAGCTAGCTCCTCTGGGGCTTGCGGGAGCTTTTTGTACAACCTTCTTGTTGGGGGGCAATGTCCCTGATGTCTCCCAGGGCTGGGGAGGGGGAGGTTTGCTCGATTAGGTGAGCCCCTTCCTTGAGGCCCCCCCCCCCAAATTTTCCTACTCTCTCAGCGTGCAGTGATATTTCAAGTCGTACCTGCCAAGCCGCAGCGTTCGTGCTAAGCCGTTGGGACCGTCGGGAGACATGCGCGAGGATGTTTACTTTGGAAACCGGACACCCAAACCCTACACACCTCGAAAGAGCACGCAGACGGCCCATCTGCGGGGACCTAGCTTTCGTCCGCCCTGCTCTCGAGCAAACAGCAAAGAAGACACCCCCCAACAATTGTGGAGCCGAACGGCGGAGCCTCGTTTAGTTTCATGTAGCCGTGGTACTTTCGGCATGGTGTCTCTAAACCCTTGATCGTGGGGTTGGTTCTGTAGGTTGATGTTTTTTTTTTTTTTTGTTAAATGTATGTGGCTTGTCTTGAGAATGTGGTACTACAAGGCGAATTTAGGTTTTCGATTTCGAAGCCACGCGTGGCTTTCACGTGTCAAGTTTCGACGGCAACCGGAAAGGTGGCATGTTAAAGATATCAGGGGCTGTGGAAGCGTGATGTTTCTGCAGACTTGCAGAAGCCCTTTCTTGCGTTGTCATTGAGCCTCTGCACCTGCACCGAGGTGATACATGAACTGACTGAGACAGCATTTGCCGAAAGAAATGCCGACTGACGGCCATGTCTTTGGGCGATCTCTTGCTTTGTTCAGTCGAGGCCTTTGCCGTGGCTGTTGTAGCAGTACCGATCTTTGAGACTTGGACCGAAGAAGGTTTGTGTGCGTTGCTGGCAAGCCTTTGCTGCCCCACTGTGTGGTTGTCACGCTCCTTCGTGCTTGCATAAGATGCATATCGTAAGGTGTTCCTGTTTCTGATTGTGGTCCTGCTCACTCCCAACTTTGGCTGCCCTGGCCTGTCATCGCGGCTACAAATCAGCCTTCTGCAGCATCCAGCGCCTCGACCGCGCCTAGCAGGTAGTGCTCTGACTGGGCAAGCTAAGCTGAGTGTCATCTTGTTGCACCTTGCAGCCTGTGATGCCCTGCGCTTTAACCGAATACAGGTGCCTGCAAACAAGAATTAAAGCCTAGGCCTAGTCAGGCAGGATTTGAGCGGAATCGAGTGGCTTGTCAGCTGAGGGTTATCCGCTTAGTCGGATGGCGACTGCCTCGGACTTGCTCGCATTTCAGAACGGCTGAAGCACTTGCCTTGCACTCGAGGCTGTTCCTGTGATCAATGTTTCTCAAGGCTTGGGGGGTGGTTGGGTCAACTTTTCGTGCCATGGAACTTGTGCAAGTGTTCAAGACTATTGCTGAGTGTTGGTCTGTGATGCGAGAAAGTGGGGTCATTTATGCCGCATGCCGCATGAGGCATGCAACTCTGCGACAACGCGCGCTGCCATCGCCTCAGGTGGGGGACCTGGCTGAAATGAATGTGTTGCTTCAGTCGTCAGCTACTTGCACAGTCCGAATTCTTGGACAGGGACGCCCTCGGAAGCAACTACTGCTTTGCCGGAATGGTGTCCATAAGTGACTACGAGGTGCACGTCAGCGCATGGGGTCTGTGCACGAGCCAAGAAGGTGGAGCCGTGCGTGGAAGGTCGTTGAGGCGACGCTTCTGAGTGGCCAGCGTCGAACGCAGCTGCTCGGGGCACAGGCCCGGAAATCCAAAGATGTTGATTCCAAGCAGCACACAGGAGCCATCAGGCTGAGAGACCTAGAACGGACCATGCAGATGTTGAGAACTGGAGGACGCACGAGAAATCACAGCAGAAAGCAGTCACAAGCTTGCCCTGCCAGCCTTTGACCAATCTGCCATATGTGGATCGCGAGATCTTCCACTTGGAGCTGTCCAATCTTGCCACCCGGCAGTAGCAGCACTAATCGTGTGCGTACTTGCGAGATGCTTTTGTTGGTTACTGTTCTCATGTCTGTCGCAGTGTACTCCTTGTAGCTAGCTCTGTGAAGAGCATCGGAAGGCAGGCTTGTATCTCTGACTGCTGAGACTGGTGCTGCGGGCATGTCCCAGACACATGGTTTTTATGGTTTCTTTGAGCGTCAAGCAAGCACAGCTGAACTCAGGAGGTCAACTCCTTGCACGAGAAGTGCCTTGACTGCAGCTGAGATCATTCTTGTCACTGCAAAGGTGCAGATGCATTTGAGTTCGTTTGAGCGCAGGGTCGCAGCATGTTTCAAGCACTACATGTTCTGCGGCAACCTCAGGGCAAGTCGCTGTTGCGCGCTCTTGCAGGGTCGACAAGTTTCTGCTCAGGCGAGGGCTTTTCAGAGCGTATGAAGTCCGAGAAAGCAGCGCGGCTTTGGACACAGTTGGCAGAGGACCGGTGAGTTGCAGCAGCAGCTTGACTGCTTGACTAGCAGCTTCGACATGCGACAAGCGGCACAACGTGACACAACCGTGAAAGGGTCCCCGAAAGTGGTCTGAAGGACTACAAAACCATGCCGCATGGGCCGGGTGATCATTTCTTCAAGGTAAACGATTCAGGCGCTTTGTGGTTTTTTTGCGATCATCGCTGTCACTAATTCAAAAGTGGTCAGGAGTCACATACTCTTGCCGTCTGTGTACCGAAGCACCCAAGCAAAATTCTGTCTCAGGCCTGCACGGTTTTTTCATCAGATATTTCTTTTATGCCACTTGGACCTACTTGGACCACTGGCCCTCGCAGTGATATGAGCTTGGCAAGTGGACAAGCCATGTTGCAATTCGTACTGCAGTTGATGGCAGCCTTCCCGTATGCAACCTGTGAATCCTGCGGTTGGACTCCTCACTGTCGCCCAGGTGATGGTCGGACTTGACCCAGAAGACCCTGAAGTGATGAAGACACTTCTCCCGGTGATGAAGGGCGATGTGCCGCAGCTAGTCTCACTTGAAGAGGAATTGACATCTGTTACTGAAGCTGCGAAGCACCTTCGGTCCAACAGTTCTGACGAAAGTTGTCACGCGACTCGTGGTTTGCTTGGCTTGTCGTTGAGTATGTCTGCTTCGTAATTACAACATCTTCAAGCGAGGATTGCTTTTGAGTATTTGGTGCCTTTCGACTGGCTCTCAGCTCTCAGAATTCAATCTGATCTCGACCTGCAGAGTGAATCTTTCTTTCTCATCGCTCTCTCGTCTCGCACCATGTCGTTCCGCTGTCTCAGGCGAATTTGGGAATTCTGAACGGCGCTATCAAGCAGATAGATGATAGGCCTGAGCTCTCCTACCGCCATCGGTGGCACCCATGTGCTGCGGGTGCCAGGATATACAGCAGCCCAGCGCTTTCCGACTTCACCGAAGGCTGGAATCCATGGTTGGAAGGTGGAGCATAGGTGATCGTAGGTGGGGGAGCGCTGTAGCAGCTGCTACAGCAGCTGCCCTTCTGCCACAGAACCGACTGTCTCGCGATGGCTGCTTACGCCAAGGTGAAGAGCGCTATGGCAAGATGTCCAAACTCGAGCTGGCAAGGCCGTGTGGCAGAGACATGCTGAGAGATTGGCTTCCGTTTGGATTTGTCACACATGCCGTGTTTGAGAATCCGTCCCTTAGTTGCTGCCATAAGTTTCCTGGTGCTAGTCCTTCCCGTGCGGATGCCGTGAAGCAGCCAGAATGATGCTGCGAAGACTTGCTGTGAGGGCCTGTGGGCAAGCCGAGGCTAACAACCTGCATTTTTAGAATGGCCGCAATTACTGGCACGTTTCAGTTGGTCATCTTCTCAGCTTACCACCAAGTTGAAGCCAGTTTGCTATTTCATGCATGTCCTGACCTCAGGCCAAGTCCATCACTGGCGGATTGAAGCTGCCACCGTATAAGGCTGCCAGTAGCTTCCGGAATTTTTCTGAGATGCACTTGAAGAGAAGTATGAAACTGCTGTCTTTGTCGGGTGCTGCGCCCGAAGCTGTCATCGAGGGCGCGCGAAATGCCAAACTGTTGTCACGTTTGCACATCTAGGCTCGCGAAACGCGAAACTGTCGTTGCTTTTGGATGTCGGGCTCACCAATGGAGTGATCTTTCGAATGCCCATGGTCTATGCCGAGTCTACGCTGGCATAATGTGATTTGGTATCTTGCGAAATGCTTAGCCAGCTGCAAGTTGAGTTCGCCTCACATGTTGAAACTTAGATGACAGGAGTGACAGGTTGTTTTTCTCAAGACCCACTGGTACAAGCTCACCTGTTTAGATGTTTAGAAGCAACATGAAGCAACGATTGCAGCATAGGTCGCGGTCACGACAGAAAGGGGATCTGGCATGCCGTGGGACTCAACTCTTCCAGCATGCGATCCCATTATAGTTTGGTGTCGAGTGCCGAACCTTTTTCGAAATGGACAGGGGCTCTCGAGTACATTTCAGGGGACTCAGAGCTGCGAAGACTAGAGTCGTCGCGGTCACGAAGAACATCATGTCAAATCATGTCATTGACATCGTCTATGGAAAGCCCTGAACCCTGAAGTGCCAAATTGGGTGGGCGTTGGGTCCGATCCGTAGGAATGCTCAGACGTTGAAAATGGGCTGGGCCACACTGGATCATACATAAAACCGATTGGCGCGATCCGCGTGGGGCGCGTAGGCTTCGTCTAAGTCGCGAGTCGGTTTGGGCGGCTGTTTGTTGTGCATGGAAACCTTTGCCAATCGTAGTACCGGGCCATGTCACTTCACACACTCTTGACCTGTCGAATGCCATCTTGCAACGCGCATCCTCAGCAAAAGAAGAAGGAGCAGATTTCCAAAAGCCGTATATAGCTTCAGGGGCTGAACATCAACTCGGCGTAGGCTATTCTGCAAGGTGGGCAGGCCCCCGCCGTAGGCCCGCGCAGGCATCCAAACCGTGTTGACAATCTGAACACTAGGAACAATGCATGCTGCGATTGTAGAAGCCAGTACTGGGTGCGCAGCAGAACCACGCACAGTGGGCGTGACCTCGATCTGCTAGCGCTTGCAGAGCATGGACGCCAACCATGTCTGCTCAAAATTCAGCTCGAAACTGCAGCACTCCTGTGTGCATAGCAACGCGCAACAGAAAATGACCAGAACACAAGAACGCGAAGTGAGCCGTGATTCGTGATCCCCACTCGATTTGGAGCTATGTACGTTGTTGCCGGTTCTTGGTTTGTCTAGGCTTCCTCTCGGTAACCCGCCTGGGTCCAGCGCTACAGCCTGGCCACAGCAGCTATGCCGAATCTCTATTGTTGAAAACAACTGTGAAATATTGGGACCGTCTGTCCAAATTGCGTATGCCAAAATGCAGGGTCCCACCCTAAAGTCCCTATATACTCGAAGAAAGTCTGTAACTGAATGGTCAACGGACCCGCCAAACATCTTGCACACAGGCGTTTGTCGACAGTGAGGTACTATAGTAGAATACTGTATAAACATCCAAAATCGCTGGCGTCCGCAGCACGTCCGGCAGTTTGACCTGTGTTTGCTGAGGGTTGCTCTGCCCTGATGCGTACTTCCGCTGCTGATGAGTGTTTGCGTTCTGTAGCGTCCAAAATGGGGTGATGTGTATTTCGCGACCTGATGTCTCACAGACCGAGCGCAGGAATCAGAGGATCCGGACATCCCGGGTCATCTGTACAAGGGCCTCCTGAACACAGAGAGCTTGAAGCAGCTCTTTAAGTCACTCGGGAACGCCCCGCGGAACGCTTTCTTGCATTTCACTTTTTCGGGTCACAAAAGCAGAAGACCTCGCGAGGGCATCGGATCCCTATAAGGCGCTACGCACGCGGATCTACGCCAGGGTTCTGCGCAAGTGGGTTGAGATAAGCTCGCCGCTACCACTGTTGGACTTCAGGCATTGCTCAGCATTGCTCAGGTCATTTTGTAAAGAAGCTGTTGCGTTGCCTTCATCGCTCATCACTATATTGTGAGTGCATGTTGCGAAGACCTACGACGCGGCGCTGCATGCGCTACTTCCCCTTCGCAGCATGTAGCAGTTGCATCTGCGTAGTCAAGCTGTGGGGACAAGTGGGACTGGAACACAAGCCGTTTAACTTTGTGTTCATTGTCAGAGCACCCGTCTTCGTGTGAAGGATATGGACAAAATCGACATACCCGCCCTGTGGGACAAACTTGATTTGAAGGTCGCTCGGCGAATTTGGGTACAGCAAGTTGTCGAGGGCAAAAAAGTTTTTCATGTCGGTCATGTGTCATGAGATGCAATGAGCTAGTGTAAGACTAGCTTAAAGCTCAAGCTTCTGCGGCCAAGAACACGTAAGAGCTTTAGATTCTCAGATGCTATGCTTTTAAAATCTCCGCTGTTTCCTTGAATCGAACTGCTCTCTGAGGATGATGTTGCCTTGAGGAACTTCTGCTACGAGGCGACTGCATGAGATGCCTAAGGTACTGTCAAAGCAGAAAGCCAACATTGATAGTCATGAGAACGTGGAATCAATCGGAAGAATCAATGCTTCTACGCATTGATCTCTGTGTACACATCCTTCGGGCAAAGTTGCGCCCGCGACAGTTGTGGGAAGTCGATCATTACATGATGAACCAACAGCGTTTTGGGAGTGGCAGCGCGGCCGTCTTTTGGACCCACTGGTATCAACTGAAGTGATGTAATAGTGGTGTTCTTTGATTTGAACTCAGTTGAAGCAAACAGTTGCCAGAGGCCGCCCGCCTGCATCCGCCCGTTAGCTCAGTTCATCACGTCGCTACAGTGACTCGGCGGCCTTTCCATCTGCTGTAAGTCGTTAAATTGCAAGCTAGGAATGGTGTGGCATGATGTTGTATAATGTATACCGATGTTGCTCCTTGCATGACTGCCATGGGTTGGCTGGTGCCAAGGAAGCGTTCTCGGTTACCATCCAAGGTCTGCGAGCCGTGTTTTGGTAAGAAAGCTGCTTGTACATTGGGCATGTGTGGTTCATGGCAGCGCAGGTTCCACAGTCGATTTTCCTGCTGGCACACGAATCTTGGTTCCAACGCACCTCGGCTGGAAATGAAAGCGTGTGCTGCACGGTCCGACTTGAGGCTGCCAATCTTCATGTACATACAACCGACACTCTGTTTATGCCTCCAATATCCCGCCAATCTAGTGCTCAAGGAATCTTGCCATGACGGACCAGGCGCAGAGACACGAGAGCCCATGTTCACGTCCAAGCGCCATTCGTAGCCATGATGCTTGCTTGATGTCAATGTCACAGCAGTTGCGGTTGAACTCGATAAGTTGGCATACATCGTTCTGACACTGACGAGCACTTTTGCTACTGGCACATGTTGGCGACGGAATGTCTTCATTATCTTCCGTAGGTGAGAGCGGCTGCTCGGCTCCGCGGGCACACACATATTCATATTATGTATACATTGCTGTAAGAACACTACGCAACAACACCAACAACAATTGCAAACCCTTGCGAGGGCCGCCTGCGCATCCGAAGGAAAGCCAAAGTCGTATGTCGCTTGGCGTGGGGTTCAGGCGGGCGGGGGGGAAGGGTTGGGAAAGGGGAAGCAGACTGGTCTAGATGCCTCTTCGACCGGAGGCCGGAGGCCGACACGAATAATGATGGTATGCTGATGCTGTGGTATAAGGACGTATTTCCTCGATCCACGCAACGTCTGGCAGCCACCTTCTGCCGTTGGGGGCAGTCATGGCCACATCAAGAATGAGAAAGTTCCTTCACAAAGCTCGGCGGTCGAAGTGCCAGATCTCAATAAAACGCACTCGGTTGTTCTACCCTTCAAGGGTGCGGCAAATCTGTGCGCGCGCGTTCGTTTTGGTGGGTCACGAGCTAGGGCTCGATTCCTTACAACATACCCTCCGACTTCGGCAAAGACGCAAGAAATCATCAGGGAGCAGCAGTTTGAGCCTGCTTGAGAGTAAGGCAAAGAAGATAGAAAATTCAATATTAAAAACCAGTCTATGAACCGGGCATGAAAGTAGTATATTAGCCCGGTATAATATTAAGGATACTCATGGGCCCTCATATTATAGCTATTATATTAATAGGGCCCTTACTTCGTTCATGTGTTCACACACTAATACTAATATTCACGCGTTAACTTGTAACATTAGTATTAGTGTGCTCTCTTATTCTCTTCAACCGTGGGAACTGGACACAAACCTATTATTAAGGCGGCATCATGGACGAACTGCAGGATTTGGAATGACTAAGCGATTCTTGAGTCTTCACGCTTCACCCTGGAAAACCCTGAAAAGTAACATAAAATTCGAATTATTTTTGCCTTTACCTTTAGGATACAATATTACAATTACAATTAGGATATTAAAGCTACTGAAAGTAAAAGGAAAAGATAATAGAAAATTAATACTGTTAAGAGACTAAATCAACACTAAACTAGAAGGCCTTTCTTAATTCGCTGTATAATTCCAGAAATTCAATTACCAAAAAGTGAAACAAAGATACGAACAAGGGGGCCCGCATGCTTCCTTTAGTATTACAAGCGAGCCAAGTAAGAATGCAAAAATTGCTCGCTCATTACGTTCGCACACCAGTATTATTGCGTGCTTCTTCACTCACTCTGTTCACTTAATCATATTGTGCTCTCTCCTAGTAATACAGGTGTAGAGAGCACATGCAATGAAGTTTTAAGTGAGCCGCACGACAACAGGAAGTTTGGGGCGTGGATGCGTTCGAGTTCAATCCTGATCGACCAGGGCTCCAGGCCATGATAGTCCAAGTATGTTGAGCACATTGTGAGCGGCTCGTTGAGCGGATCGTTGTCTTGCATGCAAGTTGGATGGAGGAGCGGAACATGGTGTTTGCCAATGTCGGGCCATCAGGCTCTCGAATGTGCCCAGGCACAGATCCTCTTCGCATATCGATGTATAGACAAACTCATGCTTCTGAGTCGTCCGAGTGCAGGTGCAGGAATCGCCATCGACACTTGCGTAGCAGTTCTTCAGGCTGCGACCCCAGTGCTTATGATCAGACGCCTGTTGAGGCATGCGCCCCAGGGTTCGGCACTTCGCTTCAGTTGAGTCATTGAGAGGGGCTGATGCCTTTTCCTGGCTTCATGGGCTTTGTGCGTGCGTGTGTTTGCAGAAGTAAAGGTTCGCCCTCTGTGCTCTTCTCCATACACCAGTTTGGAAATGCATAGAAATTCAAACGAATGCAGCCTTTGAGATAAACAGAAATGCGGGCGATTGAGTGTGCACCTCTCGTGAGGTCCTTGGTGAGGTTCGTCGCAGCCAATGACTCCATCGTCGTGCTTACCAGTATGTTTCACTCACCAGGCAAAGCTTCCCAAAGACTTATGGCTGGGGTTAGATCCAGCGAGGATCGACCCTAGATTGCGTGGGCTGGCCTGCAACAACGTTTGAGGCTTGGCTCAGGCTGCGAAAATGAACTCGAGCTGTGCGAGTCAGCGCTGCATTGCATCAACAATTTGCCCCTCGGTTCAGGCGGAAGATGCTAGAAGCACATCCGTTCGAATCGTTTTGGTCGTTTCTTGCGCTTACCTGCATCTACTTGCATCCGGTGTACGCCTAATGCTTTTGCACTGCTTGCTTCTTGTTGCTTGATTTTTGCTCGTGCGATACCTTACGACATGTCAGCGCACGCACTTGCTTTTCCTTCTCTTTCCGATTGTTGTGTTGCTGACACGTAGCTAACTAACCACAGCCCGGCCACTATTGAGGGGTTAGGCACATCAGGATGTGCCAAGGCGGGCATTTTAACGTCAAATGTCACACTCACGTCATCATGCAAGAGTGCTCTTGGGGGAGTGCATGTGAGATGTAAACTCTCAGTGATTGTCGGCGACTTTACATCAGAATCCTCATCTGCCTCCACTTGCCGCCAACGGTGTACATCTGTGTGGTGATCGGACCCTCGTCACACCATGTCCCAATATGTCACACCACGCGTATTTTTGTTTCGGCTCAGCAAGCAGACTTGGCCACAGGGGTTCCAGCTTACGTTGGGGCGGCTGGCTCAGAAAACCTTGCAAGCTTGGGACTGTAGGCTCTGTAGGCTCCGAAGTTTGTTTGGGGGACCCCCAGCAGTGATCTGCTGGCACAGCAGGAAATAGGACAGAATCTGTGCGCCAACGAATCACACCAGCCCTGCCAAGACCTGCAAGGTCATGGCCTTCACTGCCAGACGCGTCGCACGCTCGCTGGGAGGCAATGTAAGGATGTACAAAGTGTTACTGAGCACTACTCAATCAAGAACAACAGACATTGACAATCTACGGTGATCTCAGAGCTCTCAGCACAGTTGCGCAGCGACTGCAGGGGCCGCTGCTCTGGGCAGCGCTGCCTTTGTTGCTCGGTCTTTGCCAGCGCAATGCACAGGGCTCAGACTTGATGAATTTCTCGTTTGGATAAAGCCACCTTCATCACGGGGCCGAGATGAATGATCAATGACGCTTCAGCTGCCTCGTTTAACCACTCGCGTGTTGGATGCTCAAGCAGTCTGAACAATAAGTTGGGGACACAGTCCGGCAACATAGCGCATCAATGACTTGCTTTGGCCTGCGTAGTCTCTTACATTTAAGCGCACATGTTGAGTATCGTTCGAGTCAGCAAAAGTGCATGCGAGTCACCTCGCTTGAGTCGAGAAAACTATAGCCTGACCTGCTCTTGCGGAAGCGGGAACGCAACTGGTTGTATTGGAAGTCATCTAGATCTTTAAATGCCTAACACCTGTCTATATGGCATGAGCATTCTCTGTTATCCTGTTGTTTTTGTCTGCCTTGTGCCGTGTCGTTGTCTGACTCAGTCTCGGTTGTTTGCCGATGCGGTCTTTTGTAGTTTCTGATTCGGTCCACGCTTTTTTCGACGACTCGACTTCCCAACTCGCCGGTCGAGCCACGTTGCATTCAATCGGCTTGCCTTCTTGCTCTTCCCTCACATGGCAGCCAGTAGGGGTACATGGTGTCTGTACAAGTCTGTACACACATTGCGACATGGCTTTGCCAAGAAACAGGCGACGACAAGGATCCTCCACATCCTCCGCGTGCTGCTCAGGCTGCAAAGCGCAAGGCCACGAACAGAAATGTTCTGCAGCGTTAGAATGTTTGCAGTTCTCCTGAGGCGATACCCGTTTTGGGTGAAGTCAATACTTCATGCCCACGAGATCCCGAGCGTGCGCAAGGCACCCAGGAGGTGCCTGTAGCCTCAAAACTGGGGTATCCCAGAGGGTTAATAATTTCATATTACAAAATGTATTGCAAACTTGTTCAAAGTCAAGTATTATCAGCATCGGTTTGAAATGAATATTGGCAGCAGCCTGTCAGTACTGATGCGCATGTGTGTTCGACTATTGTTTCTGTGACCATCGCTTGGCGTGTTCCGACTGTTGTTGTGTGCACTGGTCCCCGGTCCAATGGCTCCAGCGTACGCTGCGTACGACACAAATCGACACAAGGTATTCAACGGACGATTAAATGTTGAATCGTCGGGTTGAAAGCATTTGAAGGCTGCCCCGAACCACCTCGAAGCACCCCGCTTTCATCATCAATAAAAGCACGATATCGACACTTTTTGAGTGCACCTGACCCTCAATTCTGCCCACTCGGACCTCCATTTCGTACAGACTGAGGCCGTGGTTACGAGGTGTACCGGCAGGTGGCCTTTGTTTTGCATCCTTATGCACCACATTCTGCCGCTGTGCCCGCTCTTGCACAGGTTTGTGCAACTTGCCACTCGATGAAACAGTCCACAGCTCAGCTGCAGGTTGTGTCTTGACACTCGGCAATCAGCAAATGTCAGCAAATGTCAATGGGAGGCTTCACTTCAGACACCTGGTGAATTTCGTTCTTCCAGAGAAGCGTATGAAGGAGTCAATGCGGATGATCAAGCGACAGAAAGGTGTTCACGGCTTGTGCTTGCCAAAGTGCAGCTAATTCAAGCGCCAGGTATCCCTTAGCTAGACCATCGTTAGCCATGATTAGTCGTCGTCCTGGTGATCAACATTCGTCAACCAGGAAGTAGCACGCTAAGATACGCCAAGAAGTTCGGCCGTTGTCTCGCGATTTGTTGGCGCACTCCTCCTTCCAGGATTCCAGTCTTCCAGCCTCCGCTCCTCGCCCAATGGGTTAGACAGTTTAACCGTGTTCCCATCAGGAGGTTGATTAGGGCAAGATTACTCCCGCATCTCGTCAGGAGATCGCCTCAAGCTACGATGTAGTGGATGGACCAAATGATGAAGGCAGGCTGAAGCATCGCAGAGGCAAACACCCATCAATCAAGCTCAGCGCTTACTGAAAGGGGAGATGTTTACTCGGCCGGGTATCCTCGTGGATGCCTTTCCATCACCTTATCCAAACGAGGAGGCGAGGTGTCTTTGTGTCGCAGCACTGGGCGTTGACGGGCTGAAACCCCAACGTGTGCAGTCTGCTCGCTACGCCAATGGTGGCGCGAATCCGCAGTGTCCACAGCATATCATGTCTTGTCGCCAGAAAGAGATACTTGTGCCTTACACGTGTTCCATCGCAGGCCAGATCTCAGCGTGTACACCACCGCAAAGCATGAAGGCTGCGCAGCCTTGTGGTCCATGCGCATGATTGTACACTTAATATGTTTGTAGAGAAAGCTGTCCACCTTGACTCACATGAGGACTGGACTACATTTTTGCCTTGTTGCTGGGCTACCGAGTGGTGGCCCCTGTCACTGGCTCTCACGTGCTGTCCTGTTGCATCTATTGGTCTGACAGCGTTTGTCAAAGCTCGGTTATTTCATCAAGGACCCTCCCGCTGGCATCGAAGTTCGCGACGGGCTGTACTACAATGTGCAGCTGGTACGACGATTCATGAAGTTTGTCCCAGTAATGAAGATGAAGATGTACAGCTGAATGTAAGTTATGTAAAAACCGGCCCCTCCAGATCACAACAGGGTATAGGGGTTTTGTCGTCGCAAACCGGCGTGGGTATCCCGTTCTGCAACTGATGTGATACATGTGTCACAGAGCAATGCACGGTGCAACCAAGGTACTTCCCTGGAGGCCGGCTTTAACAAAAACCTTTTGGTGCCTGTCGCCGTCACGTGTTCGTTGCACACTTTTCTAATGCCTCCTTGGGGAAATGCCTCGACTTGCACTGTTCTGCTGCGAATCTGCGTGATCAATCCCGTCCATAAGAAACAGGTAGCATGGCAGCAAGATAGTTGGTTTGACATGGGGTGACCTCCTTGGCGCATGTGTGACCTTTTTTATGTTCCCCGACTTGTCATGGATTCTCCGTGTGGAGAAGCCATCCTGCCAGGCCTGATCGGAATGCCGAGCCCTTTGCACTCAGATGGCCTGGTTGATTATGAGGCAGGTAGCTTTGCAAACACCTGCGTTTTCAACCAACTAGATGCACGTTGCAGATCAGATGAAAATTCCGCTCGAAGGACGGCACTCCATGCACAAAGTCGCAGATGGCCAAGGATGTTGCAGCCTTGGTCGGTACAGCACTGCACATGTGCGTGCAAATTCGTCTTTTGTACAACGAGCGAGCACGCCAATCGCAGCACACTTTGGCGCTTCATGCAACATAAGTGCTGCTATCGGCCCGCCACGTCTTGGTATAAGGAAGGAGGGCCCGATCGCAGACGTGTTTGGCAAAACTTGCAGCTATGGCCCGACTCGTCTTCCATGTAACAAGGGGGATGCTAGCGGCCCGCCGCGTTTGTGGCCTCCAGCTCGCCAGCTGGCCCTGGAGGGTGTGTCCGGATGGATCAAGCAAAAAACTCAGAAGCTGGCCTACGAATCAGTAACCGCGAGTCAGCAACTGTGAATCAGAAACTAGCGTGATGCGGAAACTGCGAATCAGAAAATGAGCATCAGAAACTCGTGCGAATCAGAAACTGTGCATGAGCAATCCGCGCGAATCAGAAACTGCGCATCAGAAAACTTGGAAACCTACGCATCACAAACCAGCGCGATTCGGAGACTGCGAAGAAACTGCCGCGCGCGAATAGGATCTGCGCATCAGGAACTGCAAAGCAGAAACCTGCTGGATGCGGGTGGGGGGGTGTGTTGGGGGGGGGCGGGGGTGGAGGGGGTTGGGGTGGGGTTGGGAGGGTGAGGACGAGTAAAGATTTTACAAGTCGAGCTCTTGCCGTTTTTAGTTTCAAAGTAATGGCTTTCCCGGTTCCGAATTATCGTTTACTGGCTTCCCAATCCTCCATGTCCCAGTTCTTGATTCAGCCATTTTGCATTTTCCGACTCAGCTGTTTGCATGTTGCCGAATCAGCCGTTTGCCGGTTTACGAATCAGCCGTTTGCTGGTTTGCGAATCAGCCATTTGCCGGCTTCCGAATTATTCCGAATTAGTCGTCGTTTCCGCATCATGTGTTTTCCTGGTATTTCCTGGTTTCTGATTTAGCCGCTTCGGTTACCGATTGTGTATTGCCCAAGTGAGTGAGCCCGAGTGCTTGCATGTTTTGCAGCTTAGTGGCTTTGTGCAGCCCAGCATGAGTATGATGCGTATGCCTGTGCTGGCCTCATCTACACATATCTACACATGCAATACTCCTTTGTTATCATTTGTTGGGCCGAGCCGAGGTTGTGAATTTCCTCTGCTGGGCCGCAGAACCGGCACACGATGAGCGCAAACTGGTCGGCTTGAAGGCTGGAAAAGCGGATCTCTTGATGCCACTTGATGCGCTTTTGCAGAATCTTGAGCAGGGAATCAGGCTGGTACTATCTGGTACTGTTACATTTTGTATTACACTGTGTAGATTGTGCAGTCTTGCAGGCGATGTCCGCTCTCTTCTGCGGTACGTTCGTTGTTGGATTCTGGTACCGCAGTATGTGGATCGGGTGTGCGCCTTGCACCGTTTGATTTGTCGTACGTGGCCTGTTCTGTGCACTTGGAATCACTTGGAATCACTTGGAATCACTTGGAATCACTTGGAGTCCTCAGGTTCAAAACCAGACGAATTGATTTCACAAAGGCCGTCATGTTCAGCCCTCGTTTGTCGTGACACATTTCTGTGCGGTTGCTGATACTTGCGCATCGAAATCACATTGACGGACTACCCAGGTGAGGACGCCAACATGTGGCAGTCTCATGCCAACCCAAAGATCCGAGAAGTCGAGTGAGCCGTTAAATCTTGCTAACTACGCCGAAGGCTCGATATTTTTGCACGTTGATGCACCATGCTGTGCCTGATATCTCGTATACACTGATGAGAGTGTTCGGTGCTCATTGAAGTTTAGACGGTGCCTGAGTCCTGCGCCTCTCTGTGCAGACCACATCTTGTTTCTACCGTGTTGGGCCCAGCCGGACGAAAACTGCAAACAACAATGGCTTTCATGCTCGCGTGTGAGAGACCAGTGCCTGCATGTCCTCTAGCATCAGCTTGTCCCCATTGAAAGACTCAAGAGGCTGAAGCACACCAAATAGTGAGGGAAACAATGAGCTAGAGGCATGGGAGGCTTCGCTGTTGTGAATTAGGAGAAGGCGACTGCTAGTCAATCTTGGACTCGCTGGACTTGATACTCCGTGGTTTCAACGCCGATGCATGCTTTCTATATAAATGTACGTATTTAGACATGGACTAAGACTAGTAACAATGTAAAGCTACTGGGCAAGATGTGATGCAAGGGATGTAAACATGCGTAACCCATCGTAACTCATAGTCTCGGCGAAGCTTGCCTGTTACCCGTCCCTACATGCAGGGCTGGGAGCAAGCTGCACAGTCCCCTCCCAGAAATGAGGGAGGGACTGAGCCATGACACCGGTTGAACCATGGGAGCAAATGGCTCTGTCCGCCGGTCGAAAACCGCAATGAGCTGCTCGGCCTTGACAGAGTGCAAATACGCGGTTCCAACTACTTGCAAGCTGTTGTTCCACCATGTTCCACCCATGTTTGTGTTCTGTTTGGCTTCACTTTCGTCCCTTACCTTGGTTTCACCCTCCTTTCTCGCCTCGCTCTGCATGCTTCGTGGCATCGTATACAGACTTCGAACCTCTGTCCAAGACCTCAAGCCCGCCCGAGAGCGTGTCCGCCAAAATCCGCCCAAGGCTGTGCGTGATCCAAGCCGAAATCCTAGAACATACAGTTAGGCGACAGTACGGCATGTTGCCAGGGGTTGAACTCGGCCGTTGACTAACCTTGCCAGTAAGAACCTTTACCTTTGCTTCATCTGAGGGTTTTTCCTTTAATGAAACCAGCCCTCTGCTGCACTGGTTGCGTTAGACATGCCAGTCAAGCGCTCAGCCGAGGCTACTTGATGCAACCCGGCTTGATAAGGAGTATTGTTTCAAGGCTGACATCATCATGTAAAGCGAAAAAAGTGCGTGTGGGTGCGCGTGCGAGCGTGTGAGCGCGTGAGCGTGTGAGCGTGTGAGCTTGTGTGTGTGTGTGTGTGTGTGTGTGTGTGTGTCTGTGCGTCTGTGCGTCTGTGCGCCTGTGCGCCTGTGCGCCTGTGCGTCTGTGCGTCTGTGCGTCTGTGCGCCTGTGGGTCTGTGTGTCTGTGTGTCTGTGTGTCTGTGTGTCTGTGTGTCTGTGTGTGTGTGTGTGTGTGTCTGTGCCTGTGCGTGTGCGGGGGTGTGTCTGCGGGTGTTTACGTGTGTCTGCGTGCGCGCGCGCGCGGGTGTGTGTGTGTGAACCCTGATTCTAAGCTAAGGGACTTGGATACGCCAATAAGGTTGGACCGAGATCCAGCATCTCGCTCAATTTTCCCGCAGGGGGCTCTCGGAGCCTAACTGGGACGAGAGCCAACGAAGACGCCCAGTTAGATCTTGTGAAGCAAGGATGGACGCATCCTTGTGTACCTGCGCAATGTTCATAGTGCTGTTGTTTCCTTTTGGTCACTCAGTGATCTGAAGTTTCAGTACCTCCTGGATGAGATCTGGCAACAGTGTACCATTGTACAACAATCTCTGGTTGACCTCCCTCTCTCCGTGTGTGGGCTTCATCGCCCAAGGGCAATTCACCCGTTTGGGCATTGCCTGATTCCTGGATGGGGATCACCCAAGTAAACAGAGAGGCTTCAGTGCCAGATGAGCCTTGGTAGGCACCCAGTGCTATGAGCGGATTCTCTCTCTCTCTCTCTCTCTCTCTCTCTCTCGAGGTACCAGCCACGCCGGCTGAAGCTCAGTGTCGCCAATAAGGGCGGAACCGGAAATTGTTGAAGGGTGTCTTAAACCCAGTCGTGAGACATAGACGAGGTGGACGAGGTGGTCTAACTCTCTATTCGTGGGTCTCGACCCGAGTCGTATTTGCGGTGGTTGCCCCTCAGTTGCAAATAGTTAGACCGTTTTCATCCGTTTTCTTTCTTGCTGGACATTTCGCCGCTCGGCTTCTGTCTTAGTAGAGGTGCTCTGGGTCGCTGTTGACAGCGGGGGCCTCCTGGGATGCTCCTGGGCCCTCTGTGGCAGTTGGGGGTCCTCCACGACGACGACGATGATGGGAGGTGCCTTGGGTCACGGCGCTGGCAGCTGGGATCTCCCGGACGCTCCTGGGCCTTTCATGGCAGCTGGAGGTCTCTGACGACGATGACGACGACACTAAGGATTTCTAAGGTCGGTGCTGGAGGAGGAGGGCCTATGGCGGTGACGGGGCTATGGCGGAGGATTGGGCCTTGGAATGCATTGTGTCTCCCCTCGTAGGCGGGGTGTGTGTGTGTGTGAACCCTGATTCTAAGCTAAGGGACTTGGATACGCCAGTAAGGTTGGACCGAGATCCAGCATCTCGCTCAATTTTCCCGCAGGGGGCTCTCGGAGCCTAACTGGGACGAGAGCCAACGAAGACGCCCAGTTAGATCTTGCGAAGCAAGGATGGACGCATCCTTGTGTACCTGCGCAATGTTCATAGTGCTGTTGTTTCCTTTTGGTCACTCAGTGTGCCTGCGTGCGTGCCTGCGTGCGTGCCTGCGTGCGTGCCTGCGTGAGTGCCTGCGTGCGTGCCTGCGTGCCTGCGTGCGTGCCTGCGTGCGTGCCTGCGTGCGTGCCTGCGTGCCTGCGTGCGTGCCTGCGTGCGTGCCTGCGTGCGTGCCTGCGTGCGTGCCTGCGTGCGTGCCTGCGTGCGTGCCTGCGTGCCTGCGTGCGCCGTGCCTGCGTGCGTGCCTGCGTGCCTGCGTGCGTGCCTGCGTGCGTGCGTGCGTGCGTGCGTGGGTGGGTGTGTGTGTGTGTAGTGGGTGGGGGTGTGGGTGTGTAGTGGGTGGGGTGTGGGTGTGGGTGTGGGTGTGGCTGTGGCTGTGGCTGTGGCTGTGGGTGTGTGTGTGTGTGTGTGTGTGTGCGATTGCGCGTGGGTGTGATTGCGTGTGATTTCGTGTGAATGCGCGCGCGTGTGTGTGTGTGTCTGCTGGAAACAATGCTTCTTCAACCCTACTTATCTCATGGTCTTGTTCTGTCGATGGTATTCAAGGCTTTCTGTGCCATCCTGGAAAACACTGGGGCATTCCCTTCTCCAAACATTCTCCCAGTATGGAAGACACAGGCGAAGCATGCCACAGGTTTTTCCCGAACAGTGAATACTAATACCGTTGGGTCTCTTATTGGACTAGTTGGGAATCAAGCGGGAAAAAGGTTTGGATGGTCGCAAGATTGGTTGGGGTTTTTTTTTAACGGAATTGTCGGGATTTTGGTAGGAATAGCTCGGGGTTGTTGTAGCATGTTCGCAAGACTTGGAGTTGCGATAGGACCGGCTGGAATTCTTGTAAGTTGGATGAGCACTATGTGCACTGCATTGCAGCCATTTTGTTAGATCGAGATCATGGCGGAAAAATGGAATGCAAAGCCCTGCGATGTCAGTGCTGCAAGATACACCTTGACATGAACAGTCCGTCGACCCCCCCCTCCCATTCAGGAAAGCTAAGGTTTTTGTTAGGCTTTGGTGGGGCTCTCTTGGGTTTAGGTTGGTTGTTGTTGGGCTTATGGTGGTGCAGCCCCCTGGTTTTCGAATGCTTTACAGCAGTTCAAGCGGCGCCCTCTAAAGCAACGTGCACCGGTAATCCCTGATTTGTGTGTGTGTGTGTGTGTGTTTATCGTGCCCGTGTTTGTTGTGTTGTCTTGGCCTGTGTCTGTGCGTGTGGGTCTTTGTTGCAGTCCTGTTAAGATGACATCCGTCACAGTTCCACCACTGAGGAATGAGTTCAATCGCTTGAAGTCACATGGCGTTGACGGGGAGGCACTGGGTTTGCGTTCACACCGTTGGCAGTGGCTGAGCTCTCCACCGGTCAGTGTGAGGCGGTTTGGGGGGAGTGGTTCGCGGCTTGAGTCTCAATATTGCCCTGTTTGAGCCTGTCCCTGCTGAGCCTGCTGTGAATAGTCGTGGTAAGGCATCGCTGGTATCCACCAATGCCAACGGGGCTTGGGACTTGGGGACTTGGGGCCTGTCAAAGAGTCGCGAAGAATCCCTTAGCCTCCTTAGCCTTAGCGAGATGAGCCTCAGGCCTCCTTGCCACAAGCGCAGACCCACGTGGAGGCAGGATTTGCGCCGGTGCTTTAAAAAAATTTTCGGCGCAACTAGTGTCTGTACATGTCGAGTCTATACGTATGTACACACTACTGCCTCGTGGCCTTGGCATTGTTTAGTACATCTGGCAAGTCGGTTCCGCCCTATTCCCCCCCCCCCATCGCTTGTTGCCCGGCCGATTGTCCCTTTGTCCATGTCTCTACACACGCGCAGTAGTGTTAGCAAGGACAGCAAGGCTCTTGCAGTGACAAGCAGTGGCATATTGTGAGTTGTAATCCCACCTGAAATCCTAAACCAGGGTTGCATTTTAGTTTCGTGTTGCCGTGGTGCTACTTTGTTAGTGTTCTGCCTCGGTAGTTGCCCCTGCAGGAACCTGTGCTCACGTTGGCGACCCTTCAGCGGCTTGTCACACCTGAGGTGCGGTTTGTTGCTTGCTTGAATCAATGACAATAATTGCGATTCTGCATTCTACAGGACTTGTCCTTGGATTTTCGACACATTGCCACTCTTTGGAAGCTGGACTCAAATCGAGATGGCGTCGTCACCTTTGAGGCACAGCGAGGATTCTGCTGATGGATTGGCAATCATAGCGAACTGCTTTTGGAGGAGCTCGTGACTTTTGCAGAATTCTGCAATGAGCAACGGATGATGCTTGGAGACCTGGAGCTGTCTCAAAAGCTCAAGGCTGGGCGAAGATGTGATAATGTGGGACTCTGCACCAAAATTTATGCCAGGCTCTTTGCGTCATGGAAATGATTGCAGATGTGTGTGATGAGCGTCACCCTCAAGTTTTTGCGGGCTTGCGGCCAGACGCACGCAGCATCATGTTGAAATAGAAGCAACAGCTGTAAGGGATGGTCAAGACATCTTCGTGGACTGGATGCTGAAGATCCTTGGCCGACCAGTGTCTGCAGACATGACTGCCTCAACTGGCTCTCCCCTCGCTGATTTCTGAGGCTTGTCGCTCAGGCATGGTCGTGTCGCTGTTTGGAACCATTCTGTGCAGAAATGTGTTCCGATCGGTTCCCAATGTGCAAGATGTTCCAGCTGTCACTAACAACGTGTCTACAACGTCAATTCCATGGAATCCCTTTCCTCAACAGCGTTGTAGTTACGTGTGCAGCGCACTTGCATCTGACAAAAAGAGCGTAAGTTGCGACTGCAGGACATGTCCCCTCGCCCATTTCGCATGATGCGGATACCAGTGCGAGACTCATGGCAGAGACGGGAAAAGGTTGAGAATGCTTCCAAGCCTTTCTGCACCCAGGTGGACACTGAGGATACTGGAAGGCCTGGTAGGCCAACCTTCTACGTCCACATGGATGTGGCGGTGTTCTCAGACAGCGCTAGGCCGGCTAGATCCGCTAGGTCTTCGCCATGGCATGAAAACGGCTCTGATTTGCCCTCAGGTCATGAACCTGTACAATCTGCTGAAGCCTTGCCAGATTTCAAGCCACACAAACATGCAGCTCAGTTGGAAGATGGGCAAGTCGCCGTTGTTGCAAGCTCTACCGCGTTGCGCATTCAGGTATGCATCCTGAATCAATGAGGGTTCAGTGCAAGATGCAAGATAAGTCCATGCAGCCATAAGGCAAGACTTTGTTGACTTGCTCCACCAAATCGGGGAGAGCATGAACCTTCAGCCACTGATGATAAAGGACTCTGTCACATGCCTTCTTCTGTTGCTTGAAGGGGCTCCAGTGCAGCTTCAAATAGGACCTTGATGAGTGGGCCATGAGCTCAGACCTAGGCCCGGTGTCATGTTGAAAGTTTCATTGTTCGGTGAGGTGCCGCTGGAAGTCGTGTATCACTGGTTGAAGCGCTTTGTCTCGGTCTGCCCCTAAGCGTTCTCCCATCGTGCCTACATGACAATTCCCATGCCATTCCTATTCTCTGCAGGCATTCACTGACCTCTACAAAGAGCTGGGTCTGTTCATTGATACTTGATTGTGCGAGTGCCTTCGCTCGTGTGCCGAAACATGAGAGGGCCGCTCTTCGTGTGGTGAAGTAGCGATGTAAGGGAACACGTGAATTACATGCCATATGCGTTTCTGTGAAAAATGAGCAGCATAAGACATTCGCGAGGGTCAGCTTGGGTCCGAGGTTAAGGTGCGACCTTGTTAGCGTAGCACCGGTGCTCCCCGGCAACTTGACACGACTAGAACGAAGAAGCGCTTCCACGACCACTTCTTTGCATTGTTATCAAAGGCAATGCGCGAATCTGGCACCGGCACACCCCAACTGCCCTCCAGAAACACGATGCGCACTTTGTCCCAAAAATGGCCTTGGCAGGGCCAGGCAATGGATGCGCAGTTGCAAGTAGGTGCATGTTGCTGCAGGATGTTGAGCGTACTCCCTTTAAGCCCCTCTGCCGGCAGCAGTATTTGACATACCAGAGAACCAGTCTTGTCTACCATGTTTGGGGTCCAGTTTTATTTGAGGTCATTCGGCCTGGGAGTACTCCTGAGCGGGCATCCTGAATCCAACGTAAGCAACCCCACATAGCAGCGAACCGCATTGCTTGAGCTGTTGGTAAACAGAGTCTGGACTTGCCAGTATGTTTCAGTGCTCGAGAAAATGTGATCGCGACATAGAGGCTGGGTCCACGTAGACATGAGCCAGATCCATCTCTAAAGGAAATGGACTTGGAGGATGAGCTTGAGCTCTCTCCCAGATTCGTGGCGGCGCTCTTGCGGGGCGGCTCAGGAGTTGGAGTGCTGCAACGCGCTCAAGATGAGCTGACTCGCCGTGCTCACAATTTGTGGTTGGAAACAGGCCGTAGTGACGAAAAGGCCAACTGGGAGGATGCAGAGCGGACCTTGGTGCGTTGGCGGAGACAGCCTGAGACTGGAAGCGACGCGGGAAACCCGGGCTTTGATGCTTTGTGCGACTCGCCAACGGAAAGCTTTGCCATGGATTTTGCAGCGAGCCGCGAGGAGCTTGCTGAAACTTGTGTTACTCTTCAGGCCAATCTGCATGCGGCCAGAGCTGCACTTCAGCAGGAGAAGTGGGCGGTACGAGCTTTGCGTAAGGATCTTCAAGCCGAGCGGGCTCGAAGCAAACGCTTCTCATTCAAGTTGATGGCTGCAGAGACGCAGTTGTACAAAGAGACGGCCAAACCCAATCCAGGACATGCCAGAACAGCGCGAGGTATCCCTGTCCCTGCCGTCGCTGCCTTTGACAGTTTGAAAGATGGTCGGCAAGAAGCCGAGCATTATCGCTTAACGCCGAGAGCCCGGGGCCGCAGAGGGTGCTACACTGGTTACACCAGCCCCGTGCAGAGCTCCTGCAGCAGCGACTGCGAAGCGTGCGAGATCAGTTCAGCAGAATCTGGGTGCCATACGCCGACAGCATCCTGGTGGTATGCTGATGGCAAAGATCATTCTGAAATTGGTTTGGACCACTTTGATACTACATATGCTGAGGCCAGTATCCTGCACCCGGAGTGCTCAGATTCATGGTGGTTTTCTGAAGACAGCACTCGGCATCATACTGCGAGTGAGGACAGCATTTAAGCTGCAAATTATGTTGTTTCGTTCATTTCATTGTCACGTTGTCACCCGTCGCCCTGACTCTCATGTCGCATGCTTTGCGCCTGAAAGGTCAGTAACACTTCCTGGTCCTAGGCATACAGTCGACGACAGCCTGCTGACACAGTAGCTGCCCAAAGCATATTGAGACGGTTCTAATGGCCAGTAGCACGTACGGAACATGTTGAATTGGCAAAGGCACCACGCACTCAGCCGTGCTGAAGCAGAGTTGAGCAAGACGAGAGCAGGCAAACACAGTGCAGCAAGAGCAGGGTCGTAGTCTTCGTCGTCGTCGTCGTCCTCGTAGTCGTGGAGGTGGTGGTGATTGTTGGTCGTCGTCGTTGTCGTGAATCGTAGTCGTAATGCTCGAGTCGTCATCGTAGTGACATGTAGACACTCTTTATCTCGCATCGCTCTGTTCGTTTACGCATCCACATTGGGGAACTGCATCCCCCACAGTTCTCTTTATGTGGCGAAGTCGGCTTCGTCGTCACGTACGCGGCGTCTACATGGTGTTTTGACTGCTAGCAGTGCTTGCAACCCTAGACTTCCCCTAAGCGCAAGACCCGACATCAGAGTCTCAGAGTATATCTCTTCACGTGCCGAAGTATGCAATGGCATCCCACGAGGCTTCATAGGATCGCCCGCTTTCTCTGTGCTGTCAATCCTTCAAATCCTGGCCCCTAACCCTAAACCCTTTGTCTCGAACTCTTCTAAGTCTGCTTGCCTTAATTCCAGCGTCTACTTGGGGATTGATTTGCCCTGATGTGTCTTCCGCGTCCACAGTGATGTGGAATCACCGGCCCGCTTGTAGTACTAGAATTAGACTGAGGCCTAGCATTAGGGAAAGCGTCACCATTAGTCATTCGTCGTAGTTGTTTTTAGTTTTGGGCTTCAGTTTTGGGCTTCAGGTGTCGCATCCTTGAAATGGATCAAAGGATGCCCTCGGATTGTCAGAGCATTGGCACACATTAAAGGCACAAGCTCTGTTTTTGAAAGCCTCTCGCGTTCCAACATGTTCTTGAATAGGGATCCCTGCTGTTCATCGTATGAGTCGGCGGAGGGCAGCAGATCCTACCACACCAACTCAGCCTTGTTGTGACTTGCCTCTTCGGGTTTTCGGACTAGCTTCTGGGCTTAGGATGTCAGGCCCTCCTGTTTCAAAAAGCAAAAACGAAAGCGCTGCGCTTGCCACCACTTTTGGCGGAAGTAGGCCTGAACAGTGGGCCCTTTCCACACTTTCGAGCTGTTGGGGAGACCCCAGCAAAACAACTAAAATGGCGCTCTCGCACCTGAATTTCGTGCTAGTCTGACAACAAGAATGACGGATGTGTTTCTTGTAGCGGGAGTCATTCAAGCACGTTCTGCTTGCGCGATCGCATATGGTGTCAACTTCAGCGAGAAACGATGTTTCTCTTGCGCGGTCCCGGGCCGGTGCGCATCACTTGGTAAAGTGCCGTGTGAAGTCTTGGTTGTGCAATCTTATAAGGCAATCTCACCGTACCCGCAGACAGCTTTACCTCCGAGAAGTATGATCCCGAGGATGCAGAGGTGCCAGATGTTGCAGTTGCGAGGCCCTGCTCAGAACATGGCGCTGCCCTGTGAGGAGTCTACGCAGGTCAGCTTCTGGGACAGAGACAGCTTGTGGCTCGGAAGTGCAGAACTTAGCTGACAGAAGTCCCGTGGAATCCAACTGTGAATTTTCAGATTGTCTCCGAGCTTGCCGTTGCCCTGCGCGAAGGCACGTACAGTGCCATCGAAGATCTTCTGGGCCGCAGAAGACCTGGCCAGAATTCGTGGGCGTCCCAATGATCGGCTCAAACGGATGCCAACCAATGTCTTGCCAGCTGAGACAAGCAATCAGATACCTGCCATACCACACTTGCAATTTTTTGCAGGGGCACATTCTGCCGGGTTTGTTTGGGAGCAGTGCATCAGGCAGTTTTCTGTTTTCTTGTGCTGAGTCTTATCGACTGCCGTCCTGGCACTGTCTCACCTCGCTTCAAAGAGATGCGGTCCTTTGAACGAGCTTCACGCTCGATATAGCTCGATATAGCTCGATATCGCATGCAAAGCTGTGCTGTTTTACGTGTCAGAGTGCTTCAAAATACTGGAAGCTGTGATATGGGGCATGTGATAGACGATTGACTGTTAATAATGACGTTGCTTTTACTGAGCACTCCCGGTGTCAATCGACCAGGCCGATAGCTGCACCATGCGACAGAAGAGACACGTTGAGGCGACAGCGTGACAACTCGACGCCAACACTATGTGAAAATGATACTGCCCGCAAATGCCCGCGCCACGACATATGATGTGAACCTTAATCTGAGCAACAAACTTCTAGCATTTTTAATTTCTCGACAGTCACCAGATGGACGAGCCTGAAGCGGCCGAGATTCTCGAGAAATCTGTGAGCCGCCTCATGTTCTTGATGTTGATGCAGTATGTTACAGTATGTTGGGCTCCAAGATGCTCCACGATCCAGCATGAACACAGCCTGCGGCATGTTGGAGTAGGGACTCTTAGCCTTAACGTCAGCAGACAGGCCACACACACAAGCACTAGGCAACAAAACAGCTTGCCTTCAATGTAGCCTGCCTACTGTGGTGACGCCATTGTGCAGTCTGCTTTGGCTTCTCCTTGCTTGACATGCAACCGCCTGGTTGGAGAAGTCATGGTCGGTGTGCAGTTTAGCAGGCCCATGCCCATGCGCCCATGCAATGTCAATACGGGCTTGTCCTGAGACACCGACAGGACGGGATCCCGCGCCTTCGTTTCCACATGGCGCTGGAGGCGTTGCAAAATCAGCGCAGTATCCTTCCATAGAATTGGGCGCTGTCTTGTGGCCCGAGGCCAAGACGTACTCAATGCAGAGGAGCTGATGTCACAGCTGTTGAGTTGTGAGATGTTTGGAGACTGCGATCTGCACGTGTGCATCTGGGTTCAGGTGGGCTTAAGAGGAATGCTTACGGGATCAGGGATGTCATTGTCTAGGAGTCTGGCCGAGTTTGTTTCAAACGGCAGCCGACGAAACGCATCACCAGGGTGTTGCTCGCGCCATAGTCTTTGTACGTCTTTTGAGTCTTTTGGTTGATCAGTAGAATGCCTCTGGACTCGATCTTGGTAAAATGGGTTATGTGTGCAGCAGCCCGGCTTTGAGTTGGGCGTCGCGAGCTTGGCTGATGAGCAGCAGGCTTCCCCGATGCCATTCGAAGTTGTCATGTCCTGAAGCCGTTACTCTTCCAATATGGCGCATGTTGATCGGCCTCCCATTCTTGGTGAGTTTTGAGTTTTGAGCCTATCTCGGAGGAATGGCGAGGTTGGCTTGTGGGGTTTTCCGATATCCTTGGGGTTATGGGAGAAAAGTCGGACCTGAACACCAAGCCATGCGTCCAATACTGCATCCTACGAGGAGGTAGGCCCCAACCTTGGCAATCTAGCTTCTCAAGCTTGGAATCGTCTGTCTGATGTGGACGTCCTTCTACTTGCCATCCCAGAAGCGGCGACCTGTCCTTGAATGTTGGGTCTTCGGTGTTTGCTACGGTACGTAAATTTCTTGCTACCTGGGCAGAGCCCTTGCAGGCTTTTTCAAAAACATTCTGAAATCAACTCTTGATCGCGCTCCAACTTTGGATGTTGATGCAGTGTAATTAGAGGCCGGCTTATTCGCCACTGTTGCGAAGAGCCTGCCTCCAGGACTTTCCGATATTCGCGAGGAAGGCAAAGTGACGGGACCTCGGTACGTTCCCCGGAAGGAGGTGCTCTTCAACCAAGCAGAACATGCAAGGGCATTCGTTCCAATCTAGGTACTACCCTTCTCTATCGCAAACTCTCCGGAACACCCGCGGACGGGAGCTCCTGCGAATTGTGGACACCGCCGTGCCAAATTTGCAGAACCCCGGCCATGATAATATATTTGGTAGTTGCATGCCACCCCAGTATCAGAAGCCATCTCCGAGGAACGAGCAAGAGTTCCTTGTCATTCTCAAGGCAGCGTTTGGGGAGCAGAGTTTTCATCTATTATTGCTTTTGCCTTTTGAGTTTGTTTGTGCGAGCTTGGGGGGAGGTAGTAGTATGACTTCTCGCAGTAGCAGCAGTAGCAGCAGCAGGAGGAGTAGGAGTAGTAGGACAGGGAGCAGGACTCGGACTTGGAGACGTAGTTGTAAACGCAGTACCACATTCACACCGTAACACAGAAGCATGGTAACACAGTCACACATTGGCACAGTAGCATAGCAACACAGTAACGCAGTAACGACACTGCAATACAGCAACACAGCAATAGCGATAAGAATAGAATACTAGAGCAATATAATAATATATACTGATGCCATGTAGAAGTCTAGTATGTAGTAGTAGTTTAGTAGAAATAGACTAGTAGTTTTGTAGGAATATAGCAGAAATAGATTAGCCCAGCAGCAACAAAGTAGCAATATAACAGGAATGTAGTAGTACTGTATTTGTAAGAACGCAGTAATAAGGAGTGATATACGAGCGATAGAATCTAGAAGTATTATAGTAGTATTACAGTAGCAATGCAGTACCGCAATGGCATTACATTCAAATCCAAAACCAGCATCTGCAGTGTGTGTGGCATAGGTATCCGTGACTATTATCCTTAATGGCCTGAAGTTACCAGTACCATTCCGGCTGCAAATGGACCAGCCAAAGGCATTCTTTCGAATGTGGCTCTTAGACCTAAAAAGATGACAACGGCACTAGGTAACATTCTAGCAGTATTATAGCAATATATAGCAATATAGTAGTTAAGCAACATTACAGCAATGTTATCGTTATATTTTTGTAATCTTGTTGGTAATATTGCAGAAACAAAAATATTTATAGTAGTATTTGCAATGCTACAGCAGCATTATAGCAGTGTTACAGCAATATTCCCGCAACACTACAGTCGTGTCTTTGTAATTTGGTGGCATGAGAATTATTATAGAAATTTTGCAGCAATATTGCAGAAATAGTACAGTAAAAGGCCAGGAGTTGTGCAGTAATATTGCTGTAATATTATCGACATATTGACAATAGTATTGCATGATAGTAATATTATATGAATTCTATGGCACTACTATCGTTAGTAACATTGCAGGGTCATTGCAGTAATAACTTAATCGTTTAGCAATACTTCTGAGATAATAAAAGTGAAATTAGAATAGTTAGTACTAAATCACTACCGTAGTACTGCTGCTGCAATATTCTACCACCATTATAGACATGCCAACAGAAATGCAAGGGGCCATCAAATTGCACTCCTTTGGTGCTGCTCATTGCTGATGCTGGTTACTTCTTTAGATGGTGTAGGGACAATTTGGACAGTTCCGGCATGCGTTGCATGCCTCCACCTGCTTTCAAAGGCGTTGGCATTGGATGGCCAATTTCGACGAGCACTTCGCCTGATGAGGCCCTGGAAGCGTGATGAAACGTACAAGCGGTCGTTTCCTTAAGAGAGACGCTCATCCAGCCATCGACTGCAGGGAGATGAAGGACCTAAACCTGGAGCACCCGGCTCATACCATGCACAGCGGATTGTTGCAAAGCATCTTTGACACCTGCGTAGCTGTTGGAGACTGGAGCTTGCAAGGCTTGACATTACCAAGTACAACTGGGTCCTAAGTGCCATGGCAAAAGACAAGCAGGCAGGGTCCACCAGTGTAAGATTGGCAATGTTTGGTGGTTCAAAGCCTGCGACAGGTGGAGCGGGCCCTGGCCATGTTGGCGGAGATGAGAGAGAAATCCGTAAGTCCGGATCTGCAGAGCAGCTTGCTTGCAAATGTCTTCGACTGCCGCACTCTTGCTGTTGCTCGTGCTCATGCTCATGAGATGTTGTGTTGGTCTAGTTGCTGTTGTCAGTGGTCCGTGTTGTGGTTGTGGTTGTGGTTGTGGTTCTGCTTGTGGTTGTGATGATTGTGATTGTTGTTGTGATTGTTGTTGTGATTGTTGTTGTTGTTGTTGTTGTTGTTGTTGTTGTTGTTGTTGTTGTTGTTGTTGTTGTTGTTGTTGTTGTTGTTGTTGTTGTTGTTGTTGTTGTTGTTGCACAATGCCCGAATGGTGTGAATGCCCGAGCTTGCATCTTACAGCAGTTCTGAGTGCCTTCATTGCCGAAAATGAAGACGTGCAGAGCGTCTGGTCATCTGTACCACATGGAACTTCGCTGGACGAACGCGCCCCCCTCCGCCACAATTTCAATGCCTTCAATCTGCCGCTCCAGGCCATGCACTGTGGTGCACAGCACAGCGCCCCCCCCCCCCCCCCCCCCCAAAGTGCCCAAACCCTAGTAACCCTCCGCTTCCTTGGGTTCAAGTTCTGTTGAGAAGGCAAACTCCGGGGAGCGAAGGGGTCACGGATTCAAAGCAATCTTGTATTACAGGGGGGCGGGTTGTGGTACTCGCAGTCTCCGTGCTAGTCACTCCGGCACCCACGTTCAGCCGTTCAGAAAGAGTCCATGCAAGCAACCATCGCATGTCTTGTCACGTGTTGCCCGTTAATTCGTCAAATTAGCTCTCGAGTTGGTAATGGCAGTTCTGGTAGCTGCAGCTGCTGTTTTTGCTTGGTCGGACAGATTGTATTGCCTGTTGCGACAGTCTTGTGCATGTTGGCAGCATCGGAAAAAAGAGCTGGTGTTCGAAGACAGGTTACAACCATTGCGCAGGACTGATCAGGGCGTTTTGCTGAACTATGTTTTGCGGGATCACATAGGATCACGTTGAGCACGAGAGAGGCTCTTGTGGCTGACCATTCCTGACTGACAGGCGCCTGCAAGCCGAAGGAGTGGCAGGAGTCTCTCCACATCCTCAGGACTTTGATGCCCGCTGCTGGCATCGAAGCGGATGCCCAGAGCTTTGAGCATGTGGCCGCTGCATGTGAAGAAGCTCACGAGTGGCAGAGGTCCCTGTCTTTGTTCCTTGAAATCGACAAGCAGGGCCTCTCTGCCAGCTCCGTTGGCCACAACTACGCCTTGTCAGCGTGTCGCCAGGGTAAGCAGTGGCAGCATGGATTTGAGATCATAGACATGATGAAGCAAAAGAGCTTTGAGCCGGACTTCCGCCTGAAGATGGATTTGGAAGCCCAGTCTCGTGGCTTGGACCGGGCTCCCCCTCCGGAGCCCAGCAGCCGATCCATGCCCTCTCCAGACAATGTCTGGCAGCGGAAACAGCAGCTGCGTGAGCTGCGTGAGCAGGACAAGCGGAGGCAGGAGGAGCGGCGCCTCGAGGAAGAAAGACAGAAGCGACTTCGTGATGCGCATTCGCAGCCCGAATCTTCGGCGTCAAGGACCGAGACAGAACCGAAGGTGGAGAGCCAACTGTTTCCGCGTCCGAGGGCTGAGGCTCCAAAGCAAGACGCCGGCAGCACACCCAGTACGCAAAAAGTGACAACTGAAGTGCCCAGCAAAATTCCAAGCAAGACCCAAGGGAACCAAGGGGCACCTGCATCTCACGCGACACCTTCCGAGCGTGAGAGCCGCCCCTCGCGGGAGGGGCGTGAAGGCCGTGAGAAACGACCTCAGAAATCTGAGAAGCGTGAGGAGAGAGAGGAGAGGCGAGATCCGCCAATCTCGCCACGGCGGGATCCCAAAAGGCCCAAGTTGCGTTCCCCCGGCTCCTATGTTCTTCCGGTCTTCGCGCAACATGATCGCTCAAATCATGCCGAGCGGCAAGCCCTGATCAAAGTGATTGCTCGCGTGCAAGAGGCGTCCGGTGCAAAGACGGATGCTGAATTTGAGGCAGAGTGTGCTGAAGTCACTGGCACTGTCCGACTGTATGCCTCTCACACGCCTTGCATTTCCTGCATGGCATGCTTTTGTCAATTTCAGCGCTTGTTTCCCAAAGTAAAGCTCTGCGTCGACTTCGACGATTGGCGTGACACGCGCCGCATGGTTGAGATGGCCCGCAGGGAAGAGGAGCACAAGAAGCGCGGCACTGCCCCGCCCGACTACGACTGCCGAGGCCTCTCCGACCTCTCCGACGAGGAGGAGTTTCCTGAGGAGGAGGAACAGCTTGCCAGAGCTGACGCCGGCTGAACGCTTTCAACTCATGCCGCATGCCCCCACGGTGTGATAAATGCAAAGACACACAATGTTGAACCATGTTAAATTGAAGGATTGGAGGCTTTGAAAGCGTCCTTTGGGGGGGCTTCGCTGGGGGTCCTTAGAAGTTTGGCGGCCATGTGCCAAGGCCGATCGCGGCACCCACAAGAGCCCCACTACCATCTCCCAATGTTTGTGAGTGTTTCAGTCTGTAAGAACTCTCTTAGAATGGGTTGCTTGGGAGCCCAATTCAAAACCTTTGCAGTTAGCAAGGGTTGTCGGGCATTGCGAGTTATAGGAAACCTCCTTCGGCCCACGGGCCGAGGCGAAGTGGTGCATGTGCTAAGCTAAGGATAAGCACACCAGTCTTGGCGCTACAGGGTGTGGCTCAGCATGTGCAGCGATATTGCCTGGTTTAGACTAGACGAAGCATGCCGTCTGCACGATTCGCAGGACATAGTAGGACTAGAAAGCAGCTTTATCCCTGCACACGCTTTCTGAATTTCAGACATCATGCGCTTGATTATTACATCGTATGGCTTTAGAGGTCATTGGCAGGTTGGCGAGACTTGACCAAGAATGCTCGACATGAGATTGTAGAGCCGATAGAGTCGTGGAATGTTGGCCGTCAGCAGCCTCAGCTGCACATTTTTTGACTGCCACGCGAAGCATGATCACCAAATATTGCCACCTTGCAAAAATGTGAGGGACTTGGACATGGGCGGCCATGTGTGGCTAGCAGGAGCCCATGCCAGCTTCGAGTTGAACTGTGCTGGCAGGGTTGTTTTTTTGCCCATACTCTGCCTGTCAGGCGCTCTGGTGTTGGCTGGGCTGGCTTCTGGTGTTGGAGATTTCGAGATGCGGCGGCCACCTGAGCTGGAGGCCTCTTGCTCAGTCATCGCGCTGTGGATGCTGCGGTTCTGATGTCCGTTCACTATTCTTCATCCGGCTGTTGGCAGTAGGACATCTTTCGAAATGCCGCGACTCCACTGGTCGGAGACTGGCTGCCGTGTCCCAAGAGGTCATCATGGTAGTAGTCGTGCGCTACCTCCACATGTTTTTTAAATGGCATGGTCGTGCCAACGTCACCAACGTCTAATCTGCAAAGACATGCAAACAGCTGGCTGCTGGTACTCACGCTCATGCGAACGTAGCCATACGTGGCCCAATTTTTGGGCTATTCAGTTTTGGGCTTTGATTTTTGACATTCGCGGTGCCGGGCCGGCCCAGCGCGGGGTGTAGCGTGCGCATCGCAGACGAAAGAAAGCCAAAGTTATATGTCGCTGGGGGGTGGACTGCGAATTTCGAGCTGGGAAGGGCGGAAGGAGACCACATCCTGGTCTGCTTTTCCAGACGCCTCTTGGCCGGAGGCTGAGCAATATGGTTTGTTGGATGTTATTGAGAGTCACCCGTTCCAAACACAGGCCTGAACCCGAGAATACAAGACCTGAGATAGACAAACAAATAGTGCTTCATCTCAGGGGAACTCAAGAGAGGTTCGCGATCATTTCGGCCAAAACCAACAAAGGGGCTTCGTCAACTGGGGGAAAGGGTTGCTTTCGACCGGGGGGTTGTGCACTGTTCAACTTTTGCACCCCCTCCCCTCGAAAAAAGCCCCGAGCCCGAGCCCGAGCCCCAACCCCCTTTGAAAGAGAACGCGAACCCGCGAACCCCCCCCCCTAACCCGAATCCAGGCTTTACGGCTTTTCGGTTTTGGGTTTTATATCAGGAGGTTGACGGCATGGGAGGGTTCGGGCTTTGCGGGTTATGCGCGCTTGTAGGGTTTAGGGGATGAAGGATCGGGGTGTAAGGGTTTTATTATAGGGCTTATAGTAGGACGGTTGAGGGCTGTCAAGGTTTAGGTTTTCTAGGGCTGAAGGATTTGGGTTGAATATTTTCCGAACCCAAGCCCGCCCATGCCACCCGCCCCCCGAACCAGAACCTGAACCGGTTGTGGTTCGGGTTCGGGGGCAGGCGGGGCACTTGGGGCACTTCCTGTGCCAAGAAAAAGTCTTGAGTGGAGCAGAGTGTCCCGAGGTCTGCAGGTTCCTTTGCGATGTTGGCCGATCAGCAACTTCCATGTCTGTGCTCCCTGCCGCGATTGCAACCATTTCATGATGCACGTCCTTGTTTCAAGATGACTGGAGCAGGAAGGTATTGGTGGTGCTGGATTGGGTCCGGGCCTGTGTAACGTCTAACTTGGTATCGGTGACCTTGGTCTCGAGTGAAAGCTTGCCCATTGTCCAGGTTTCGCAAAAGCTGCATGAATCTTTCCAGCACACCAGGGACAACTTCTATGTGTGGAAGGCAAGGTGAGGCGTCACAGCGTGGCGAGTTCAAAGCAGCACTTGCCGGAGGATATCTTGATTGCCAAAGGCTTTCAAGGCATGCTTGCTGTGGGAATGATGTGTGATGGGAGACATTTGCGAGATGCTTTCTTGCATTGTTCGAGACACACCAGTATGACAGGAGTCTGGTTCTTCCCCCCAAAAAGAATCGTCGAACATGGCATGCAGGGTGGCACATTTGATGTTCCCGGAAGGTCAGACGTCGCAAGAATGGTTCACATCCTCCAACTACTACAGCCTCTTGAACCCGATCATGGACATGCACAGGACGGAGAGACAGAGAGAGCCCTGTCTGGAGAGCCTCTGGCGAGCCCGCACCCATTAGTGCCCTGGCGGCCTTCGCCAAAGAGTTTAGCGTGCGAAGGCCGAGACCTGATTCCTTGAGATTAGAGCTAGTGCTAAGTGGTGGCACGGCATGAAGGCTCTGGGAAAGGAGATAGAAAGGCGGTAGGAATGCGGGCACCTAGACACAATCGATGTCCATATTCTCGTGGTCTCCTCTCCTGATGGTTCCCAGTGGACAGTGGACTTCCAGTGGATACTGTAGCTTGTGTATCTTGTGCCTGCAATGAGAATCAATGAAAAGTGTGCAACCGGGGCCCGCTGCCGAAAAACGAATCCCTGAGGATCTGCAGCCACTTCACGGAGTTCATTCAGGCGGTTGTCATGGTTCATGGTGAAAGGCCTGGGTTTCTTGTTTCCTGTGATGCTGTCCTCTCATGCAGAAATGTTAGCCTGTGAAGTAGTAACAGCAGAGGTATCTGCACAAAGTTTTACGGAAAGCCCTCCGTTTTTGCATGTCGGAGTCCGGTGGAAGGAGAGCCAGTGTTTGGATAGCTCCAGAGTGAAGGGAGGCCCTGGAGGTGTGGTTGGAAGGGGAAGAGGGTGTTCCCGCAGTCCTGCGCAGCTTATCCTCGGTCCGAAATGGCCAATTGCTCGGGTCGGGGTTGATGTTTGTCCAGGAAGACTCGCCTAGCAAGTAAATCGACCACTCGTTCAATGCAACGTTTTACTTTTCCGATAGTAGACTCGTTGTTTCGCTCGTTCAAAAAGCATTGTTGCAAGGAAGCCCGAGTACGCATGCGATGCATGTGCATCTGGACGCTGCATGAGAACAGCCTCGGCAGAAGTTGTCGAGCCCGGATGGTTCAAGCGGAGGTGCCTCTATCCTGAACTACGCGATGCCATCGGTTCTATTCCAAGTGCTGTTTGGATCATGGCAGTATGGGCGAAACTTCTCGGCTAAGTGCTTCAATTCTGAAGCGCATTGAGGTGCATCAATGCTTTGGCTTGTCAAACTGTCTCAGGAGGCTGGAATCTGGAACCCTTGTCCGACGAATTGGCACACTTGTCACAGGCTGCAACTTGCACAATGCAGGTCCACAAGGTCCAATTGGCGGGCATTTACCATTCACGTTATGCATTGTATGAGGCCTGGACGCTGTTGAGCCTGAAAACGTCTGGAAATCAGCCGGGGACTTGCATGGCAGCAATACGGACACCTTGCAGGTGTCGACTGACGTTCTGCGACACATGCTGCCACCGCCCGAAGCTTGGGTCATACCAAAACTGATTTGCAGGGCAGCAGACGAAAGATCATCATCATGCAGTATTTTGTTGATCGGAACAGCTGCAGGGTCGATGTGCTCCACTATGCTGCCAAGTTTGCAGATGCCTTCTCCGAGGCATGTTGCGCAACGCTAGGGAGCTCAACAATTGAATGAACACTTGTTCGCAGGTTCGGATCATCTTGGACCAACTGGCGGATAAAGGCAATGGGGCACGGGTGGTTTCGCCGGCTGCTCAACATTCTTTTTCTGGGACTGCTGTTTGTCAGAGCTGCGCAGCTCGAGGCTACCAGCTGCAGGACCATCTCGGACAGAGGACGTGCAGCTTGAAACATCTTGAAGCTGCTTCATTTGGATGCAAAGGCAGGCGAAGCACCTGTCGGAGCACCTATACTGGGTTCCATGTTGACCCGTGAAAGCCCCCCCCTGTCCCACCCACAGGCGCTATTCACAATCGAAACTAGTCGCGCCACTGGGTCCGCGTGCGGACAGTGAAGTGTCCGCCTCTGTGCGTGGACGCATGCACGCGTGAGCAGCTCATATTCCATGGCTGCCATGGCTTGACGCTAGGATAGTCTGGTGTACTTAGTAGTACTTGCCAAATTGGTGTGATCATGCATGGCTTCAGCCTGTCGCTTGTCATGCATGTCGATGTGTGTGGGCACCATTACCGGCCTGCATTCTGCCAGATGGCAAACGTACTGGAACTGTCATTAATCGGTCTTTTCCCTTGCAGTCGACAGACCTGCCCGACACCATAAAGACAAAACATGAGAAGACAGTCGAAAGTGACGGACCCCAAAGACAGAACCGATGCAAGCAACATTGCGCCGCAAAGAAGGCCGCTCAGGGCGCAACTGCGTAGCTCAGGGTGCATATCAGCACATCTTGCTCCTCATGAATGCGTTCCGCGCAGCTGGAGTTCACATGTCTCATTGCCCTCGGCCAAACTGTGCGCAGCACGCATCGTCATCGTGTTGGTGCCGCTATGGAAACTTCAGTCTGGTGACCATTAGCAGGGTCACAGGCCCATTGTGGTGCCTGTGCCAGTGAAGCTATCCACCAGAACGGAAGCGGAGATTGCTCGCCCGGGAAACCTGCAAGATTCTGCAATGGCATATTGCGCTCACGACGTTTCCATGGTTTAAGCTCTGCATGGCGTGAAGTCCTTGTGGTCGGCGGCTCACTGCCCAGCTGCCTACACTCAAGTCGCACAGATGTTGTCAAGGACGATGGTGGCGCCTTCTCAGACATGACCTTTATCGAGCTTCCGACGAGCTTTTGCACGTATTGTTGATTTTAGAAGTATGTCGCTCAGATGCAACTATCGTGGGTGACCTCTTGCAGCATGTTCAGCAAGTACTTCGGTCTCGACGCACATGGTGCCAGGTCCGAAATCTGACATCTTCCTGGCACTTGGACCATGCGCTGCTTGCATCACTGCCAAAGTCCTCAGCCAATCTGCAGTCAGTTGTTTTCATTATGTTCTTTTGCGGTGATGTCTTTTTTCGGATTCTGAGTTTTGTTGCTTTCAAAGCCGTTGCCTTCTTTGAGCTTAAGGGTTCGGCTTTGGCCGCCTGTGGACGGGCACGACAAACAAGGCCGGGATTCTTGCCTTTGTCGTTTTGGTCTGCTTCTGCAAGAGAGGACGTGTTTATGGCTAACAATTCGGGTCAGGCCAGTGCCACACCACCATTGCGGACTTTGGAGCCGGAGGCCGACAGGGAGAAGAACGAACGAAGTGACGAAGTGAGTTCCAATGTATACTCGCACACTGGAACCGTTGACCGCAGGTGGCCATTATTGCAACTTTTTAAACAAAACCGGGGAGTCAAGGGCTTACTGAGGCTGACTGGTTCAATGTTTCCGACGCTTGAGTCGAATGATGACGATTGCTGAGGTATTGCTGCCATGCATTTGATGGGTCGCCTCGAGCGGCATACTACACCAGTGGCTTGGCAGTTTCCCCGGCGCACATCGGCAGGAAGATTTGCAGTAATTTTTTGGGGTCATTTTCTCACGACATCTTGAGATTTGACCACAGGTCCAAACCCAAAGGCTGGACGAACCCTTCGATCTCGGAAGGCTTTGGATCCACTTGCATCCATGCGCCTTACTGGCAGGATGACAGAATAGGCAGTGTGTCTTGACCCCGTTGGTGTACTCGATGAATGCTCCACAGTAGGCGCTTCGACTGGCTGATTTGCCTGGAGGCATGTCGCATCCCAGTTTTTCAGTTTCACGTGTAATGTTTTACATGTTTTGCAACATCGCTGGGCCAATCTGGGCGAGGTCATGGAGCACATTCCGGCCTCGCACGAGGTTCTGCGTGACCTTTTGATCGCAAGCGAAGATGCATCCTGCCACTACGCAGCAGGCAGTAGCACTTGCCAATCTACGACGCCACGCTACCAAAGGGCTTATCTTGTCGTGGTGCGCCTTGTGTTGAGCTTGAACTTTAGGAATAGCCACACACCATATGGCAACACCGAAATGACATATCTCTCCGCAGGTCTCAGGAGGGAGGAGCCAACCATGTCAACGCAAGGACGCCAGAGCGAGCTTATGGTAGAGTCTGCATGGCATGGACGGTGCAACCATGTTCAACCATTGGATTTGGTGCCAGGAATTGGGCTAGTTCCCGAGAAGTCGTCGAGGCCGAGCTGTTTGGTAGAGCGGACTTCAGCAGCTCTACACCATGTACCGGAGGAAGATTTCCGGTGGGAAGGGGTTCGCACCCAGATCTTAAGTGAGATGCGTGCCATGGTGCCATAGTGGACGCTCCTCACCGACCCTGAACGTACAAACCCACACTGGGTTTTGGAGCAGCCTTGGGGCACTCGGCGCAAACCAAGCACGATAATCCTCTCAGCATGGGAGCTTGAAGATATGGGCAGGCCGAAGACTAAAAATATTGCGAAAGGCATACTGCATCATACTGCCACAGCCAGGATCCTAACTAGAGCCTCGTGGACCCAAGAAGTTACAACATGTTTGGGCGATAATGGAAGTTGAGTTTCCAAATCTGTTTTCAGGCTGCTGGCTTCAAGTTGGATGCTGACTCGACTCGAACTTTGCGAACGCAGGCTGCAACGGGCCATTCAGATCGTACGAAAGGGTCGGGACATACGCGTAAACATCATTAAAACAAGAAACATGCCTGGCAAAGGTGGCCTGGCTCCATGGATCTGTCAATGTCTTCAATGTTGCAGAGTGACTGCCAAAAAGTCCTGCCGTGTGTTCTTGCGTGATGTGATGATGCGTGTATGTGTCAGTTTGTACATGATTGCAACTGTGCACTACCATGTTGCAGCTCCTTTCAGACTTCTCACACCTTGGCTTGCAGCAAAGTGAAATCTGACTGTAAGTCCTTGCACGAAACAGTTCTGCAACTTGCTGTGCTGATGACTGGTGGAAATGTATCCTCACAACAGTAGCCTTGCCTTCCAACGTGAGTGCACGAATCCTTCACAATTTCTCGAGGCCAGTGGCATAAAGGACTGCCATGGGCCTGCCTGATAATGCTCAGGAAGGCTTCACCACGTTCGTGCAACATGCATTCAATCAGCCTGCGGATTGTGTCGGTCTGATGTGGGTATACCCCGTTATACTCCTGTCTTTCTCGTCGGTGCGGAGCCGCAGCGGAAGGTCAAGCCCGACAAGAAAATGGCCATGTGAGGAAAAGCCCGGACCGACTGAAGTTGTTGAAAGGTGCTGCCAGGCTCTGAGCTGCTTGAGGATGCTTTTTTGCTTGTGAAACTGGCATGAGAGCTGCAGCTAGCAAGGTTGGCATTTACTTCTTCTTCATTTGGTATGGAAGGCCATCCGCACAGCTTCCGCTTGGTGTGCAGGGCTTGCTTGTTGCCTTGGCAGTAGACATACATTATCCGATAGTAAGAATCGACGCTTCAAAGTATGGGAATTTCATCAGTCTGCGATACATTGCTTAAACGCTTGCACGCGCCGCCTCGGCAGCCGGGCTGGCCGAACGCGGGGTGTAGCGTGAGCATCGCAGACGAAGGAGAGCCAAGTCTCAGCATCACGGGGGGGGGGGGGGTCAGCAAATTTCCGGGTTGGGTGGAAGGGGGCAAGGAAACCAAGTCCTGGTCTGCCTGTTCTAAAAGCTGTTCTGCGTGAATTTTTGCTGTCATGCAAGAACAACTCAAAACGTGTTTGAATGCTAGCTCCCTTTTGCAGCTCATCGTAACTAACAGTATGCCAGGCAGTGTCGCATCACCCTTGCTAACTACGATCTTCCCCAGCTTTCGTTAAGCCACCCATTGACATCGAATTTGCGCCTGCACAATGAAGCAAGCACTTGCGCCACTTGTACTCCTGGGAGCTGCCACAGGATTCAAGAAAGAATCTTCAAGTTCAAGACTTCAACCGGACGAAGGTATCCTGGCACAAGCGTCGCAAACAAGTGCTCAAGAACTGTGAGCCCTGGATAGGTTCACCGCAGTCTGGTTTCTGCAGATGGTGGATGCTCTGATGAACATGGCCGTGGGTGGCTGCCTCATGTGTTACAGTAGTTGATGTAGTGTTCAGCACTTCATCACGCCTCATCATGTGGTTGCTTGGGACAGAAACCAAGCTCTCTCGTCAAGAGCATATTGGTTCAAACACCTTTGTGCAGAACGAAGCTGGTCATCAGTGCGATGACCTTGGCCAGCACGGTCAGGTTCTTCCTTGTCCTGGCATGGCTTCAAGTCCTCTCAGAAAGCGCAAAAACACACATCACCGTCAGGACCGTGAAGGAAGAGCTAAAAATAGAGAATGTCGAGCACCCGAAGGACGGGGTGATCGTGCGAATCATCGATCCACCCCAGAGCAAGACACCCTCTGAGCCCTCTGGACCTTCCGAGCACGAGCATGAAGAGAAGGCACCCACCGCTGACCATGCTGATCATGCTAGCGACGGGCACGACCATGACGGCGCTAAGCCAGCAGAACACGGACATGGAGCTCCTCAAACAGATGCTGCCCCAGGCGAACATGAGGAGCACGGCCATGAGGAGCATGCTCAAGGGGATCATACACACGGCGAGGAGTCACATGAGACTCATGATGAGCACGGCCATGAAGTGCAAGCTCACGATGGGCACGCAAAGTCACATGATCAGGATGCGCATGATGCGCATGCCCACTCTGACGAAACTCATGGGGAGTCCGGCCACGCCGACCACGCGGAGAATGGCCACGGACACTCTGGGCATGATGCGCATGCTGGACACGGTGGACACGGTGGGCACGGCCATGAAGAGGGTCACGCACATGAGGGGCATGAGGGGCATGCCCACCATGCGCCAGACGAAAAGACCCTGACGGCATCCTACATGCTCATCGGAGGTGTTACCCTTGTCATGGCGATGTTCTATCTTGTGCAGCATCCCGACTTGGACATCAGATACTACAGCTGGAACATTCTCACCTTGTCGGCGTGTATTTTCATTGCCGTGCTTGCTTCTGATGTAGTGAATCAATGCGCCAAGCGATTCTTGTTTTCTCAGATGTCTATGAGTGGATGGGGCAATGCTGGACTCTGCTTTGGTTTGGCAGTGATGTGGTTCCTCCTGTCACAGCTGGTAACCGCGCTGTTGAGCGGTGCATTTGGTGAGGAGGCCAAGGAGCCGAAGGATGCTCAGAGCGAGTCGGAGCGAAAAGAGCTCGAAGCACTCTGGGAGCAACGAGAGACTGCCATGAAATGCTGGGGTGGTCTGGTGGCACATTGCGCGGGCTTCGCCATCGTTGCAACCTTGGCCTCATTGCAGGACTCCGAGCCATTCTCAAATTCTCCGGCTATGTCATTGCTGGTGGTTCCTGGGGCTCTTGTTCTGGTGACACTCCTCTATCGCGTGGCAGCCTTTACCAGAAAGAAAATCAGCGAAATGGACGATGGGGTGGTCAGCCGTGGCGAAGCACTGTGGGATGAAATCTCAGAAGAGGCCGAGAACGAATCACTTTGCTTGGGACTGTCATTTGCCTCTGTCCGCAGCATCAGCTTCTTTGCCATTGGCGCTATGCCTGACACTCACTTCCATGTCTACGCCGATGTCTCTGGAAAGAACTGGCACCAAGGCTGGATGGTCTTGTTCGCGGTGTCCATTGGTTCCATGATGCTGGGCATTGCAACCTTCAAGCTGAAGGAGAAGATGTTTGGACATGGCCATGGCCATGGCCATGGTGAGATTGAGAGCCATGAGCACGGTTCCCACGAGTGCGACGAGCCACACGAGCATGAGCAGACGGACGAAGATGACATTCGTTTGCGAGCTTTGCTGATCTTGACAGAGACCTTCATCATGATGTTTTCCTGGGGAATGCTCTCCTGCGCCATCGCCATGATGAACGCCTTTTTGCCCTATCTCGAGCACCATCTGATCGGGCACCTGATTGTAGCGCTCTTCGTGTCCGCCTTGTCCTGCTTGATGCTGCTTTGCCTCGACAAACTGGCAGACAGCCTGAAAAGCAGCGGCGGTGCCGAATCCGCTCTTCACATTATTGACCACATCATCCTCGCGCATGGCTTGCTTATCGGCATCAGCTGGGAAGTGTGCTTTGCCCTGGGAATGCATGCCATTAGTCACGCAATGGAAGGACCGAACGTTGACATCTACCTGGCAGTCTTCCTGTGCATTGTGGTCGTTCCGGCTTACCGCTTGTTTATGCTGCCGGAGCTGAAAGCCCGAGAGGCAAAGATCAAGAGCCACTGAGGGGCAAGCCGTAGTTACCGGTACGAAGCCCACTGACGCGCCACAAGAGAGCAAAAATTGATTTGTCCAACTCGCTACTGGAATGAGTCGGACATCTTCGCAGAAACTTGCCGTAGCTCCAAATCGTTTGCAAGGTTATGTTGGCCGTCATGTCCAAGGAAGCACGGCTGGCTTGCCTCAGGCGGCTAATTGGCGGTACTGTTGCCCTAGTTGTCGCCCGTCAGTCATGTCAGCCAACTTGGGCACGAAGGAGTTTCTGGTCGCTGCTGGCGTCGGACAAGTACTTTCGCTTCCAAGCAGGAAATCAGATAGGGACATCGACGAGCTTATAGGACGGATTCACGAATTACTTGGAACATCTGCTTCAGGTTGGCGCACGTTGTGCATAGCCGCATAGCCGAGGAAGTATTGCACAAGTGCTGCTTTGGCTGCCGGCCTTTCCTTTTCGGTTGCTACCCTTGCCAAGTCTGCCAAGATGCTTCCGGTAATGTGGCTTCGTCTGAATGAGACACTGCGCCTTCACTTTGCTCTTGTTGTATATCCGACACTTGCGATGACATCTTGCTTGGTCAAGGATCGGGTCTCTTTTCCTGGGACAGGCCGAGTTCACACTTCGCCAGTATGTGCAGGCTGCATTCATCGTTGCCGGGACAAGCCTCCTGGCTCGTTTTCGGCCTTGCAGGGCATGGCTCAGGGCAGGGCAGTGCCATGCCTGAAGCCATGTGCTCGGCAGAATGACAACCTCAAACATGATACTCCTATTTAACAGATGTACAATACATTAGCATCCCTTTGTCACCGCCCCCCAATGAACAAAGTGATTAGGGAGGGATCCGAAAGAAATTCGAAACGAAGGAAAAATGCTTGTTGACCCGGTTAGTTTCGAGAGCGGAGAGCAGGGGGTGACCCACAATTGGACCGGAACGAGGTATCGTATCTTCAGCTGAACACAAGCTGAGGCATTGTCTCGCTGACAGAAGGTCGAAGCAAGGCAGGGTCGGCTCTAGCCATCAATCATCCGCTGTCCAAGTCTGAGCCTTTCTAGGCATGATAGTCGGAGTGAAGGAAACGGTTCCCAGCTGTTCTGAGTGGTACTAGATGCCGCTTTTGGGCAGAAAGCCGGTGGCAGCAGCAAAATCGGCCTGCTCTTCATCACGTGCGCTTTGTGCTGCGATGGCCCCTTGGACGCGGTTGATCTTCTGCACTGTGCCAGTAACTACGAGCCTCCCTGACGCCGCCCTGCTTCCCACGTCGCCTTCCAATGCTTGGGGGGCTGACAAGTTGAGGTGTAGTTGGCGGCGTCCAAAAGAGGTTGAAGGAGCATGCATTGATTCTCAATCTACCATATCAACGTTGCACCTTCAGCAGTGTGGTGCAGGTTGAGTGTCGGAAGACAGACCAGCAGGCAGAAATCCCTCTTCCAATACCTTGGTCACCTTATGTTGCACTTGAGCAGGTCCGACCCTACGCTCCAGCCTGAGATTGATACTTTCCCAGCCTGTGTCCCATTGGAGGAAGGGTACCGGCATCAGATCTTGGATCAAGAAATATCAAGAATCCAAGGATTTGATGTTCTGGACCAACCTGTACATGGTAACTTGTCGCAGCATTGTCCCAGCGGTCACTCATGACATTTCAAGATTTGACGCTTTGACCGCCCAGACGAGGCAATCACATCTTTCCTGTTCGCATTGCGAGCAGAGCTGCGTGAGGCAGGGTCAGCTTTGGGCGCCTTTGTGCCTCATGACATCTCATGTCGTGACTAATTTGACGACTAATGTTTTGCGCACAACTTGCAGGGTGTGATCTTCTGCCTCGCGAATCCAAACTTTGCGCAGCAAGTCATCAAGCTCTCGGTCTGTGGAGCCTTGGGTCAGGCGCCAGAAACTTGGACACCTGCCGTGTTATTCAGCATGCATTTGCAGTTATCCGTGCTGGTCAGGCCAGCGTTTTCTACACGATCGCAAACTTTGACAGTGGCCTGGCTTCTTGTGATTCTTGTGCACATCTAGTGCACATTGGAGTCTCTGATTGATAGGCATAGAGCACAGCAGACCTCGAATCCAGAAGTCAGAGCACTAATTCAGATATGTACAGAGCACATCTCTCGTAATCTCCCGTCGTCTTTACTGAGGTGTGGTCTGCGCGGCAGTGACTACCACCCGCAAGCTGATGTCGGTGCTCATTTCGGTACTGGAAGGCTGCCCCCATAGATTCGACATGCTGACTCTAGGACTGCACGCAGTGGTTCACATGCTGAGCGTAGCTGAGCAGAATGCAGGTGATGGCCTGCCGCCCATGGGTTGGCTTGGAATTGGTGTGTCATCGATTGGCATTGCAGGTTCGTCCTCAAGTCAAGAAGTCTTAGGGACTTGTGTTGCAAGCATTTGTAACTTTCTGCCTCAGCGTCCGCAGATAGTTTAAAGGGAGACCCTGCAGAAACGAGATGACTGACTGTTTTTGAGTCCTAGTCCTATCCAAGTCTGCCGAGCTGTGAGACTTTCGCGTACATTAAACACGGCCACCATTCGACACCAGACCACGTGGCATGATTATTTGGGGTCGGTGCCGTGTGTAGGCTGCATAGGCAGACAATGGTAGGCACCGGTTCCGCAGGTGAGCTTCAATAGCGGCAGACTGGTGGTCCCGTGACACTCCGTGATATTCGTCGACATCCTTCACAACCTGCGGACTCATGGAGCTCAAGGTTTGGTCTTGCGAAGGGGTCTCTTGGATGGAAAGCAAAATCAGCATCTGTGATGTACACCAGGCACTGCACATGAAATCTCAGGTTTTAAGATGTGTTTTACATATATGTGCAATATGAACATGTATGTAACTGTATGTATACACACACACACACCAACCCCCCAAACGCACCACATGAAGAGGGCGGGGGGAGGGGGGGGGGTGAGCCACACCCCACGGAGAGGGGGGGGTTGGTTAGCTGGAGATTCAACGTTTCCGTATGGAAAGATTTACCTTTCCAGTTTTCCCTGGAAAAGATGCTTCGTCATCCAAAACCAGCTTTTCTTTAAGAAGACAAAGATGGCTTTCTGGACCGGGTCGATCCAACAAACCTCCGCTGCTTAATGGGCGGGCATACTGGAAGAGGAAGCTACTGGGACAACTGATGCGGGAAATAGTTATTTCAAATCAGAGGCCCGTTTCTTCTTTTCTTCCTTTTGTAATTGTAGGGATGAGTTACAGTCAGTGATTCAAGACAAGACATGGCTTGTAGCTCAAAAAGTGCGCCATCTATTGCCTGAAAAAGCTTGAAGGGTCATATACTTGTGCCCCAAGCTTTAACACATAAGTAATTGAATCCGCCTGATGAGCATTATTGGAGGCCAACCAAAGCTCTTCGCATAACTGAATGTTCGTTCAAGGCCGGGGAATATGGGATGCAGGACAGCTTTGCATTTTACTCGTGACCCTAACTCTACGGCTCAATGCTAAATGGCCGGGTACTAGCACAAGCAGTTTAATCACTACTAAAAGGGCGAGCGTGCTGTTATTAAGCTTGCTTCACTCAAATGGATGAATAGTACTGTTTTAGCAAGAAGCCATTTGTTCTCAGAATGCTGCTTTGTATAAACATACAACATTATTGCACTGCGTGTTCGACTTATAACTTAAAGAAGAGTGCTCTTGATCCTCTCGCTCCACCCTCCCATTTTACATATGTAATTTGCTGGTTAACATCACTAGCATCAGTCAGAAGTAAAACCTTACTATTTTAATGGCCGGGCATATTGGAAGAAAATGAAGGATAGCTACTGGGACAAGCGACGCGCTAAATACACATAACATGTTACAACCAAGCGCATAGTTTTTGCAATTCGGGGCTACATATATTCTTTTAGTCAAAATAATTGATGGCTTTCATTCATCTCACTTGCTGAATAAAAATAGAACTTATGGGATTATACTCTTGTTGCTAGCGACATGATCTCCCCAATGTAGAACATGTAGCCTACTATAGACTACTGAATAGGCTTTCACATTATTGGAGGCCAACTATAACTCGAAGCTGTTAAGCCTCGCCTTGTTTTATATGCTATCGCAACCATGACCCCAACTCTAAGACTTGCAACTACATGGCCGAGGAATAGTGAACACATGTTTGTTACTATAGCTGACCTCCAATATGTAAGCTGTAGACATATCTCGCCTATCAACTTCGTCACCTCGTCTGCACACCACCTGCCCCCACCTTCCACCTTCCGTAGCGCGAGATCGCGAGGCCCCTGGACCCTAAACCTTAAACCTTGAACTCCAAAAAGGTCAGGTTTGAGGGTTTAGGGTTCAGACCTTGCACCTCTTTCATCTTTGCACGTAGCCTGGATACAACTGCCAAGAATTTCAATTCGTGATGCCAACTCGTCAACAACTTTTCATAGGACTCCAAGTTTTCCCATAGTCACACTGTTTTCTGAAAAAAACACGCTTCGTCATAGCACCTGCAGAGAACAGGCATAGGCACCTTGACTACAGGGGGTTGCATGTGTAAATAACAGTGGCGCAGAGACACACACACACACAGACACACGGACAAGAAAACAAGTAGATCCTTGGGAGAGGGGGTATCATACATATATATATATATATACATATACATATGTATATATCTATATACACTTGTTGGAGAGTGACGAGAATGAGCAATGATGTGACGGTCTCTTGAGATTGTTCTCCATGCTTGTATTGCATTGCGCTTGTCTGGCAAGATCAGGAAGAAAGGCCGCCGGCAAATGCGACAACGCGAAGATGCGAGGCTCGAAGAGGACACTGTCCATGGGAGAGTAAAGTGGCAATGTGGCTTCCGAGAGGAAGGTCGCTTAACAAGATCTTCACGAAGGGCCTAGAAAACTGGAAGCAGACAGGGCACCACATGCACAGAACGACGGATGGCAACCCGAGGCGAAAGAGGGCCCAAGAGTGAAACAACTTATCTCAATTAGGCCAAGGACTGTCAGAACATTAGTATAGAAACCATCATTGAAGACAGCATGAAGAACAATGGCCAGAAGCAGATGAACCGTAAACCAAAATTGTCGTCTTGAGGCCGGAAATGAATGGACGCTACAGCACAGTGCAATTCAAGGTTGGACGCTTGAATCTGTTACACCTCCCCCCCGAACGGTCGGAAGGCCATGTGGGCATGTGTCTCCCCTCCTGGTCCCCCCCCCCTCGACCTGCCCCTCCCTCTCCTCTCCGCCCCCCTTCCGACCCCCTCTTCCCCAACCCCGGCAAATTATTGATGTTTAAGGCGCGCAACACGAAGAGCATTCTTTCGTGCCCAGACAATTCAACTTTTATTCGCAGACGCATCAACATTGACGAGATCCCGAAGAGCACGACACAGTTGACTTCAATTCTAGGGGCACCCCAGCAACTTCCACCCGAACGCCCTTTTCTTCGGAGGCACCTGATGGGCTACACGCATGAGAAATACTGCAGCCAAAGAGGTCGGAAAAAGAGGTGCGACACGTGGCCAAGTGGGAATCAAGTCTCGAAGAGACTTGGAAAGCGTAGAGCAGAACACAGGCTTCAGCGGGTTCAGGGTTCATGTAGGCCAGCACAGAGTATCCTCGCCGGAGCGTTATTTGGCTTGAAGATGCTGTGACCATGTGGGCACGCGCAGTCTCGCCATGTTTCATGTGCTGTGCAGGACCTTTCCGAGTTTGGGGAGCTTGAGGGGCATGGTCGGGGTTTGCACCATGAAGTTGGCTTGCGTCAAGCAGGAAAGCCGGCGCCGGTGGACCGTGTTCCCCTCTCAGCTGTCGCATGTTAGTGCTGAAGCAATTGGTCCATCAATTGGTCCAGGCTTGGGAGGCTTGCTCTTCTCACCCAACGAGGAGGCCTGCGCATGTATAGCCCGGTGGAGGCGTTATGTAGCTATAAAAGAGCTTGCGATGGCTTGTAGGTGGAGGATGAGCCGGACGGTGGGAAATCGAAGCTTCCACCTCCGAAGACCAAGACCAAGCTTGTTCGGTCCGGTTCTGTTCCATCTTTACTTCGCGCAAGATTCAGGCCAGGGTCCGGGTGGATCAACGACGTGGTGGCGAGGGCCACGCAGCATGAGGCTCCGGCTCTTTCTCTGAAGGTCAGTTTTCATTAGCAGAGTGTCAATCTCCGAGCGCTGTGCTGACAGAATGGGTCCTCCGCGTCGCTCCTACAGCTCCTGCGACCACGTCTGCAGAGGAGTGGAAGCCGTTCTGCTGGACAGTTGACAAGTTGATCACATCCAAACTCAAGCCTTACATGGGCGCGATGGCCCGCTGTTTGGCGGCGGAATGGCATAAACTTCCAACATCTTCATAAGCCCTCCGAACTCCAAACTCATGTTGTTCATGGTGTTTAACCTGTGGGTCCTTGTGTCCAAAGCCTCATACCCAGCACCCTCAACTCCCCTTGCAGGGCGCCGCAAGTTCTAGCCTTGACTCGCGTTTACAGACCCAGAAGCCCTTAAGAAGACCAAGGTGGTCCAAGATGTATTCAGTTCTGAATTCTCACGTTTTTTTTCTGAGTCTTTTTTAGTCTTTTCTTTTCTGCAGGCAGCTGCTTGACAGCGCCGCGCAGGCAAACTTCAACTATGCGCCGATCGTGGAGGTGCGACAATGGCGCGATTCAACTGGAGAGAGGGTTGACCAGTCAGGTTGACTTGAGATCAAGTGGACTCAGCACTTGGTCAGGCTGTCAACTCCGAGAACTTGCAGAAGCAGCTCGAGGAGGCGAGGATTTCAGAAAGGCATCCTGCAGGAATGCAGCCATGTACATGTTGCGCGCGGGAAGGTGGCAGTTCTCTTCTGGAAGAAAGCAGACTGCAGCAGCCGCGGGGTCCTTGTTGACCTATCACAAATTTTTGCAAGATAAGAACCCTGTTGCTCCTGGTCGTTCTAACCAGTTGAAACCTCAAGGCACGGAAACCAGACGATTCCGGCAACAGGCTCCGTGAAAGACAACGTAGAATGCAGACGTTGTCAGCATCATCGAGGGATTCAGTGTCGCAGTTTGGCAGGCTGAAATTATCGTCAACCTGAGACGCGAAGCAGCACTTCTGAAGGCCTTTGCTAGGGGATGTGTTGCTGCAATTCTATGCAATTCTCAGTTGCGTCGCTGGAGGTCAATGCAATCAATGCAACTGCTGTTAGCAGGGCCATGAGCATGTGGATGAGCGGTGCAGGATGAAAGCGAAGCTTCTTGGCGCCGCCGATTCATCATACAGACGCTTAAAGCCCATCGTGTGCTTGAGACCAGGGAGTCTTGGCCGAATTTCGCTTTGGCATGATTTGGCATCTGTTGGCCGATCCTGCACGAACAAGAAAGCTAGGAGAGTCTGGAGTCGAAGCTCGAGAGGCCATGCAACGGTGCTCTTTGCTTGCTGTCCTTGCAAAGCGTGCAGTTGCATCATGCAGGCATCAGCAGTTTTGGCCAAAGCACCTTGGTGGGAGGGTCATGAGGCGTTGCTTGAGAATCGCGGATATCTTTGAGCTTTTTTGCGGATCCGACATCAAATCATGGAACTTGAGCCACGGTGCGGTCCCCGCATGTCTCAATTGCAGGCGCGGAGGGTGGTACGGCAGAACTTGCAGATCATGCAAAATCTTCCATACATAGACCACTCGACCCGTCGTATATGACCCCGTGTGCCTGTCAACTTTCTTGTCTCATCTCGATGAATCAGAATCAGTCTGTCTAGAGGTTCACGGGCCCCCACAGGCTCGCCACTAACTCAAACGGACCCAGGCCGAGATAAAGGGTGAGCACCATCATGCTGGGATTCGTGCTTGCATCCCGGAATCCATGACTGTGGATGATTTGGGTAGTGGGCCCTGGGAGACAAGATGCAACACAGCTGATGGGCTTAGGGCCCTGGTAGGCACAGGTTAGGTTGGGCACACGATGTTGCATACCAGCGCCGTGATGCCCACTTGTAACAAGCCGTTCCAATCCATCGAACCAGGCGATTTGGAAGTTCGGGCTTTGTTGTTTGGCTTGCTTCAATTTCGCTTGGTCTTCTCCAGAACTGCAAAATTCTAACTCTCGATACAAATGTCAGAGAAGGAGTTTTTGAAAATCAAAGTTTGCGGTTACCAGAGTATTTCTCTTTTATCAGTTTTCACAGAAGAGATTCTATTCTCTTGGGCACTCGTACTGCGCCCGCAGGTTTTAGGAATACGCAGAGTGTGTCATAGAAATTGGTTCGGACCTTCCCAAGGATTGTTGCAATGCAAATGTAGATTTACATGAATTATCTTCTTAATCCGTTTGCCCTCATCGGCAGTACAATGTTGCGATTCTGTATCGTCTGCAGCGTGAACGTAGTGTAAAGAACGTACATCTTAAATCATCTTAACCTGCTAGCCTCCCCTGTCGTGAATAAGTGTACATTGAAACCGTAAATCGTGCCATTTCGCAAGTTTACTTATTTTTGGTGTCTGGTCGCAAACCGCGCCCCTTGCAGTGAGAAGACCATGGTAACCTGTCTTTTCGGCGAGGGGGCGTGAGTATTACGTCCGAAGACGTATCTTGTTCTGAAATGCGCCTTTTCTTACTTTCAGTGTCTTGTCTTACGCTCTGTGTCCCCTCCAAGGTCAAAAGCTAAAACATGAACAAATTGAGAGCGGGCATGAGTATTGCAAGTGCAGACAGACGTATCTTATTCTGGAGAGTATCTTTTCTTAATCTGGTTGTGCGCCCCATGGGCAGCAGAAAATTTGTTCCATATCGCGAACAGGTAGATGTTTCTTCGTTCCAGGCGGGGGGGGGGATGGGTATTACATCTGCAGACGTCTCCTATATTCTCCAGAGCTTAGTCTAAGTGTCTGGTCTTAAGCCGTGTGTCCCCTCCAACGACAAGACAAGTGAAAATTTGAGCGGCATGAGCATTAGATATTTGCGGACGTATTCATTCAATCTATTCTGAAGCGCATGTTTTCTAAAGCTGATTGTACTCCCCTCCACAGGAACCAGTAAGTGGAGGCCCGTGAGCTCGTGGGCCCATGTAAACTCGCTTTGGTCGCATCTGTGTGGGGTACGGCGTGATTTAGATACCGGCAGTGCTTTTTTTCTTCACACGAGTGCGACCAAACCTCGAAGTGCCATAAGCATGCCACACCAAATAATAGTGATTCATAAACAGAAATGAGTATGATTAGTATCAAAATAATTAACGGCCTTGCCCTCAAGCCTTTGACGCCAAGCTGCAGACCCGCCTGGCTTGTGTGCGTCAAATGCGTCAGCAACATTCAAGAACCAAGACAATTGCAGCATCATGTCGTCAGATTATGTGAAAGCGGCTTCTTGCAGTGCCACGCACAGCAAGGTATCATCAAGTCTCCAGACATTCAGAGGAGTTGGTCGAATTTGCGCCGCAAGCAGCGCTAAAGGCCAGCGCAGCGCGATGTACCGTGCAGTGATTGTGGGGATGATGTTTGAACACTCGTGCTTGTATCGCTTGTGCCGCATCCTGCATCGTTCTTCAAAATTTGACAATCTAGTGCGCGTCCTCTGCAACTTTGATGTTCCCTGAATTTCCTGGGTTTGTGGGACCCAAGCTTGACAGAATCAGCCTAGAACAATGAAGCGCAGTGCTGCAGTGCCAAAATGCGTCTTCCGATCAACTACTACCATCCACTAACTGCTGAAATCCCTCTTATCGGAAGATATCGGAAGTGCAGCCGACAGCTCCAACCTTGCATCTACTGAAGAACAGAGCGATTGTCTGATGCTTGTCAACCACGCGGGCTGCCAGAAGGAGAGTATAGAGAATGCATTGACCGCATTCACACATCATGATATACGATATTAACTAAGGGCCAAGGCCGCTTCCGCCGACCTTGTAAAAGCCGCCAGGCTCCAGGCGCAGAGCAGCAAGGCAAGCAAACAGGCAGCAGGCAGGAGGCGCAGCACACTGAAGGAAGCTCGCCCGTGTCATGGCATGAGTGCAAAGAGGGGGGGTAGGGCAGGAGGGTCGGGAAGGGGGTAAGGAGGGAGGGGGTAGTAGGGGTTAGTTGGGGGAAGTAGGGGGCAGTAGGGGGTAATAGATGGGTAGTAGGGGGTTGTAGGGGGCAGAACGGGGGTAGTAGGGGGCAGTGACGGGGCAGTGAGGGGCAGGTGTAGTTGGGGGAAGTTGTGTGGGGTAGGGGCAGGGGTGCTTTGCGGACAAGAGAGGCTGGGTCGGGTGCAGGTACCCACCACCCGCCGGTATGGGTCATCCAGCTCGAGCAAAAAAGTCGTGATACGCGTTGAAGACGAACTCTGCGCGCTTTTCCCTGCGAAACATCATGCACTTTGTCATGACTTGTCCTTTTTTCTGTTTGCGGGGCAGGGCGCAATAGACTGGAAGACCCGGGCAGCCAGGACTCCTTGCATGGGTGCTTGACGGGGTTTTTGTCGACATTTCAATGTGAAGCACAGCCAAACATGGCCACGCGCAGTTAGACCAGCTGAAGACAGGCTTGAAAGTTAAGAGGTCCTGGCAGGTGCAACGGTGCAGGTCGTGCTGGCTCAGCAGTCTGAAAATGATTATGCACAATGAATGACCTCCACGGCTTTACGCAGTGGCTGCCGTGGTGCTCGCAAGCCACATCACACTACTTGGCAGGTGATTGGCACTTCGGTTGTTTGCCGCATGTCAATCAAAGCCTCTTCTGTTGCGGCGATGAACTTGTAGAGCTCAGAGAGCATGTGGAAAAGGTTCTGGCGTACCGCAAGAGAGCTTTGAATGATGCTGCGGATCAGATGGATTCATTGCACGAAGACAAATCAACGATATCAACGCGAGCACACTGCACGGCGGCTGGGGAATCTATAGAGTACTTGAGACGTGCATTTAACGAGGCACGAGTGCTGGCAATTGGCGGGCTGGAGGTTTTAAGATTTGGTCTCCAAGACATTTCGTGCCAGCTGTGCTGGGCATCAGAGGCATCAAGATCTGCCCAGATAGCTCGGGTTTTCAGGCGTGACCTGGAAGCTGTGATGAACCGTCTGGGCCAGCTGCGTGAGGGAGTACCTGCTTGGACGCCATGTATGCCTTTGTTTTGGAAAAGTACAGTCGGCACAGCCATTGCAGTGGACGTGGCAGTACGATCGGGTGGTTTTTTTGCAATGCGTCAGTGGGTAGAATCGATTGCAATGTCCTTAACTGCAACTGCTGGTGAGTTTCAGACACTAACCTTCATCTTGCGGTCCGTATTAGGCGAGCCCGTACATATCGTTCAGGAAGTGCAGTCAGTTGCTGCACAGGTCAAGGATGTTCCTGTTCCACGCATTGTGGACATGCCTCGTGCGGCTATCCTAGTTCATGGTTGTGGCCCGGTGTCATTTCCCAAGATTGACATCATAACTGTAGGTAAAGACGATTGTGCAAGCATTTGGCGCAAGTTCCCCTATGCCTTTGAACCCACGTCGGTCGTACTGCCGGCGTCATCAGTCCGACTGGTTTCCTACACACTTCCATCCGCTGTGCAGCTGCAGCAAGTCAAGGACCTGATTGAAAGTCCACATCCACAAGCGGCGGTTCCCGACGGATTTTCCGTTGCTCCCGTCACGCCCGCCTTTGATGCAAGCAGCCTTCAAAATTCCCATGCCCGCGACGGCAAAGTTCTGGTGTATGTATGCTTACACACATCATTCTGCGGTGGACATGGAGACCGATTGTTCGGACTGCTATCAGCCTTTCTCGCCGCTGTGCTGTCCAAGCGCGCATTCTACATTGACATGCGTGCCCCCATACCCTTGACCAGTGTGCTGTCTGCCAGGCAACCCTGGCCTGTCGTCACGACATCTTGCGTAACATATCGATGGACATCGGCAGAGGACCCAGAAACTTTTGTTCAAGATGTGTTGCGCTTCTTCGAGGATGACTCCAATGTACTTTGCGTAGTCTCAAACGTGAGACTCTTTCGTGTTCTGTTGCAGCATGACAGCTCCAGAACGTTTGCCCGTGCAGGGTTGCTGTCGGGTTTGTTTCTGCACCTGTTTACGCTGGCACAATCACCTGGAGCAATCGTCAAGGACTTCATGCACAGGCTTGATGGCCGGCAGCTCATTGGAATACATTTCCGCGCAGGGAATGAAACCACATGGTCGGATCCTGCAAGACATTCCCTCCAGGAAATCGAGCTAGCGTTGTCTTGTGCCGCAGCCGTCGAATCGCACATGGGACTCCCCGGAGACACAGTTTGGCTACTGGCTGCTGATACTCTCAAAGTGCGTGATTATCCAAGCGTCTTACATTTGCACACATTGGGCAAGATCATGTATGTTGAGCAGAGGCCTACGCACATCGACAGATCGTCACCAGATGTAACTGCTATTTACCAGTCCTGGGCTGTGTGGTGGATCTTGGCATTCGAGACACAAGCGCTTTTGCTTTCTCACTCCAACTTTGGCTGGAGTGCGGCGGAAATCGGTCAGCGTCGCTCGTTTCATTTTCCAACCTGCCGGCCAACGGACGTGACTAGCCCATAGATGCCCATAGTACCACCGGATACCACAGCAACTCGCAGTGAAGCCAGAAGGTCATAAAATCGAGCCGCGCGCATTTCCGCAGTAACATACACTCACTGTACATGTACTGTAGGACCAGCAGATCCTTGTAGCCTATTGTAGCTGTAGCCTGATGTCAACATGCAGGAGCAGAGGCAACCGGTGTCCACGATCCGGCAATGCCAATGCTTTCGTGCCTTGTCCTGACATGTCTCCTTTACTACACGTATCATGATTTTGTCAGGGCACCTGCCAGAACTCTAGTTGCTCAGCAAGTCTCGTCTGGAGTCGGGTGTGTTCCGCAACTCAGGCATGTGGAAGGTCGGTATGCAGCCATGCATCTGTGTTTGCCAGGATTGTCCAGAATAACTTGCCCTCCATCCAATAAGCATGTCATCGTCTGCTCTTCCGGCAAGTCACATGTCGGCTCGCGCAACGATTCTACTTTCAAGGCCAGCGTGCTGATGATACCGTGCGGTGGTATAGTCGTGAGTCGCGGTACTCACGCGCCAATGATGTGTGCATGAGCGGTACTTTGCAAACTTTAGGTGCCCTCGGACAGCCATCACATGGGAAGTGCGAAGTCTGCCCAGCGGTTGCAGAAGTGGCAGGACATTTCGTCGAGTCAAATACTGGAGCACATTCCATGGGAGTTTGGGCAGGAGATGTCGGATATTGTGACGGATCCCGGCTCTGCTTGCAAGAGGATTCGGCACATGATGATCCGCAGGCAAGTTGCAGTCGCCGAGCTTGCGAGGCTTTACCATCATGGGCTTGCTTTGCTGCTGGGAATGCAGGCCACTCTCGGGCAAAGGAAGCCAATCAAAGTCACTGCCGCGAAAGGCGTCAGAAATGCAGCAGGAGGCCACGTGAGTCACTTATCAGTGCCGCAAACGACTGTATCGGGGTTGCAGGCGAGCACACTGACCCTTCACAGCCGACCATCGCACCGAAAGAGATCCCATGGAATCAGAGAGGTGCGTGCTTTGCGAGTTGTCGTTTACCAATCTCTTTTAGAAATCAGCTTGTTAACTAGTTAACACGCTGCGAAAGCGGGGGGGGGCCTCGGCTGCCCCCACCCTCTTCCCCCCAAAAGGCCATACTTGTTAGAACGCAGCCAAAAGTGCATCTAGCTTTCGTAGCCACAGTCTCAAGTTCACTCTGTGGGCTGACGAGCTAGCCAGTGTCCGGCAAAGGCTTTGCCTCCACATGTATCGCAGTGCGGCTTCAATGTACTACACTGGTACTATTCTTACGCAGGCCATGACGAAGCCATCCCACTTGCTGAAGGACGGAAACATCCAAAGCATCCTTGCAGCATCTTGAATCTTGCAGATGTTCTATAGTTGTTCTAGGAAGCGTCCATGCGGGGTTTAACGGAGAGTGGATTCTGAGTGCGGAACTGCTTGAAGCAAAGGCTGGGGGGACCTCGGTCTGGGAAGCATGGGCTACGAAGACAGGCCGGATGAAAGCTTCGGAGTGCTTTCGGATGTTCGACTGTCAACGTCCTGACCAACAGGAAGGCCAAGGCGGAACTCGGGGCGACTCCGGATCAAGGCCCCTTTCATATTATGATGTGCTTGGCCGCACTCTTCGGGATTTAGGCCGCACAGCTCGTTCCTCCACGAGTGCGGAGCTTTGCACAAGCGGTGCCATGCCTTAGCATATCTTAGCATATCTTAGCATGCTTTCGCTGTCACCCGAAACTCGGAAGCTGAGGCTTGCAAAGCGGCGAGTTGAAGGTGCACCTCATTTCAATCGACCATGGGAAGCTGTTCAACATTCTTTTCTACAACTCAAAGGGTTCAAAGGCTGTTCCCTCTCATTGTGCTTTGTACTGAGCACTGTACTGGCCAGGTGCACCTGGAACAAAGTGCACGAAGTTCCAGAAGTCCACGCGAGAGCAGGTGCCAGCAGAACGCACAATCACGCAAGCCGACAGCATACGACAGGGGTTAAGCGAGCTTTCGCCATACTTTGAAGGTACAGTCCGCCCAAGGACATCAAGCCCACATTGCCAACACTCACTCCGGTGCTCAAAAGGCGAAGTCTCAAAAAGGGTACCAACATGCTTGCATGCTTCTACAGAAGCGAATTGTTGCAGCATGTATCCAGTATGTATCACCATCAACAAACTGACAGTCAGTTCGTCAAGAGGCCAGCTTCTGCTGCTTCACTACGTAGCCTGAAGGACCTGTGCCTAAACACATGTTTACCCGCTTGCAGTAATAGGATGAACTGGTCATTGCCCATTGGCAGGACTCCACGTCGATCATGTACCTGCAGGCCTTGAAGTGCGAGCAACGCCGAGAGACAGCTTGGATCCATGCAGGTTTGTGAGAGCCAGAAGTTGTTGCCAAGGCCCGGAACTAAACAATGAGCGTTTGTCATTGTCATTGCAGTATACCTTTTTCTTTCAGACGCAGCAAGAGTATCACGCTTTGCGACCACACTATTAGCGGCAATACCGTCGCATGAAACGCATGCCATTGGAGTCCAGAGAATGTCACGAATGACCTTAAGAGAGACTCAACAACAGCTGCAAAGACACAGCGGTAAAAAGGCACGCCCTGCAAGAGAGCAGGTAAGGGGAAGAGTGGGAAGGAGGGGAAACAGAGAGGGAGAAGGGGAAGGGAAAGAGAGAGGGAAGCGTGAGATGAACTCGAGCTGCAGATCAAGGTCCGATACAGTACATTTTTTAAGGAATCACCAGCTCCAAAATGGAGAGTGGAAACATGTCTAAACCGCGTGTAGAATGATGACCTTGTGTCATTGCAGTCAGGCATTTTTGCAATATGCCTTGCATTCTTATAGTCTGCATATCTCGCCAGAATCCGATGCCACTTGGTCGCCTGCAGACATCTGTTCACAAGGCCGGCGGCGATACTGACCGGCCATTCTTCCAAGCTTGACGCGCGGCATCAGGCATCTTTTAGCATTCTTTTAGCCCGTTGGACTGCGCTGTTCTGTCTTCTTCGCAATCTTTTGCAATGTCCTGCGAGGGGCTCACAGACAGCGAGCTGGAAGCATGCCGCGTCCCTGTCGCTGCCCTCGCGAAGGTCGAGTCAGTGGACCTAGAGGCGATTGTGTTTTCAGAGCATGTCAGAGCTCATTACAGATGTTACAGCTTGCAGAGATTGCCAGTTGCCTTGGTTGATCTCGGTTGGCAACACCCACACAGGGGAATGTCCAGCTCACCGACGAGGCAGTCGCCAAGTTTCTCGCCACGCACTCAGAAGCACTTACTTATCTTACTTGCATGGGCCCATGTTGGCCGCACTTTGTCGCTGAAGTGCACAGGTGTCTTTGGGTACAGGGCCTGGCCATACGCTGACATTCCTCAGCTTGATGCAGCCTCAACTGAAGACAGCCTGATGCACCATGCGCGGTGTGAGGGAGGAGGAGAGGGGAGAGGAGCGGAGAGGAGCGGAGGGGAGAGAAGAATACACCGAGGTGGAGTTCGGGGAGCGGGGAGCTTTCAGCACTTCGGAGTTACGTGTCGGCCGAGGCCGAGGACCGGCGAGAACAAACAACGAAAGCTTAAGCGTAAAGTCCAACTCCGCAAAACTTGGTGTATATCCCACCGACAAAAGGCTCCGCCGGGACGAGCCGGCCGACAATCCAGGAGCAGTGGAGACAGTACAAACAAGAAGGACGGAAGGGCAAACCCCAGTGGCAAATCGGCGAACAACGATGCGCCGACTGCGAGTACTGAGTAAGCTCGAGTCAGCCAAGCACCAAACAGGAGGCTAAGGGGGAGGCTCCGTGTTGCGAGGGTGATTTAGAGTCTTACGACGGTGTTTTGCGTTGTGACTGCCTGCAAGAATCATATAATCTGCAGAGTCTCCCGTCACTCCATCTGAGAAAAGCCCCCTTTCTCTCGTGGGGCCCGGGTCCATATGTTGGGGGAGGAATTGCCGAACAGGAGAGGAGGTCGTGATTAGGGTCGGGGTATCAAGTGCATTTTTCGCCTCTCACCCCTCCGACAGGCGTACCTGGATTAAGTTGGGAGCTTGTAGTGAAGAGCATCATAAAGTTGTTTCCTGCGCGGAGGGTTGAAGATTTCTCCGCCCTGCGTGCGAACAACAGGAAAATCAGAAACTGGACCGCGAATCAGAAACTGCGCATCAGAAACCAGCCACGCATCTGACACTCCGCATCAGAAACTGGCGCGCATCAGCAACTGCGCATCAGAAACTGCGCGCATCAGCAACTGCGCATCAGAAACCACCGCGCATCAGAAACTGCGCATCAGAAACCAGCGCGAATCAGAAACTGCGCATCAGAAACCACCGCGAATCAGAAACTGCAAACATGCGCATCAGAAACCCACGCGAATCAGAAACTGCGAGTCAGAAACTGCGCGTCTGAAACCCACGCGAATCAGAAACTGCTTTTTCAGAAACCGGGTGGGGGGGGGGGGGGGGGGGGGGGGGGGGGGGGGGGGGGGGGGGGGGGGGGGGGGGGGGGCAGTCGCGCCCATGTCAGAAACTTTTCCGAAAACGGGGGACGGAAACCGGCTGCTTTTCAGAAACGGGGTGGGGGGGGGTGGGGGGGCAGTCGCGTGCAGGCGGCCAGCCATGTCAGAAACTGCCTTTAAAACGGGGTGGGGGGGGGTGGGGGTGCAGGCGGCCAGCCCATGTCAGAAACTGCTTTTCAGAAACGGGGTGGGGGGGGGGGGGGGCAGTCGCCAGCCCATGTCAGAAATTGCTTTTCAGAAAAGGGGTGGGGGGGGGTGGGGGGGGGGGGGGGGGTGGGGGTGCAGGCGGCCAGCCCATGTCAGAAACTGCTTTTCAGAAACGGGGTGGGGGGGGGTGGGGGGCAGTCGCGTGCAGGCGGCCAGCCATGTCAGAAACTGCCTTTCGCAAACGCGGTGGGGGGTCACGCGCCCCTAAAAACCCTGAACCATAAACCCTAAACCCCTTCGCGGGCCGCCGCGGCTCTTGGACCCGTCAAAAGCTTAGGTTTGATTTCCCGGTTGC